GGGGGAAGGACGACGACGACGACAAAGGAAAGGGCCGCGGAGCAAGCTCGGTTCCAGGACAGCTCTGATCATAGGGCCGTTCTTCCGCAGTTCATCAGCGGAGAGTTGAGTGACTACCCCCGATAAGGCAGGCGTTGCGTGTGGTGTTCGCGTGGTGCTTGTAGGAGGCGGTCGGGAGAGTCAGAGGGTAGTGATAAGTGAGTGAAGTGAGTGGTCGGACTAGCCCGGCTTGGCGGCGGACATGTGGGTTGCATCCGCGGAAGAACGGCTGGAGCATGCTTGAGATAGTCGCAGTAACGCTGTCACGCACCCAGTGAGCTGGACAGACCTGAGGGTGAGTGTGTGGCACTGTGGCGTCGGCTTGCAGTTGAGGCGGAGTGCAACGTAGGAGCAGCTCGGCGTGCTCCCGCTGTAGATCAGCAGCGTGGCAGCGGCGTGGCTGCGGGATCGCCTGCTGATCTCGGCGTCGTGGCTCCGCCGGAGGAGTATACCCGGAGAGTTGAGTGGGAGGCGCTTAAACTGTGTTAAACGGACATTTGTTTGGACAATACACCAATAGCAATTGCTCGAGCTCGCCTGGAGAGCTGCGTCATGCACACTGAATGAGCGAGTAAGTGTCCGAGGCCATCTTCGTCTTTGTCTGTATTTTGGGGCGTGGCTGTCGATCACATAAATGAAGTGGCTGCATAGTCAGCGCTCCAGGCGCTGACACTACACGGTGGGGTGGCATTGAAAGAAGGAGGAATCGACCAAATGCAATTCAACTGCTGCGACGGAAATGTAGAATCACGCAAATTCGGATGCGAGGTCGGTAGCAAAAACGTCGTCGTCGAAGCAACCCGCGTCACCGGCCGCATCTTCGGCTGCGTTGGGGGAAGAGTTGCTGGTAAAATTGTCGGAAGGGATGAGGGGCAGGTGAGGCTGGCCACAGTGACCGGAAGGGGGAGCTTTGAGGTCGTTGTTTTCATTCCCCGCCTCTTCGCAGCTGTCCTCGTCTTCGTCCTCAGTATCACCATCGTTGTGAGTCGCGCTGTAAATGTTTACCTCGGCTTCTGTGTTGGGCGCGGGGGACGAGCTCGCGTGCGTGTCCGAGTTCACGGAAAGAGGATGATCTTTGCCTTCGATGGGGGCAGTCTCGGGCCTGCTATTGTGAGGCTGGTGCGAGTGGTGCTGCCCCGTGTACTTGCGCCCCTCATCCCCATGGAGCGAAGCAGCCTCAGAGGCAACCCACGGCGCCTCGTCCTCCAGCTCGTCGCAGAAAGGAAGGTCGTCGTGGTCGTGTGCGTCGATGTCGGCGCTGAAGGCGGCTGCCTGCGCCTCACTGTTACGCGAGTGGCCCGTGGCGCCCGACTGCGGCGAGGCGGAGTCAGAAAAGGACTTGGACGTCTGCGCAGGGGAAGAGTCGGAGGGCTTGGGAGACGCATGGAGAGCGGGGTCCGCGGCCGAACTGTTGAGACGGGCCTCGCCAGGAGGAGTGTGGACTGGCTTGTCCTCGTCGCTCTCGTCCTCGTCCTCCTCATCCTCGTCGTCCCCATCACATTCCTCGTCCTCGTCAAATCAACGGATGTGGCGTTCGAGTACGTGTTCGTGTCCGGGGAGTTCATGGCTGTGGCCGGGTCGGCATCGGCGCCTGGGCCAGAGGAAAGGGTCGTGTTGCTGACCGTCTCGGTGGTCTCGTCGAAGTAAGAAGTGCCGTTGGAGGTGTCGTCATCGGAGGTGTTGACGCCAGCGTCCTTGTCGAACGTGTCGTCGGAAGCGTCGGTGCCGTCACGGTATCCGCCATGGGCGGTGAAGGCGACGATCTCGTCGTCGCAGTCGTGCCACTGGTTATCCTGCCACTCGTCGTCCTGCCACTCGTCTTTCCAATCGTCGTCCTCCCACCACTCGGGAGCAGGCTCAGCGCCGCGAGGAACGGCGACAGTGGTTGGGGCGCGCGGTGGGTTTGGGACAGCCGCCGCGAGCATTGCCGCGCAGAGGAGGGCGAAGAGGTACATGTTCATGGCCCTTGGTCAAGGAGCGTGATGGGAGAGAGGAGGAGAGAGGACTGGGGTCAGTGACGAAAGGAGCCAACCCACCAATCTCTGCGTTGCCGGAACGCAGGAGGTCTAGAGAGCGTGAGTCGCTGGCAACAAGAGTAAGACGCAAGTCCAGAAGTGAGTAGATAAAGCATGTTGCCAGCTGCCAGCGGCCAACTGCCAGCGCCAGCACGACAGAGATCGCCGCCTTCGCGCCCCTCGTCGCAACCCCTTCGCGATCGTTGCAGTCGCTCACATAGTCCATTGTCCAAACTACGCACCCGGCCCATGGCTCGCATCGCCCCTCGCAAAGCAGTGTGTCCGCTTCCCTACGGCCGTGAGGTTTCCGGCCTGCGCCCAGAAGTCGACACAGCTCTCGTCGACACCAGCAACACACGCGGCGCCGACTCGCGTCCCGGGCCCAGCGGCGAGGGCGGCGCTGCTGCCCCCCGAGTCGGCGATGTACGCGACCAACGCGCCCGGCGGGTCCGCGTACGTGCTCAGGCAGAAGGTGCCGTTGTCAGCCGGGCGGTAGATCAGCGCCCACGCCCACGAGAGGTATTCTGAGCCGTTGACGTAGTCGCCGGCGATGAAGTCGGCGCGATCGATGAAGCCTGTGCCCCAGGTGTTTTCGATGAGCGAGGAGGAGGAGGAGGGGGTGGAAGAGGGGGAGGTGGGGGTTGAGGGAGAGGTCGGAGAAGGGGAGAGCGAGGTCGGCGAAGGGCACGACTTGGTGGCTTTGCGCGGGGCCGCGAGGGCGGGCGCGAGCGCGGCGAGCGTGATAGCGAGCGCGAGCAGGCGCATAACGTCCAAGTCAATACCTGGCAGCTGGCAATACCTACCTGTTGCGACGAGTGAGAGGAGTGAGAAAGGGAAAACGGCAAGCGAGATTATAAGCTTCCCGCGTCGACTGCCGACTGCCAGTGATAGTTTCCATTCCTCGAGTTGGCGCATGACCTCACTCCGGGCGTCACTTGATCCGCCGCAATCGAGCGTGGATGTGCATTGATGCTCAGATTCTCGCCTGGGGATGGCGAGCGACGCTTCCAGCGCCCATGGCGGTGCATCCGAGCGAGGGAGCGAGTGCGACGTCTACGGCGAGTGCGAGCTAAGAAGAACAAGAACAACAACGCCACCAACATCTTATCCATCTGATCCCGCCACATCCACATACTGTACACCCCCTCCCCCTACATCCCCCCCGGCTCCTGCCATACCTGCGGCGCAGCCGGGAACCAATTGGCCATATCATCCAGCGCGGAAATATCCACGCTCATCTCGTCTGCGCTCGGGAACCACGCGGCGAGGTTGAACTCGTCGGGCCACGCCCCGGGGTCGGCCGGGAGGAGGTGCGTCTCGACGGGCGACGGCCCGGTCGCGGACCCCGGGCCCGGCGCGGGCGGCGTAACTTGGAACGCCTGTACGGGGTCCTGCCACGGAAAGGGGTTGAAGCCGGGATACTGTGTGGCCGCGACGGCCGAGGCGCGGCGCGACGCCGCGGTCTCGGGCGCGGGCTGGACCGCCGCGTCCGAGATGCGTGTGTATGGCAGAATGCCTTGTTCGCGGGCTTTGCGCAGCGTGCGGCGCAGGCCGTCGGCGAAGGGGCCTGCGGCGACTGTTGTTAGCCAAGGACGGACGGAACGGGGGTGACGCACAGACTGGGAGCTTGAGCAGCAGCTTGTCGATGTTCAGGCTGATGTCTTGCAAGTCGCATGCGGTAGGGAGGAGCTCGCACATCCGGATCAGGTAGCGGCTCGTCGCGACGATGCCGACGTAGTAACCGTGGTTCCCGAACTCGCTCTCCTCTTCGAGGCGCTTGTTCGCCAAGCAAGAGACAAGGAATGCCCCGCATCGCATAGCTTCGGCCACCCAGCCCTGACGCTCTGGGTTGAGGCGCGCAATGTCGCCCTTCTTGTGCACGCCATGCCATGCCGGCGAGTTCGTGTACATGATGCAGTACGCCTTCTGGTTGTCGAGCTCAATGCGGAGAAAGTGGTCATTTGGAAGGCCGATACGGTCAGGGATAAGCAAGCACGTGAAATATTCACTCACGATAGTAGCCCAGCCAGTAGTCGTACAGCTCGTGTATGCCCCGGTTGGCCATGCGCACGAGGCGGTCGACTTCGGCCTGGTCCTGGCTCGCGAGGCTCTCATGTGGGCGGAACGGGATTTCGCGAAGCTCACACATCTCGCAGGCAGTAACAAGGCGCGAGTCGTTGAGATTTGACAGCGGGTGATCCAGCAAGTCACGCGCATACTGCGTGCGCTTGCCGTGTGGGCTGTTGAACTGGATGGGCAGAGAGTGGTTGAACGACATCTCGTACGACAAGCGCATGAGCTGGGGTCAGCTGACTTCAGATTCGTGGGCTTACCGCTAGCCACACGCGCGCACCAGCGACGAGTGGACGCTGCCTCTCCAGCAGCCGGTTGGGATGCCGTGCGGTACGGATCTTGTGGAGGTACGGCAGGCAGCGGTACAGGCGCATGTCGACGGCCAAGGCCGTGGCGTGGCAGCACGTCCGCCACGCATGTTCTGAGTAGTGCACAAGCACAGTCAGGCCCTGTACCGTCTCGAGCGTCGCCACAGGCGAAAACAAGGTGAGCTTGACCATGTGCTCCGCCTGATCCTTGAGTTGCCGGGAGAGCGCGGACGGTTCGCCTGCTGCCTCACGGTGCCGCAGCGCCACCATCAAAATCACAGTCATGCACAGCGGCGACTTGCGCATGTGCTCGAACGTGTCCTCCTTCGGGTCGAAGACGGGCACAAATGGGTGCGAGTATTTGAAGAAGCGGTCAAAGAGGTGGCGCGCCTCGTCTTCGGGAATCTGCCCGCTGGTGATGGGATCAAGAGCGTGTGCTAGCAAGTCGCCGCGTTCGCGGATCGGCGGCTCCCACTCGTCTCCATCACTCGTGCCTGTGTTGCGCTTGCGCTTGCGCGCGGGCGGCGGGACCGGTCCGCCGTCGCGCAGAATGTGTGCGTCCTCCTCCTGCTTGGTGAAGTGGCGGAAGGGCTCACCCTCCGCTGCCGCTTCCAGCATGTCGTCATGACTGAGCGGGGACGATGAGCGCGTGCGTGCCGGCAGACGCTCGCGCTCATGGCTCATCGGCGCCTGCTGCGGCGCATGCAGGTGCGTCGGCGTGTGATGCGGATGATGTGGGGTATGCGAGTTATGCGAATGTGGAGGTGGGACATGCATGTGAGGCGGGGGGTGCATATGCGTAGGGTTGTGGTGAGGCGCCACATGCTCGAAGGGGTTACGACCGAGCGAGGGCGGCCCACTCGAGTCAGACCACGGAGTCATTGACGGCGGCGGCTCGTATGACTCGGTGCGCAGGGGATGTCGGTGGGCAGGCAGTTAGCGGGGGCCGCCGAGTCAGACTTACGAGGCGCGGTGGGGGAGACGCCAGCCGCACTCGCCGGTGTCGGCGGAACCAGGCGCGACAGTACATCCGTCATCTGATCAAGCTTTTTGTAGATGCCCGAGACGTGGCCTTCGAGCTCCTCGAGGCGGCTGGTGTCAGTTTGACCATTGATCGGATTCACGACTTGGTCGCCTCGGTCTCCTCGAGCACCTGCCGCGGCATGGGGCCCATGACGAAGCGGCATTGAATCTTCATCTGTTTACAGCGCTTGCACGGCGGCTTCTCCTTGTCGATGCACTTGATCTTCATCTTGCGGCAAGCGTCCTGTGGTCAGTCACTGTTGGGTGAGGGTGAGGCGCCTGCGAGCCATCCGGAGTACGCTATCGCCCCGAGCAGGCCTTATGCCTGACGACATCGCCGCAGAGTTTTATCAGAGCCCCAGCTGCTCCGGACCAGGACTCACACAAGCACCTGTCGTCAGCAAGCTGCTTCTCATTCCCGCCCCGCTGCCGTCGTCCGTTTCCATTCCGCGCCCGTGACTGTCCACGGCCTCCGCCGTTCTCCCGCTCCCCTCCCCTCGCGACACTCACGCGACGGCGCCTCTGCCGGAGTCCTTGTCTCGTAGACGACTTCGTCGAACTGCTCGTCGTCCGACATTGTTTGGTGGATGGATGGAAAGAGAGAGCGGGATGGATGTCTCGCGAGTTCGGAAGCCCACCGACGGGGCACCACGTGGTCACTGCCGCGCAGTCGGAGTGGCACCGAGATACGCTACTGCCGCCGGCAATGGCTTCAAGACCTCCCAACACCAACTAACGATGCTGCTGCGACGGAGAGCGTCGGAGACGGCTCACACAGCATTGGAACAGCGTCGACGACGGGCCCGCGCACTCGGAGTAGGCGGGAAAGTGGGCGAAGGTGCGGATGGCGGGAGATCTCGCCGGGTATAGCCGCGCACATGACCTCCCTCCAACCTCTCTATTGTTCTCTCTCCGCTCTCTCCACCACAATGTCCGCCCATCCGAGCGTGATCATCCTCATCGCCTCTGACGGCGCGTCGCACACCTTCGTCGCCCGCGAGCTGCGCCATTGGGCGCCCCGCCTCGCCGGGCCGCACGGCTACATCCGCGAGCTGAGCGACACCTCCATCGAAGGCACAAAGACGCTCGAAGCCTTCGCGGCCCTCGTGAGCTACGGCACACTGGACTCGCACCACGGCGCCGGCCTTTTTGCTCTCCTCGCCTTCCTGGAGAAATGGGCGCCGGCGCTCGTCGATGTCTTTGCCCGTCAAGTCGTGCATGCCGTCTGGCGCCGCGACCACGCCCTCCACCCCCAGTTGGCCGTCGCGCTGCTCGCCACGGCGGGGAAGGACGAGATGGTGCGCCAGGTGCTGTTCCTCGCGCCGCTCGAGCTCGGGCTTGGGGACGAGGACGGGGAGAGGCGCGATGTCTGGGACAGCGTGCCGAGAAAGTACCGCGAGGCCATTGAGCGGGCGACGGAGGCGGCGATGGGCGCAACGGACGACGAGAAGCTCGATACACTGGTCCTCGGGTTCGACGAGTTCTTCAAGACATAAGAGAGGCTATAATGGGGCCAGTTGTGTGCGTATCTTACAACTAGGACTCCGCTGATTTCAGAAATCACATAGATGTCGAAGTCGAACAGCAGCATGTACCTCCTATCCGTTTGAGAGTTCCGCACCTCTCGTCTTTCCGCCGGCCGCCGAGCAGCTCCAGAGGCGAGACGTGCTGCGTGAGCCGTCTTGGCAACATGAACAAAGCGAGATCAAGACAAAGACCAGCATTTGGGCCCCACGTCACGCTCGGACCTGTCGCGTCGTGCGCCTGCGCGGTGCGTCGTGCGTGTTCATCTCGTCGCACCATCTATCTCACTCCTCCTCTCACCTCTTGTCAGTCTTTACCATCGCCGCCTCTCCTATTCTCGCCTATTCTCTCCCTTGCGCTCGTCCTCGCTCGACCCCGCTTGACGTCGCTAGACCTCACTTGACCCCGAACTCTCGACGCACCTCCCTCCCTCCCCTCACCTCATGACCCGCCAGTCCATGCCCCTCGCTCGTCCCCCGCCCACCATCAGGCTCGTCACCCCGCACGGCGCGTCCTACTCATTTTCTTGGGCACAGCTGAAAAAGGCCGCGTGAGTCTTGGCGCCGTAGGTTTCTGTTTATCGGAGGCCTTGCGTGGCATCTTTCCAGCCATGTCAGGGCGCTCGCATCACGCATCACGCTCCCACTGACCACCTCCGCTCCTCTCGCACTTGAGCCGCGATAATCATCGGAACAGAGTAAACTCGCGAGAACGTCGACGGAGGAAGCAGCTCGCCATAGCCCCACGCCACTGACACCAGGCCCCGCCTCGCCGCACAAGGCGACATAGTACACCTCCGTGACGTGCGCCTGGAGAACTGGAACGTCCTGGACCCCTTCACGAATCTCGTGCGCACCGGCCGCGTCGCTTTCGAGTACCTGCCGCCAAGCGACGCGTTCCTCCTCGTCGAGTTCCTGCTCAAGTGGGAGGCGGGGTACGCGCTCGACGCGCTTCTCCAGCGCGCGCTGTTCGGCGTGTGGGCGGGTGACGTCGCCCGAGCTCGCGTTCGGCCTCGCGGCCGCCGCGGGGTGCCGGCAGCGCGCGCGCGACGTGCTCGATACCAAGGCGCTGCCCCGCCCCCTGCCGGGATGGTGGAAGAGCCGCGTGCCCGAGGCATACAAGATTGCCTATGAGCACGCATATGTCTCGACGGCGCATCTCGCCGAGCAGGTCGAGGTTATCGGCGACGTGTTTGAGAAGGCGTTCAAGTGATTCAATGGACACTGCAAGTTCATATACCCGCCTCATGCTGTGACATTCTTCGGCTGTATTCTATTTATCATCTGCATTGGTTGGAGCGTGTGGCAGGTCGATGTCTGACAGGTGTCAGCGGCCTCATTGATCTTGGCTCAGTCTGAGGCGCCACATGAGAGTCCGAAGAGCAAAGTTGACAACCGACCAAGCTACGACCGCGACACAGGCTGCATACAAAATACCATTTGCTTTAAATCGATACACATCGCTCGCCAACGACACTCACGTCCCAACAGTGCACATCTCCCCACTCCCACTCCCTCCTTCACGACCCCCGCGCCAACGGACTCCCCACCAACTTCTTCGTCTCATGTTCGCCGACAGGACTGTCCGCGCGCGAGTCCGCAATGCGGTCGACATCGAGCCAATGGCTCTCCTCCTTGCCCTCGCCCTTCCCCCACACATTGAACCCCAGCACGCCGACGCTCGTGACGCGACCGCGCCGCACCTCTGGCTCCGGGCTGTCGGCGCGCGAGTCCGCCGTCCGGTCGACGTCGAGCCAGTGCGTCTCGTGCGCGACCTTGTCCGCGAGGGTGGTGGGCTTCGTCGCGCCGTTCGTCTCTGTAGAGGACTTCGTCGCCTCGTTCCCAGACTTCGCCGTCGCCTTCTCCCCGTCTCCCTCCGCCTGCGTCGTTACGCGGTACACCACTTGGCCAAGCACGCGGGCCTCCCATGTGTCTTTGGAGATTGGGTGGCCCGCAGCGTCCACCTCGGTCGTGTGCGTCGCGGCGGTGTGGTAGAGCCAGTCGGGCATCTGGTGTGAGTGGGGGGTGGCGGCCGTGGCTGGCTGGACTGACGTCGTGATCGTGATCAACCAGAACAATATCGATGAACGAGTGGGTGATGAGGAGTGATTGAAGTGGGAGTCATCGCAAGCGAGTAGTGCGTGTGCGAGATGAGTGGGGGAGGAGCGGCTCACCAGGTCATGTGCCGCCGGCGATATGCAACAACATCGGCTCAAGGTCTGGACCCCACCTTGCGGTAGTTCCCCCCTGTTGATGCTGTCGATGCTGTTGCTGTTGCTCCTCTGTATCTTTCATCGGCGGCACATCTCCCTCCTCACCATCAAAACCTCGCTCGCCGCCACTTCCCGCAGCGTGACATCACGCCCGGTGGAGGGCGTCCCATCCGTCTTCTGTCTCACTCCTCTCTTGACTCTGCACCGTACCCCCCGCGCGATGTGGCTCTTCGACGCCATCCTCTGGTTCATCTTCTGGCTCCTCGCCCTCCTAGGCCTCCGGGAGCGGGACCACGCGCGCGACCCGCCACACAAATACACCTGGCCCGAGGCGCGGGTTCGCGCCGCGGCCCTCGTCTCCCAGATGAGCGTGGACGAGAAGCTGAACCTCACGAGCGGACACGTCGGGCCGTGCCAAGCGAACACGGGCGGCGTGCCGCGCCTCGGCATCCCGAGCTTCTGCTACAACGACGGGCGTGAGGCGGCCGTGGGGCGGGCTGACACCAGCCGCCGGCGTGCGGCACACGGACTTCACGACGCAGTTTCCCTCGCAGTCCGCGACGGCGTGCTCGTTCGACCGCGGCCTCGTGCACGAGGTCAGCGCGCGCATGGGCGCCGAGTTCGCCGCGAAGGGCGTGCATGTCATGCTGGGCCCGTTGGCGGGCGGGCCGCTCGGCCGATCGTGAGTGGTGCAGAGACGGCCTGACGCCAGTCCGTATTGTGGGCGCAGGTGGGAAGGTACGTCCTGCCGCCCCAGGTCTGACGCTAGCGTTCTCCCCCGATCCCTACCTCTCCTCGACGCTGTCGTATGTCGCCGTGCGCGCCGCCCAGTCGGCCGGCACTATCGCGTGCGCTAAGCATTACATGCTGTACGAGCAGGTGCCGGTGTGCTCCGGCCCGCCGGACGACGAGGGCATGCCCACCGACTGCACGCAGGTGTCAGTGACTGCGGATGGTGAGGTGACCGACCGTGGGCACGCTGACGGCAGATAAGACGGTGAAGGAGGTGTACCTCCCGTCGTTTGCTGAGGCTGTGCGCGCCGGCGTCGGCGCGGTTATGTGTTCGTACAACCTCATCAACGGGACGCCGGCGTGTCAGAGCGACAACGCGCTGAGCCGAATCCTCAAGACCGAGCTCAATTTCCAGGGATATGTCTTGGTAGGTGGTGAATCGGGCGAAGCTGACTTCAGAGCGACTTTGGCGCGGCGCATTCGACAGCAGAGTCGGCAAACGCGGGCATGGACCAGGAGCTTGAGGGCACGGTGTGGTGTGCGTCTGGTGCTGGCGGAGCTGATACAGACGGCGACGATTTGAAGAATGCGGTCACAGCCGGCAAGGTGTCGGAAGACCGCCTGAACGACATGGTGACGCGCATCCTCATCCCGTGGATTGCGTTCGGCCAGAACGACAAGTGGCACGAGCCGAGCTACACACGCTGGGGCCTCGGCGACGCTGTCGAAATTGACGACCGATCTTTCGTGAACCAGCATCTCGACGTACGGAAGAAGGATCACGCCGAGTTCGTGCGCAAGGCGGCGGAACAGTCGCATGTGTGAGCTGATGACCGAGCGCAGACAAGCTGACACCAGATTGCTCAAGAACGAGGGCGTCCTTCCACTCGACCCCGCGATCCGGCGCATCGGCGTGTTCGGCAGCGACGCCGACTACCCTACGACGATCTCGGGCTGCGGCCCCGACCTGTTCTGCACCGAGGGCGGGCGGCGGCACTGGAACGGCACAGTGACGGTCGGCGGCGGCTCAGGCGCCGCATACGCAGCATACATCGTGCCGCCGATCGAGGCGATTTCGCGGCGCGGCCGCGAAGCCGGCATGCGCGTCGACCACGTGCTGCGCGACGACGCGGCGTTCTTCCCCGGCATCGCGGCGGTGGCTGGCACAGTGCAGATGTGTGTCGTGTTCGTGTCCGTGTTCCTCATGGAGGGGGCGGACCGGGCGGACCTGCGCCTCGACAACGACGGCGAGGCGTTGATCAAGCATGTTGCGGGGACGTGTGCGGGCGACGTCGTGGTGGTGCTGCACGCCGGCGGGCCTGTGGTCATGGAGGACTGGATCGAGCTCGAGCGCGTCAAGGGTGTGGTGTGGGCGGGATATCCGGGGCAAGAGAGCGGGAACGCGATCGCCAACATCCTTTTCGGGGATGTCAACCCAAGCGCCAAGTTGGCGTTTACGCTGGGCCGGCGCGAGGCGGACTGGCCGCCGAACAGCATTGTTCGTAAGCTGGTGAGTAGCTTTCTCCTCTTCCCCCCCCTTCCTCCTCTACTCCGCCTTTATACTCGCGCCTCTCCTCTTCGCGCGCTAACCCCAGCCCATGATTGGCAAGCCCCGCACAGCCTTTGACGAACGCCTCGCAATTGACTACAAGTGGTTCGAAGCGCATGGACACACGCCGCGCTTCGAGTTCGGCTTTGGGCTGAGCTACACGACCTTTGAGATGTCAGACTTGCGCGTGCGCGCCGAACACCGCAAAGACGAGGCGATCAGCCATACGGCGGAGGCGCACGTCGGCCCGCTGCAGCTCTACGACACGTTGTATGTCGCGCGCGTCGATGTGCGGAACACGGGTGATCGGGATGGCGGCGAGGTGCCGCAGCTGGTGAGCGCGATCGATGGCGAGAGGAGACACGCCCAGTCTGACGCCAGTACATGGCCTATCCTCCAGGGCAGCGCCAGCCGCCGCGCAACCTCCGCGGATACGACAAGGTATGGCTCACGCCTGGACAGCGCGTAACCGTCGAGTTTCCCCTGGTGAGTTGTGAGGCAACACCGCTGACAACAGCGCAAGAAAGACCTCGCGGTGTGGGATGTAGTCCAGCAGGCGTGGCGCGTGCCCGAAGGCGAGTTCACCTTCTACGCGGGCCACAGCTCGCGCGACCTCGTGCTCGAAACGACGCTCGTCGTCGAGCTGTAGCCCGGCCGTATCATATGCATGTTCGTTGATGACTTCTTCTTCTTCTTGTGTGTCTACTTCTTCAGTTCCTCCCTTACCCCCACCCACATGCCGTCCAACACGCCCACCGCACCCTCAGTGACCTCGCACACCGCGTCCGCGCCCTCCGACCCACGTCCCCCAAGCGCCTTGAGGCCCTCGGCGCGCGCGCCGCGGATCTGGTGCTTGGCGCTCTCGAGCCCCTCGTGAATGTTGCGCGCAAGACCCTCACGCACCGTCCCCGTAGGCCGCGCGACTTCGACGCGCACGATCCCCTCCTCTTTGCTCGCGCTGAGGCCGGGGATGCCCGCATCCCGGATCGCTGCGAAGACGGCTTTGGCGGTCGCGGGGTCGAAGGCTTCGACGCGCAGCGCGCGGTCCGCGGGCACGGAGGTTACGGAGGCGAGCGAGCGCAGCGCCGCGCTACCGGTCGGCGTCGCGAGCTTGATCCCGTCGAGCATGGCTGGGGTTAGCAGGTGGAGGTGTGGTTTTGGAGTGCTCCGATTCGTGCGGACACGGGCGACGCCGATGACGCGTCAGTCAGCGGCCCCGCGTCGGTGCGGCTTGTTGGCCACGCTCATGGCCACGTCACTTCCAGCATCGAGCTCGCCTCTCGGCCTCCAAGAGAGGCCGCGTCGACATGCTACTTGTGCCCGCCGCCGTCCATTGTGCGCCTTGTGCCGTGCGCCACCTTGCCACCCCATGCCACTCCGCACCACTCCGCCGCTCCGCGCCACTCACCAGGAGTCAGCCTTCCATGCGCCCGCTCCACGCCATCATACACCACGACCCGCGCCCACTCCAACACGCGCTCGACCTTGCGCCGCACGCGGAGAAGCACGCGCTCCTGCTCGTCCGCCGGGACGCCTTTACGCGCCTGTGCGTGCGGCTGGTGGTGTCCGGGGCCGAGCTTGTCGCCGGCACCGGCGCGGTCCTTGCGCGCGGCGTGGTTCGGGGTGAAGAACTTGGGTGAGGAGGCCGCGACGCTCGGCGCGGGCGTGGCGGAGAAGAAGGGGACGGGGGAGGACGTGAAGTCGCGGCTGAGGCGGCGGGGGAGGCGGGGGCGGGGTGTGGGCGTGAAGGAGGCGGGGAGGAGCGCAGGGGCGCGCGACGTCGGGCGCAGAGAGCGGGGGACGCGCATGGGTGGCGATGGCGAGATGAGTGATGGCGAGGGAGCGAAGCGAGGATGAGGAGGAGGGAGGGAGTGGGGGCTTGACGTCACGCGCGCGCATCGCCACAATACAATGGCCACGTGGGAAGCTAATAGTCTCGTAATGCATTAGGAATGGAGGGATGATAAACACACAATCACTCAACACTCGAGACAATGGCGGCGAGTGGCAGTCTGATGCACCGATGCACCGATGCACCGATGCACATGCGCGATGCACGAGACAATGAACGGCCTGCTGATCACCTCGGGCCCGCATCAGAGCAGATAGGAGTGTATAAGGCCAGGCAAGGCCGCAGGTTGCCTCGCACCGTATTCTCACTCGTCAACTTGCCACCAGCGGCCTGCGTTAACTACACGACTCTGCTCGACTTCTACACCTCTCCTCCTCCAAAAGCTTCATGAATCACTCACGCACCGTCTCGGCGCCGCCGCAGACCTGTCGCCGCAGCAAACGCAACGGCATGCTCTTCACCCGCCCTTTCAGCCTGTCCGACTACGAGTCGACGCAGGTTTCGACGCTCAGCGACTCGTCACATGGAGACTACTCGCGGCAGGAGTCTAGATGGCGTGCGGCGCGCGCCTCGGCTCCGTCCTCCTCGTCCATATCCCCGTCTGCCGCATCTCCCTCTGCCATATCGCCGTGTGCCCCATCCCCCTCCGCCACCTCCGACATTGACATGGAGGAGATCTGGACCGCGCAGACGTCCCATCGCGCAACACAGGCCCACCCCACCTGTCCCGCTCAGTCCTACCTCAGCCGCACTACCCCGTCCCGCACCTCCTCCTCCTCGGCCTACTCCTCCCCGCGCTCCTCCTCCCGCGCCTCGACGCTGTCTCTCTCCCCCTCCCTCTCCGCGCCATCCGGCACACCCGCACGTGCGCCCTCTCCGCCCCTCCCCACCCTCCCCCCACCCTCCCTCACCTCTCTTGCCCTGGTCTCCCGCACGCCGTTGCTCGAGCTCGCGATGAATCCCGCCCTGGTCATTCGGTAAGTCTCCAGCTCCTTCAGCCCCTCCGCTCACGCAGCCCCGTCGTCCCATGCGAGCGATGTGCCCTGTACGCCCACGAGTGCATGTACGACCCCGACGTCCTCGTCGCCGTCTGGGACGGGGAGGGCGATCTGCCGCTGCCGAAGTGCGCGGCATGCCCCGACGACGAGGGGTGTTGGCATGTCCTCGGCGGGCGGATGATCCGGCCGCGCGCCCGCGTGTTCGAGCACCCTACGGAGATGGGGATTAACGATGCGTGGAGTGAGTAGATGTCAGTATGCACGATGGTGGAGTGATGGAGTGATGGAGACGAGAGAGATGACATGAGATGGATCGAAAGGCGATGGTTCATCAAGTGGGAACTCACCGGTGATGAGTTGCCGCGTCGGCGTTGGCCGAATTGATTCCGCGCGTCAACAAATATCGAGCTCACCATCACTCCATCCGCCATCGCCGTCGCCGACGCCGCCACACTCCCTCCAAATACCCACATGCGACGCCTGTAAGCGACGCATACCCTCCTTTACATGCAGCAACTCCACCTCGCCCGCGCAGTCCGCATGGACGCGCGCACCCTCCGCCGACTACTCAAGCTCGTGCGCACGCACATCGCGCATCTTCCCCGCCCGAGTGTGCCGCTCGCTCTCTCCGTGCCGCATCTCCCCGCTCTTCCGGCGCTGAACGACACTTTTCCCGCCATATCGGTGGCTTTGACGTCTCTCTCCTCCGTACCCTCTCTCCCCTCCCTCCCCTCCCTCTCCTCCCTCTCATCCCTCTCCGTCCAACTCTCCCTCCCTCCCCTCAACCTCCCATCCCTCTCCCTCTCCCACCTAAACCCAACCGCACTCCACGCCCTTCTAACCCGCCTCCTCGCCCGCCTCCCCCCGTCCCTCACCTCCGCTCTCATCCTGCCCGACCCCGCACGCCTCCACGCAGCCCTCCACCGCCTCGCACTCACCCAAGCGCGCGCCCACGCCGTCCGGTACGGCATCCAGCTTGCGCTGGGCTACGCCCTCCGCCTCCTCCCCGAAGTCGGGCGCACTCTGCCCGTGCCCCTCCGCTTGGCGCTGTCTCTTGCGCGCATGGCTGTCCGGCAGGCGGTCGGACAGGCCGTGCGCGTGGCTGTGGGCTTGGCGATGCGGCAGGTCGTGCCGGCGCGGCGGGGGGGTGGGCGGGCTGAGCGAGTGATAGGAGGGAAGGTGAGTTGAGGACGGTGTCTGTGAGGTGGCGCTGACGGAAGGTGGGGGGCGGATAGTGTTGTGCAGCTCGTCGGAGTGCGCATTGGAGCGAGCTGCGTGAGCGGAGCGTAGTTGTGGAGGGGGTTGAGCTGAGGTGCTCGCTACGTCGTCGGGAGAAAGAGGGCGCAGTCTGTTACCTGTCACAACACAATGATCGGGAGACGTGGAGTGCCCGTCGCGCTCACTTACACACTCTTTTACATAACACCATCAATCTCTCATCAAGTCGACTCTGTCTCCTCCAGTCGACTGTCACATTGAGGCGAACACTACGCAAACGACTCGTCGTGCCCTAAGGTCCAGTCGCCATGCCCGCCACGATCACCGAGCAAATGTTCCCCCACATCATTGACGGCATCCTCAAGTATGCAATGGCATCGGCGACGTACAGCGAACTCATCGCCCTTCGCCGCCTCTCACGCACCACAAAAACCGCCATCGACACCAAGCTCTTCACTCACCTCACCATGACCTACGTAAAGAACACCCTCGGCAACCTGAAGGTTGCCACCCCATCTGGCCGCCACCCCGCGCTTCTCGACTCGCCTACGCCCGGCGCGAAGGGAGTCTACACAGCCTGCTTGACATGCATTTTCGCCAGCAGCTCTCACTCCGACCCTTTCGAGTGTGAGCAGTGTATTCAGCCCGCCTGGCGCCTCCATCCTATCTCGGCAAACTTCAAGGCTGCACGCATTGTCGACATTGTCGGCGGAACCCTAGTGGACGGTTTCAAGCCACTCTCGGCACTCTTCAACACGATCGACTACCTTCGCTTTAAGTCGCAGTGGGGTGTCACCAAGAACTCGGCCTCCCGGTACGGCATGGTGTGGCCAGGTCACTACTCTCGGCAGCCCCTGCATTGCCGCGTCAAGAACATGGTGTGGCTCGGCGACGTGGGGTGGCGCGCCGGCCTGTGGTGCGACGCCATGCCTGTCGTACCCGACGCACACTACATCTACGTGTGGCGCCGGCCGCTCAAGCTCGACCCATACGTCGACGTCCGCCTCGAGGTGCCAGCAGGCGTGGGGCACGTAACTGTGGTGTACCATAAGCCCGAAGGCGAAGCGGACGACCAACCGTACGACCTAGCTGGGCTGGAGCCGTATGCCGAAGCGGTGGCGCGGGGGTACACGCTAACCGCGGCGGGGTTGTTCGACGCGGCGGCGAACTGGCACCAAGAGACGAGTGTTGAGTCGGGCACGCACACGTCGGCACAAGAGCAGCTCATGCTGATATCGCGCAAACACCACGCTCAGCACATGCAGGTAACCCGTCGGTTAAATGCGGTCGAGGCGGCGGCCGAGTTTGACGCCGGCATGAAGCGCATCGTGACGCTGTCGCTCGAGGAGTATGTGGCGGGTCTGAGCGACGAGGAGCGCGCGATGATTATGGAGGAGTAGAATGAATGCATGGTTGGAGGAGGTGTGGCCAGGCGAGCACGACGGCGTACGGCGCGAGGCGTGTGCTGGCGGCGGTGCCTGAATGAGGCCATTCCGCACGCCGAGAAATTGCCTCGCGGCGACGTCGACAATGACCGCTGCGGCCGCCGGCGCCGACGCCGGGCATGTCATGCACATCGCGAGGCCATTGCCCCTCCCACTCCCCCGGCAACACTAAACCCGAGTCCGCCGTCCCACCACGCCCACCGTCGCCATCGCCATCGCCATCGCCGTTGCCTCGCCGCCCACCCACTGCGCGCCCGAAATGCCGCACGTCAAAAGCCTCATGCCGCGCCGTGCCGGCCGGCACGATCGATCGTCTCGATCTCGATCTCGTTCTCGTCGGCGAATCGCCAGGCCGCCAGGCCGCCAGGCCGCCCGACGCCCGAGTTCCGATCCTCGCTTCGCCGCGACGCGGGGACATATAAGCACTCCGCCCGCAGCCAGCGGCCAGCGACACTTACACGTCCCCTCGTCCCCACCTCCCCACGTCCCTCCCAACTCCAGCATGCGCCTCCTCCTCGTCTTTTCGCGTGCGTCGCCCAGTGCCCGCCCACCCGCTTACTCGCTCACGCCAGTCGCGTCCCTCGCACTCGCGCATAACGGCGTGGACCAGTACGACGCCCGCCAGCGGCACTGACCCCAGCTCGAAGGACAATTCGACGCACAGCATGAGCGCGGGCTCCGCGGCGCCCGTCGCGTCCGCGCCGGTCGCGTCGGGAAGCGCGGCCTCGGGATCCGCCGCCGCCGCCGCGCCAGCCACCACGTCGTCGGGCGCGGAGCGCGCCGTCGTGGGCGTCGCGGCGCTCGTCGTCGCGGCCGTGGGTGCGGCGTTGTAATCAGCGATCTGTAGATGTGAGATGTAGACGTTGAGGCTCTGCAGAATCGTGCCATGTACCGCCCACACAATCGTGTTGTCTCGTCCTAGATCGCGCAATTCGTCCTGCCCGAGTACGATGCGGCGCGTTGCGCTCGCAGGAGTTCCCGACGGAGTGAATGAAGAGTGGGGGAGCAGCAAGACTCCAAGATAAGCTCTCGGGGTGCGCCTGGTGTACTCTCGACGGCGACACCCCAAGCGCGCCGGCGAATCACCGCCCCGCTCGGCGCCAAGCAACCGCGCAACCGCGCAGTCCTCGCGTCGCCGCGCCCGCCGCGTCCACTCCGCCGCGTCTTCGCGGGGACCCGACCGGACATGAGCGTACTAAGCATATATACGCCACCGCAGTCTTCATCTCATTCATCAACAAAATGCGCTTCACCGTTTTTGCCTGTACGTATGCGTCTTGAGCGGGCCTGACCCAGTCCTCGCGCTCGCGCTGCCTGCGCTCGCGCAGTCGTCCGAGTCGCACGACGACCACGACCACGCGCCCTCAGCCTCCGTCTCGGGGTCTGCGGCCGCGGCGGCGCCCGCCACCCCCTCCCCGACTGACAAGGGCAAGTGCGAAGCCCACGGCGATCACTGGCACTGCGAGGGCGACGCGCACGACGACGACGACCACTCGGCCTCGGCCACCGTTTCCTCCGCTTCTGGCTCCGCTGCCGCCGCGGCGCCCGCCACGCCCTCCCCGACCGACAAGGGCAAGTGCGAGGCCCACGGCGACCACTGGCACTGCGAGGGCGACGCCGACGACGACCACGCGTCGCACTCGGCGTCGGGAGCTGCGGCCGCTTCGGGAGCATCGGGCGCCGCGTCGGCCGCGGGCAGCAGGACGGGGAGCGCCGCCGCCGCCGGCGCGTCGGCGCCCTCGAGCGCGGCCGCGGCTGCGACGTCGTCTGGCGCCGCGGGGCGCGCGGCTGTCGGCGGCGCTGCCGTGATGGCTGGTGTTGTGGGTGCCCTTCTGTTCTAGATGTCATAGATGCTAGTCCTGTCGCATGTAGGAGCATGCATACAATTAGAGTAGTAGTCCCACGACGCCGGCGCCGACGAGCGCACCGATACAGCCCTTGCGCGGCGCGGCGGCGTTGCTGGAGGCGCTGGGTGCACTGGCACTGGCACTGGCGCTGGCACTGGCGCTGGCGCTGGTGCTCGCGGACGCAACGCTAGTCGCGCTCGAACTAATTGCACTGGACGCACTCGCGCTGCTGGACACGCTCACCGCGCTCGACGCCGCCACGCTCGTCCTGCCCGACACGCCCGACCCCGACACGCCCACACTCGCCGGCCCCGAATCCGCAATCCCGCTGCCGAACGACAGCGTCTCCACACCCGTCGCACCCGTCGCACCCGTCGCGCCCGTCGCACCAGACGGCGCGGGGATGTCGCCCGTCGCGACCGTCGTGACCTGCATCGTCGCTTCAGACTCGGGGATCACGACCGTCGCCTGCCCGATCGTCACGCTGGTCAGCTATCGCGGGGACGGACATACGTGCTCTGCGCGAAGGCGGGGGCGAGGACTGCGTCAGCGCGCACGCAGGACACGTACGGCATAGAAGGAGGAGGGGGTGCATTGTGGTGTTTGAGCGATGGATGAATGGATGGACGAGAAGAAGACGGCCGGGTGGCAAAGTAGATGAAATGCGGAATGGGGCAGTGCACGCTGCCAGATGGCGTCGACGGCGCTTCTCCTGCTCGCTCCGTTCGTGCTCGCTTCGTTCGTGCTCATGCCGCCATGCATACTGCTACTACACACGCACCGTCGTCTCCCATGCATACCGCTCCTCGCCCACTTCGGCGCGGTACGCGTCGAGCGTAAGTATGCGCACGCGCTGCACGCACTCGTCGACGAGTGGGTCCGGCCACAAGTCGTCCCGCACCAGGCGGTCGCGGGGGTTGCGCCTGCGTGCGCGAAACGCCGCTTCGATACCCTTGCGCACGGCGTCGAACACGGCGTCAGGCGCGAGGCCGTCGGCGAGACCGAGCGCGGCGGGCGGCATGGCTTCGAGGCCGACGAAGACGTGCGTGCGCTCGAGCGCCGGCGCCATGTGGTACACGATATCCTCGAGGACGCCGAGCGCGCCGCTAGGCTCGCGGTAGTCGCGCCACTCGTACCGCGCCGTCCTAGGGCGCGCGATGGCGCCGCGCACGCGCGGGCGCAGAGAGCGCGTCGGCGCCGGCACGAAGAGGAAGATGAACTCGGCCGTCATGTCCGAGAAGAAGGGGGAGGGCGCCCACGCCGCGCCGCCGCGCGCGTGCAGCTGCGCCATGTCTGTCGCGTGGAACGACACGGACCATGTCAAGCGCGACGTCTCGACCAGCATGCTGCGGAAGTGCTGCCCCTCGCGCTCTAGCGGTGCCGCGAGGCGCCGGAAGCATACGGTGGGCGGCAACTTTTGGCCTGTCACGCAGGGCGCGCAGCCGTGCGCGCAGGCCAGCCGCAGACACTGCAGGTTTGGACATGCGTCTCGCAGCAGCAGGTGCGCGGGCGTTATGTCGATGTCGAGGATGCGGGTGTGTTTCAGAAGGGCGCGGGCGTGGCGCGCGCGCTCGTCTCGTGCTGAGTCGAGCGAAAACGGAGGCGGCGGAGGTTGCGAGCGCAGCGCCCGCGTTGAAGACTCGATGCGCGCCCGCTTGCTCGCTGGTGCGGTGTCGGCGCGGGCGTCATGCTGCGGCGGCGACCACTCCCCCACTAGCGAGGAGGGAAATCTCAGGTCCACGAACGCTGGGTGCGTTTGATGAAGATTGTGCATGTCGAGGACGTAGGAGAGACGGATGTCTACCCGGTCGCGGGTGGCGCGGTCCAGCTGCCGGAGGGCGAGGAGTCGCTTGCGCGCGCGGCTGCCGGGCGAGGAGTCGAGAATGGCGATGAGGGCATCGAGGATGGAGCCGAAGACGTGCGGCAACGCCGAGGCGTCTATGAGAACGCGGGGATGCGGCATGGGAGAGAGGCAGTGAGAGAGGAAACTGGAGTGAGTCGTTTGGGTCATGTGACGGAGCAGAGCAGTTCCGCAGCGAACAAACAACAATTCACGTGGTCACCACTTCGAATGCAGCAATTCAGACGACATGCCGAGAAGAAAAGAGGATATATATCATTACGCCAGCATCAAGACCTACACTGTATCGTCTGGGTTTCAAGTGAGGCAAGTACAGACAGGGTGTTGAACAGCGGAGATAGGTCGTTACGTGCCAGACGTGGGAGGGCGGAAGTCCAAGCAAGATTGGCTGACGAACAACTAGCGCCGCCGCCGCGGCGGGGGCGGCAGCGACGTGCCATTCATGCCCATCCGCTCCGGCCGGTGCGGGACGCTGCGCGCGCGCATGAGGGGGCGCTCATCCTCCCCGAGTACCGGCACGGGCTTGCGGCGCACTGTGTGTCTGCTGTTGCGCGGCGCGCTCGTATCGTCGTAGAGCGTCTGCGCGCGCTCGGCGCGCGTGCTAGCGTCTCCAAACGTGGCTTTGCGCTCGTGCCCGCGACTAACAGGTGGCTCGTCGCGCTCGGTCGTGATCCGCTCCATCCGCATCATCTGCATATACGCCGGATGCGCTTCAACCGTCGCCGACTCGCACACTGCGCTGGGCTGCTCGGCCGGCGCGGGGGAAGCGGTGCGCCGGCGCCCAATGGCACGGAGGGCGTTCTTGACGCGCTTAAACCCGCCGCTCTTGCGCAGCGCCAGGCTCCAGCTCGACGCGCTGAATAAGCGCGGCCCCTCCTGCTTTTCGCGCGCGATATCGGGCTTGACGACCTTGTTCGCGCTGCTCGCGTTCGTGTGGCCCGTCCGCTCGGTCCCCGATGTGCCCGACGACTCGTGGCTCTCGCTATTATCGTGCGCCGGCGTACTGGGCCAGCAAGGCGACGCGGGCGGCGTTATGCTACGCGCGGCTTCGCGGCGCGCATACTCTGACCCGATGCTCCACACCTCGACGGGCGAGATAGGGCGTCCAAGCTCGGGGGGTACGGCACGGATCGTCCCCCGTCCCTCCCTGTGCGGAGCCGGAAGCGAGTGGCGCGCGTGCATCTCGAGGGGAGGAGGGGTGTCGCGTTGCCCGTGCCCCCCGAAGAACATTCTGCGCGCTGGCCGTCAGAAAATAACAGGGAGGACGTACGTGAGTCTGCGGACGTGGTCTGGGGATGGCGGTGGGCGAGGTCGGGGAGCGTGAAGCCTGTGGTCTGGGCTGCGCGGGGGATGCTCGGCGCCGGAGGGAGGGGGGAGGGCGGGCCGTGATGCGGCGTGTAGCTGGGCATAGGGAGGGGGCGGGGTGCAGGACGCGGCGTGCTATTCTTTGGGGGAGCTGAGGCGCCGCGCATCCTGTTGCGCTTGAGAGAGGGCATGGGCTGAGGTAGTGGGGTGAAGTGTCGACGAAGGAGTGGGTTTGAAAGAGGTTGGTGGGCGAAGATGAATGAACAAGAGAACGCGACGCGCTGAGGCTCTTGAGAATGATGCGCGGCGCGGGTGATGGCCGCGACCGCGGGGTGGGCATCGACGGCAAGCATCGAGAGGCGACGAGCGACGAGGCCGATGCGCGAGGCGAAGCAGTCGAACGCTTAATGCTTCCCAGCTTGCAGCTTCCAAGAAGTCAGAGCGCAGTGATGGAGGGGCGAGGTGATGAGCAGTGCAGGGGCCAAGCAGCGGCCAGTGCGCAGGCGCGCGAGGTGCGCGTCTCGTCGTGTCGTGTCGCCGTCGTCGCCATGCTGGTGCTCGTCGTCGTCGTCGACGACGAGTGAGTGAATGCTGGGTCAGTGATGGTGAGTGCGGAGAGAAAATACCAAAAATGCATGCAAATCTATAAATCTATTTGTGCCGTGGATGCAACAACATTCTCCTTCCCTCCATCTCTCATCTCTCATCTCACTTGCTCTCCTCGACATCATCTGTCTCCCGCGTCGCGCTCCCCTCTCCTGTCCCCTCCTCGACCGCCTTGTCCGCGACCATTTCCCCTCGCCGTCGCCACCACGCCCACACCGGCACGCCGTTGGACACGATCCCCGAGGCGAAGAACAATGCGCCGATATACACCCCGGCGTACGTAAACCTGTCGTCTGCGGCAGTCACCAGCGCTGCTGTCAGCCCCCTCTTCCGCCGCACTCACCGCCAGAGATAACCGGGCCCACAAGCGACGGCACCGCCAAACACGTAATGAGCATGCCGAAGCGCATGCCCGTCTCCTCGAGGGGCGAGACGGCGGCCGTCGCGCTGCCCGCGAGCGTGAACCATGCGCCGTTGAGCGCGCCCCATAATATGAGGCCGATAATCGCGGGCGCCGGCCCGACGGGGGGCACCCACAGCGCAAACATGACGACCGCGCTCGCAATGCCGAGCGAGCACCACACCTTCATGACGCCAACGGCGTCGGCGAGGACGCCCGAGCCGAGTCGCCCGACCACAGAGCCCGCCTGCAGGATCGCGACGGCGTAGATCGAGATGCTGGGCGGCAGCCTGTTGTCCTGCGCGTATGTGAGCGCCGAGAATGTCGGCGACATGATGCTGGGGTCAGCGGCGTTGGGCTGCACGACTCACTTCATGCCGTACAGCATGGCGCCGAGGACCAGGAAGACGTATGGCGGCTCGGACCAGGGGGTGCGCACATCGCGCCACGGCGGCGGGGCGCGCGGCGGCAAACGGCCTTTCATGAAGACACAAGCGGGGAGCATGAGCACAAAGTTGAAGCCGCCGATGATCAGCATCGTGTCGCGGTACGACAGGCGCTGGAAGAGCTTCTCGAGCATGAAGGGGTAGACGATGCCGCCGACGCCCGAGCCGCAGATGACGATGCCGATGGCGGTCGAGCGGCGGCGGAGAAACCAGTGCGCAACGACGGCGCCGGATGGCGCGTACGCTAGTGAGCCGGCGACGCCGTAGGCGAGGAAAGAGAGCAGGAACTGCCAGTACTTTGTCGAGACTGAGGTTAGCGCGGTAAAGACCGGTAAAAATCGGCAGGGGGCGAGTCAAGAACTCACACGCGAGGCCGACCATCGCGATGAACGACAGCAGGGTGCATGAGACGACGAGGAGGCGGGCCCCGTGGATATCGAAGAAGCGGCCCGAGAAGATGGCGAGCGAGAACTCTGCAAAGCTGACGATCGAGCCGAGCCACGCGACCGTCGCCTTGTCGTACCCCTTGAGCTGGTTGGCGAGGTAGTAGTCCTGCAGCTGTCCGAACGCCATTACTGGTGTGAGTGGGGTGGGGGTGCGTGGGGGGTGGGAAGTAGGCGAGCGAGATAGCATTTGGAGGCGAGCGGGAGAGGCGTTTGGGAGAGGTGAGGGGGAGGGTGTAAGACCGAGGAGGTGAGAGGGTGGGAGGGCACGCGCAATGCCAAAAAGGAGAAGTACGCACTAAAGCCAAAGATGCAGAACGGCAAGAACATGGCGGACAGGACACACAGCCACGCATCGAGCCCGCCGTCGGGCGGCGGACCCAGCTCGCTCTCGATCTCTGGGACGGCGGACTTCTCTTCATCCTGTGGCTGGGCGGGAGGCGCGAAGCCCGTCGCGGACGGCGCGGCGTCGGGGATGATGGAGAGGGAGAGGTGGGAGAGGCGGGAGGGCGTGCGGTCGAGCGGGGGGCTCATGGCGAAGCGGAGTTGGGAGAAGACATGGATGGCGAAGATGAGTGAAGTGAGTGGGCACCGAGTCATAAATCCGGGGGAATCGGGGATATCGGCGGATGTTGCGGTTCGGTGGTGGACGGCGTCGGCGGAGATTGCGTGCTATCGTCTCCGTCGTGACAAGAGCAGTCGCTCGTGTCCAAGTCATGTGTTCGCAGAGTCCCCGTACAGCCGTTGTCTGTGCTAATCAATCACGATGCGAACGCAGCAAGAGGGGAGCCTGCTCCACCTAGTCGCCGAGGTAAGACGGCGCTGCAAGTCCAGGGACTGCAACACCGAGCTCATCCTCGGTGCGTTTAAGACGTGTCGGAGCAGCTACGGACGATTGCCGTGATACATCTCGGGCAATCTCTACGGAGCAAGGACGAGATCGAACATCTCAGGCCCCAGCATGTCGCGCACATCCTCGAACGTCGCGAACCCGACCTGCCGCGCGACGCGGTTCATGGCGGACTGGGGCGCGAAGTAGCCATCAGCAAGCAGGATCTCGAGCTCGGCATCCAGCATTGCGCTGAGGGCGAGGCGGTCGCGCCGTGCCATGACGCTTCGACGGCCGGGCGGCACGGCGGCGTGCGGGCCCGCCCCCGCCCCCTCCCCCTCCTCCTCGTCGCCGACGAAGAGGTAAGTGTTCTCCGACGAGCCGGTCACGATGTGCTGCACGACCTGTGACGCGAGGTATGGGAGGAGTGCGCGCCACGCGTGCGTCGCCGGCGCGCCGGCGCGGTTGAGGCGCGGGAGCGGGGTGGTCGCGGCGCCCGCGAGCGTGAGGAACAGATAGACTGCATGCCCCGAGGGCCCGGTACCGCCGTCGTACGTGCCCTGCGGGGCGCGCGGGCGGACACGCGAGTAGCGGAGATTCACAAAGACGTCGCCGGCGCCGTACGGGATGCTGGCGCGCTGCAGGGGGCGCATGTCGCATGCGAGGTCGTGGAAGTGGACGGTGTAGACGGCGGGGTTTGGGTGCAAGTGCCGCTCGCGGCGCGCGAGGGAGAAGTCGAGGTCGCGCACGGAGTTGTGGATCCGCACGAGCGAGAGCGCGGGTAAGCGCGGGAGGAGCGCGGCGGTTTCGCGCAGTAGCGGGTGCCATGCAGCGCCGTATTGGATGTCGAGGACGCGGGTGCGGGCCAGGTTGGACGGCCAGCCGGGCACGAGCGCCGGGTACTGCGGCACGTAGGGGAGGCCGGGGGCGGGCGGGGACAGCCCCGCGTCCGTAATGGTTACGTGGGCGGCGAGGAGGGTGTTCGCGACGAGGCGGAGGCGGCGGGATGTGCACCGGAAGACGAGGAGCGTCGCCGGGTCGCTGTGCCGCATGATTGCGTCGATGATGTGTGCGTGGCGCACTCTGTCGAGTCGCGCGCGGCGCGGGGCTGGGCGCGCCCAGGCGCGCACTGTTGTGGCGGTGGCTTCCGCCAGATACACCAGATCTAGAGGAGGTGGGCGTTCGGCGGAGAGCAGGAGGAGGATGGGGAGGGAGAGGAGGACGAGGAAGAGGAGCTCGTGGAGGATCTGGAGGAGGGTGTGGAGAAGAACTGCGAGCATGGTGCAGGAAGCGCCGGACGAGCAGGAAGTCCTAGGCTGTTAGAACGTGGAGTCGACTGCCGATGGTCTCGATGCAGAGGTAAGAAAGTGAAACGAGTGAGTTGAGCACGAGAGGGATGTAAAAGTTTCTGCGGAGGCTGGAGGTTGCTGATCACATCGCCGATCGCCGTTCTGTAGATCAGTCGAGAGAGTCACAGAAGCAGCGCCGAGTGTGGCACTCTGCTCCATTGACTGAGGCCTGGTTGGATATCTTTGGCGCCTCCTTGGTGTGCACTGGGGAGTGCCACGCCAAGCCAGCCAGCTAGATCATGCCGTGAAGATCATGCATGCCTACTTGCGCATGTGGATGCCCACACTCATGGGCCCTAATCCGACCAACGGCGTCCCCAGCCCCGCAAACGACGGCATGTCGAGATACCTCTCGGGCCGTGTCTGCGCGCCGTCCCTGTCCTCATCCGCGTCCGCGACGTCGTCCACATCCCCTCCATTCGCCTTGAGCGGCGCGAGCTCCATCCGCTCCTCGCTATCGCTCTCGCGCTCCGAGCTCTCAGCCCTCTCGGACCCTTGCCCCAAATCCACGCGCTCGTAGAATAGCATGACGACCTGCTCCGCCGTCGCCGCCAGCTCCTCGGTGCCGACCTCGTCCACGTCGGCATCCGAGATCCGCAGCCACCCGCGGCCCGGCACGCCGGCCGCGCCCCCCGGCTTGCGCCGGATCGCGACGAAATGGCCCGAGCTATGCGCGTATCCCTTGTGCAGAATCGCCGATTGGAGACGATACAGCGCGCGCGGCGCCTCGCCAATTTCCCTCGAGCTAGCTCCGCCGCCGGCGGCGAGCGCAGCCGCCACGCCGCCCACCACGGCCTTGGGCTCCCACACGCCGCGGGCCATGTGCGGCCCGAGATCGAACATGAGGGGATATGCGACGCGCGCCGTCTTCTTCAGCAGCTGGCCGTAGGGCGTGTACTCTGAGCGCACGAAGTGGAAGCGCAGCGTCGCCGGCGCGCGCGTCACCGCCGTCTCGCGCACGCAGTCGGTGCGCACGACGTCCCACTTGACATCCTTCGGCGCACCGCCTTCGGTGCCGACCACGCCGGCGTCGACCATGGCGCGCAAGCGCGCCGCGACTTTGGCCGCGTGCGCGCGGCTCTTCTTGCCCTCGAGGCGCTGCGCGCGCTCCGCGTACTTTGCGGCCGTGGCGCGCGTCGTACACATGTCGCAGGTGACGTCGGAGAGGCGCTCCGGCGCGAGATACTCGGATATGCATTCGTCGAGCGTCACGTGGCCCTGGAGTCAGCTTGGCGGAGCGGGGACTCACGGAGCGCGGGACGGACAGCTCCATGCCGCCTAGCGTGTCCATGCGCACCACGTCCGAGTAGCCGCACCGCGCGCAGATCCGCCGCCGCGCTAACAGCCCTTCCCATGGCACGAGGAGGGCGTCGTTGCGCCGTGGTGGCGGGTATGGGCGGGGCGGGATGGAAGGTGCGGCGCTTGGTAATGGCGTTGTTGCGCGGGATGTGGAGGCGGAGGCGGGGAGGGAGTTGGGGCGGAGCTCGAGAGCGACACTGAGACCGCCGCGGACGCGTGCGACTTCCTTGGCTACTTTCGCAGCTTCGTCGGACACAGCTTCGGCCAGGACGACGTAGAGCTCGTGCGCGTCCTGCTGTTCGCGTGTGGCGAGCAGGCGGCGGATTTGGGGCAGCGGCGAGAGCGCGGCGAGGAGGACGTGTGGCCGCAGCGCGGCGGGATGCCGCGCATGGCCCGTGTTCAGGTCTGCGAGGACGTCGTATAACGCATCGCTGACGGGCGTGGGGAGGTCGACGGACTCGGCGGCGCGGATGACGCGGCCGAGGTACGCTGTGAGGGTCGGGAGGGAGGCGAAGGCCTGCAGCACCGAGTTCATGTAGCACAGCGTGCCGGAGAGATTGACCATGCCGGGGTAGCGGTCGCCGGGGTCGTGGGCGGGCTTGGGGCGGGGTGCATGGCGGGAGGAGGAGGAGGGGGAGGAGGGGGAGGCGAGGGCGAGAGGCGCCGAAAACAGGCCCATGCTGTTCAGCTTTGCGAGGAGGCTGACGACGAGTGCGATGGCGGCGGCGAAAGCGTAGGGCAGGACTGCTGCTATGTCATGGGCTGCAAGCATGACATGCTCGAGGTGGGATGGTGGCGAGCGGAGACGGCGACGGAGTGTGGGAGGGACAAGAGGAGGTGACAGCGGCGAGAATTCGAGCAATTCGACATCCAACGAGAAGCCACGCGTCATCAAAACACTTGGCTCCGTCCACTCTCTCATCAACTTCATCAACTTGAACTGCAGCTCGCATCTCATTCTCCAGCATCACCATGCCCCCCGCGCCCGCCGATAAGATCCAGAACGCGCGCGAGGCGATTGACAGTGTGTATTTGTGGAGGCACGAACACTGATCGTAGCGCTGCACGACCTCTCTCTGCTGCTTCAGACTGGTGAGTCGTATCAAGCACACGCCGCGCGACGCGACGCCGACTCACCCCAGGCCTCGACAAGCAGACACTTTCCATCTGCATCGGCATGATCGAGCACGGCGCGAACCCAGACACGCTCGCGGTGCGTGGCGGCGAGGCAGAGCTGATTCCAGGCTGTCATCAAGGAGCTTCGCAAGGAGAAGGAGTAGCGGTTGTCCGCCCAGCGCCCCGCTCCGCACCACCCTTCCAACTCCCCCCGCCTCCGCAACATTGTGCATCTACTGTTGTAGCATTACGTTACGTCTCATAGCCTAGTCATGCTTCCGCCCCCCCACGCTGAGGTTGAGCGTGGACGGCAGCGACTGCTCGCCGATGCTGAACAGCAGCGCGACGCCGCCAATCACGAAGAACAGCAGCAGGATCGTGGTGCCGGTGAGGAGCACGAATGGCGCAGAGTAGTCGGTGCCGGTAGAGTTGGTCTTGTTCTTGGCAGCCTCGACAGCGGGTGCGTCAGCCTCGACCTGGCGTGCGTAGTGGAATAGCGGCTGGGTGTTGGTGTCCTTGACAATCACAAGCAGAGGGGGTGAGTCGGGCTTCGTCACGCTCTTCAAGCCGTTCTGGACGGCGGGGCTGACAATTTCCCACAGCGCCGAGTCCTGGGCTGCCTCGACGAGGCGGATGCGCACTGCGTTCCAGCCGCCAGATGTGGACGACCACGATGGCCATAGCGGGTCAGCGAGGGCGATGAGCGCAGCGAGCTCGTGCGTGAGCGCCTGTCCGATCTCTGTATGTTAGTGGGATGGGTCTGGGCCGTGGGGACGTACTGCTAGTTGCCAGGTTGAGATCGCCGAGCAGCTCCTTGACGTACTTGGCGACGGGCAGGCGGGCGACGGTGTCGAGCGCCTCTGCAGCAGCGGGCTTGAACTGCTCAAGAACGGACTCGGCATCGTCGGCGAGGTAGAATGAGGGAGAGGAGAGGGAGGCAGGGAGAATGTCTGGGGTCAGCATGAGTCCCACCTTCCGCATGAGCAGCGCCACCTGTTCTCCTCGATCACGTCGGGGAGAGTATGCACGCGCCAACCCCAACTCACCCTGCATCTCGCCGCCCTCGAGAATCACGACGTGTGCGCGTTTCTCCCCGCCATCCCAAAGACGCATCAGGTGTGCCCACACACCCTCGTCCTCGGGCGTGTCGTGCGCCGAGACGTCGCCGCCGAGATGGTGCGACATGACCGCGCTTGCCTGCGCGACGTTGAGTGTCGGTGCATGTGCGCCCGCGGGCGCGGGGAACATGTAGACCTGTGTCGCAGCGAGGGCGGCGGGGAGGAGGAGGAGATGTGTCCTCATCGTCGGTGGATGTGGGGAGGTGGATGGGTGATGGAGACGAGTGACGCCGAGAGTGACTGTCGTCGTCATGGGGTTTGATCCCGCCGGCGTGCGCAAAAAGTCGGCACGCCGTGGGATTCGAACGCCGCTTGAATGGAGATGCCTCCTCCCTCCTCGACTGGTGAGCGAGCGGGTTGAGGAGACGAAGCCTCCCCCTCGTTTGCATGATGCAGGCTTGTCCATCGCCTGCATCTCCTGATCGCCTGCTTCATGTCGTACAATTACATGTGTCTATGCTGCATCCCCCATCCTCCCCGACGCCGTCACCGTCGCCGATTCCGCCCTACTCCACCTCCATCCCCTGTAGGCTGGCAGGCACACGGACCTTGTTCAGCTCCTGCTGCGTCGCCTTGGCCTTCTTGCGCTCAGCGACATCCTTGACGGCTTCAGCCTCAGCAAGCGAGTTGGCAGCGTGCTCGCGAATCGTAGCCCAAGGGTTAGCCTTGAACGCCGGGTGCGCCATCACAGCAGGGATGCGCTGTGCATTACTCGAACTGCCGTCAGTCTACACCATCTCCCACTGCACTCACATCTGCTTCCTCCGCGCCTTCTCCTTCAGCCCATGCCCCGACCCCTCGCCAATCTTGCCCTCCTCTGCGCGCCGCCTCGCTTCTTCCTCGCGCCGCCGCGCCAGCTCCGCCATCACCTCCTTTTTGCCTTTCGCGGCCTTCTCAGGCGCCTTCTGTGCTGGTTCGTCGCCCGCAACTTCGCCCAGCGCAAGCGCGACAGAGCCCAGGCCGCCGCCGAGCGCAACGGCCGCTTTGGCTTTGCGCTTCTCCCGCCGCAAATGCGAGCGGGAGTATGGGTGAGCAGCCGCGCCGGCCGCGATCGCGCCGTAGAACACGGGCTCACCCTTCGCGGGCTTCGGCGGGACGGCATCGGAGATCTGGCATCAGCGCGTCCAAACCCTCACACACTGTCGCGAACGGGTTGGCGCCGGGCAACAGAGCCTCGGTCGCGGCGGGCGCCGCAAAGGCGCGCTTCGGCAGCGCGACAGCGGACTCGTGCCGGCGTGATGATGTCTTCGCGGCACGGGGCTGCGGTCAGCTCGTCGTACTTGCCCCTCGCATGCTCACCATTGAGGAGAGGATATTTGTGGATCAAGATGAGTTTGGTGGCAAAAGTTGAGACCTCCACTTTGTCGCGTGCCTGAGATATGGCTGGCAAATGTCTTCCCAATCGTCTCCGACGCCGTCTCATCAACACTCTTCTTCCACTCTTCACGCTGTTGTCGCGCGCATGCCGAGGTGAGCTTGTGGGAAGAATGTGCAGCTTACCCAGACTGCATCCGCGCACACTCCTGCGCCTCGCCGGCGGTCGAGGGGCGCGCACCCTCTTCTCCCGGCCGACGGCCGCCCCCGTCGAATGGGTGCTCGACGAGGCGTACAACCTCCCCTTCCTGAGCCGCGCGCACGCCGAGCGTCCCGTGCCGTCGAGCTCTAAAGTGACTCTCGACATTCTCGGGATGGACCCGCACGCAGACCGCGGGTCGCACCGCCACGAGCCGGAAGAAGAGCTGCCCTTCGCCGACGACGCCGACCTCCTCGCCTCGCTCTCGGGCAGTGCCCTCCTCTCGCCGTCGGCAGCGTATCGCGCACTGCGGCAGAGCCCGCTATTCGGAGCCCATCTCCAGGCTCTTCTCCCACGCATTGGCGACGTCTACGCCTCTCTCCGGAGAGATAACCATGGCGCACACAACCAGCTCGTGGCCGATCTTCTCCTCCGCGCGCCGTCGCCGGCGGCACTCCGCTCGATTCTCCTTGACGAAGCAACACACTATCCCGAACATCCTGGTGATGCCCTCCGCAAAGGCTTGATAGTGCAGGCATACCGCGCCATCATCCCATCTCTTCGGCGCCGCGCTCTTGCACCTCTCACCCCTACGGCTTTGGCAGTCATCGCTCGCGCTCTCATGGCCGCCGGACACGACCATCTCGACGTTCTCGACCATGTCTACTACCAGCTCGCGCACGCTGCGTCATGGACACGGGAAGACGGCTGGCCAGCCCTTGCCATCCTCCTGCACCTCTCTAAACACGGGCGGGCAGAGCATGCCCTCAAGCTCCTGGACTACCCCGTGTCCCTAGGCAAGCTCCCCGCGGCGATGGGACGCACCTCCGCCTCCCATTCGGAGCCCGCCACACTTCTTGCCCAGAGCGCTGTGGTCCGCTGCGCGCTCTTCTGGGGCCTGGACCAGCGCGCCTACAACGCCGTCAACGACCTCGTCACGACGATGTCGCGCACAGCCGTTTCTGGCCCCGCGCTCGAGCTAGTCCTCACCGCGATACGGGGGGCGACGGTGCGCCGACGCGCCCCCGACGTCGCGTGGGCGGGACGCACGCTCCTCGCGCTCGCCGAAGACGAAGCATTCCCCCCTCTCCCCAGTGTCGACTGGTACTACGCGGCGGTGCCGCCGACGGCGGCGCTGCGGTTCTACAAGACGCTTCCCGAGAACCGTGCGGCGCCGCCGTCGCCGCGCGAGATTCTGCGCATGGCGCTCGCGCGGCCCGAGAAGGCCGCGCTGCGTCGTTTGGCCGAGGACCTCTCGCGCGCGCGCCACGCCGCCCCCGCCGTGCCGGGCATGCTGCGCGCGCTGGCGGCCGCGCGCCTCCTCCGCCCCGCGCAAAGCATGTACGCCGCCTGGCGGGCACACAACAAGCTGGACGGGTGCACGACGCTCGCAATGGTGCGGGGGCTGACGCGCGGCGCGCGAAGCGCGAAACGCTCCGCGGCCGCGCGCACCCTCGTGCACGACTACTTGGCGTCCGCGGCGCTCGACAAAGAGCGCGTCGCGCTGCACGCGTACGCCCTCCTCGGCAGCGAGGAGGACGGGGCGCTCGCCGCCCTCCTCGCCGACGTGGTGATGCGGCGCGGCGTCGACGCCGCGCAGGACGCAGTCGACGACCTCGCGGCCGCGCACGCCTCGCTCGCGCACCGCCTCGCGCAGATCGCGCGCGCACACGCCCTCCGGCCGCCGCGCGCGCCCGTCGTCCTCGCCGCCAGCTGTGCGGCGGGACACTGGGGCGCGCTGGCCGTGGCCGGCGGCGCGGCGGGCGTCGAGACCGGCCGTGTCGCCGCCGGCCCAAAGCTGCCCCTCACACCCGTCGAGGAGGCGTGTATCGCGGCGCTGCGTAAGGCGCGACAGGGACGCATGCGCGGCGCGGCGCGCCGCTTCGCCGCCGCATGCGCGTACGACGCGCACTTGCGCGGCGTCGACCTCGATGGCGAAGGAGAGGGAGAAGGCGAGGGAGAGAGCGAGGGCGAAGGGGTGGTCGACGCCGTCATCCCGCCTACGGCCGCGGCGCTGCTGCTCCGCGCGGCGGCGTTGCGGCGGTGGGAGGAGGGCTTCGGTGTCCTCTGCTCCGCGCTGCGGGTTACGGGCGAGGAGGGCGTCGTGGATGCCGCCGGCACATTTATTTCGGGGGTATCCCGCGCCGAGGCGCGCGACGTCTTCGCGGCGCACGCGCACGCGGTCGGGCGGCTTGTGCGCCGCCTCGAGCCGTCGAGCCACGTCCTTCTCGAGACGATGTTGGAGACTGCGGCGCGGCGCCTCGGCGTGCAGCTGGAGTGATATACAACATGCATGTACAGATTAAATATCCGCAAAGCGGGCGCGTTTGCGAGGCTTGTCATTGGCGGTGGACGGACGTTTCGTCCCCGTCCCGGGGGGCTCGATCTCCGCAGCTACGGGGGTGACGATGGCGGTGGAGACGGCGCTGGGCTCCGTCGGCGAGGGCGCGTCGGCGTCTGCGTGTCTCCGCGCAAAGTCCGCGAGGAGCGCGGCATACGCCGCCTCCTCAGCGACACTCGCCGTGCCGGGCGGCACGAAGGAGACGGGAAAGTCGTACTCGTCCGTGCTTTCGGCGTGCACGAAGCGCGGCTGCTCGACCAGCATGCGCGAGTAGCGCTGCTCGTCTTCGGTGGAGCGGCGCGCGGCTTCGCGCCGCACAATGTCCTCCTCGAACGTGCCCTGCGTCACGAGGATGTCTATGCGCGTCGGGCGTGTTTGGCCGATACGGTGGATGCGCTGGTGTGAGCGTTCATAGCCGCTTGGCTACTGTCCCGTGTCTCGGCCTGCGCTGTGCGTTGGCCACTGCACTGCTCACCTTGACCGCCTGCGCCTGCACGTCCGGGTTCCACACAGGCCCGAGGAAAACCATGCGGTTCGCCACGGTCAAATCCAGCCCGCGACTACCCAGCTTGAGGTCGAGGATACACACGTGCGCGCCAGCTTGGAACTCGGCGAGGGCGCGCACGCGCGCCCCCCGGTCGACTTTGACGCCGGCATACACGCTGCGGACGCGGGCGAGCGCGAACGCCTCGCTGAGATGCGCCGACTCCTCCCACGTTGCGAAGATGAGGAACTGGTCGCGCGGCGCCGAGAGCACGGCGCGCACGACCCAGTTGATCTTGTTCGAGACGGAGAGCGTGCTGATCGTCGCGGGCAGAGGGCGGGGGCGGTCCGCCGCGTCCGCGGCGGCGGCCGTGGCATTCCGCGCCGCGAGGTCCAAGTTGACATCCACCGTGTCCCGGAAGGCGCGGTTGCGCGCCACGCGCGGCGCGTTCGGCTTGTCTGCGGCGCCGTGTTTGCGGGGGCGCGAAGCGGGCTCCGGATCGCCCACCCGCCACTGCTTCTCGGCCTTGGCCATCGACGCGAGAAACGCCTGTGCGCGCGGCTTCTTCGCGCGCTCGTCCCACCCACTTTGCGACAGTGCGTTCGCCTCCGCCCCGCGCGTGTTCAGCTTGCGCAGCTGGATCAGGCTATGTGCGTCGACGAGGAAGGGCTCGTGGTCCGGCGCTTCAGACCACGACTCGGCGACGGGCAGCGGCAGCGCCAGCACGCGGAAAGGCAGCGACGCCGCGCCGTTGTCCATCCACTCGCGCCAGCCGGGCGTCTCGGCCGCTTCGCGGATATGCGCGATCGCCGTCTCGATCGCGGCGATGCGCTCCGGCGCCATCTTGTGGCGCTTCTTCGCCAGGTGTTCGGATGTACGGCGCATCGCGCCTTCGAGGTCCATGTCGGTGGACGTGAACCAGGTCATGGCGAGATGGAAGTTGATGATGACTTGGTGCAGCGAGTCGAGGTTCTTCGAGTGTAGAAGATAGTCGGGGTCCTGGCCCTCCGAGGTGTACACGTTGGCGGCGACGAGCCCCATCAGCGCATTGTACGTGAGGCGCTGCCAGTGCGAGAGGTGCAGCGGCTCCACCGCCATCGTGCTTTTCGGGAGCGGCACTTCGCTGTCGATCACTCCGGGGCGGTGCTTGACCATGACCGCCGACATGAGTTGGCGGACACGCTCGATCGCGCCGTACCCCGGCCCGTCTTTGGCCCGGAGGGGCTTCTTAACCCATTTCCTAAAGTCGGCGATGTTGAAGATCTCCGAGGCAAGGAAGCCGCTCAGCATGTGGCCCAGGCGCTCGAGATCGCTCTCGTCAGCCTTGCTCCATTGTCCCGGCACAGGGGAGTGGAGCTTCGGCCGGCTCCTGCCCTTTTTGGTGGTGATATGTGTCGGCTCTAGCGGGGTTGAGGCTCGGGACTCGGCGGCCGAGTCGACGCGCTGCATGCCCTCGGACTGGAGCAGGGTCTCTGCCACCGACTCTGTTCCTTGCTTGAGATAGAGCGTCGGTGCTGGGGTCAGCCACTGGCCTACAGGCACCACGTACTGCCGCTGACGATCCACCTGCGCTCGATGGAAAGCTGGGTAGCGAGGAGCACGGCATCACTCTTAACATTGGCGGCGTTATTGCCCTCGTCAAGGATAATCCGCTTCCATCGCGCGGAGAGGAGCGGTGTCCTCGGAGGCTCTCCATCCTCGCGCTGTCCTTCTCTCCGGAACCGGTCCAAGCTCATGAGAATGATCTTTCGTCAGCGCGCTCTCGCTGCCCGCTCACATCGTACGCCATGAGGGTGTGGATCGGCGGCAGATCCTCTTTGTTGTCCTCGACCACCAAAACCCGCAGAGCACCCGGCACGAGATGCTTCTCGACCTCGCCGAGCCACTGCTTGACAAGGATGGGAGGCACGACGACGAGCGTGGAGGTGGCGACGAACATGCGCTGCGGCGGGACGTGGCGCACGAGCTTGGCGCTGCGCGGCCGCCGCACAGGATCCGGAAAGCGGTAGTAGAACAGCGGACGGTCGAGGAGGCGCCTGCAGTTTGCGGAGAGGCCGTCGACGCGTGATGCGCGCGGATACATTTTCGCGACGATGTCCGCACACAGCGTCTGCAGGCGCGGCGTGCCGGTGAGCTGGGCGTCGGTCCACGGGGGGCCGGCGAGCGCGGCGTCCTCGCCCAGCCCAATGGCGGTGCGCATCGTCGCCATGGTCGCGGTCGAGTATGTGCGCAGCTCGTCGTCGCTCAGCACCTGCGTCACGTCCATACCCTCTGGGAGCGATGTGTGTTGGTTGAGTGAGACGAGCACGAGGGCGAGGCAGATGAGCGTTTTGCCCACGCCCATCTGTTCGCAGAGGATGCCGCCGCGGCTGAGCGCGAACTGCGCGGGCGAGCGCGTAATCTCCATGCTGCTCAGGTTGACGAAGTAGGGCTCGCCGGTCGCCGAGGTGCAGCGGCTGTACGAGGGATCGGGCATGGTGCCGGGCTCCGTCTCCATCTGGAGCATGCGCGCGACGGAGCGGATCTGGTATGCGTGCAGAGCGGTTATCACGCCGGGGGGGTTGGAGTATGTGCGCAGGCCTTCAAAGACCTCCTCGTCGCAGATGAATTGTGGGGGGCCGAATGAGGGCTCGGGCGGGTTCTCGATGAGCGCGTAGAGCGCCTGCATGCCTGTTCCGATGTCTTGTGGCTGGCGTGAGCGAGTCGTTTTGCGCTCTTGTCAGAATTCCCACATCTTCTCCAACTCCATCTCCCACCTGCTCTCCTTCTCTGCTTCTCTCCTTCTGTCTCTCTCTCCTTCTCCACTCACCACCCCCTCACCCCTCTCTCCCTCTCCCACTCACCATCGGCGCCATAACGCCTCCCCCACCGCCCTTCCACCCGCGCTCCAACACGCCAAACAACGCCTTCAGCCGCGCAGCCCGCCCACCCCCTCCCCGCCCCGGCTCAATGCTGACGCGCACACACACGCGGTCGCGCACGCAATGCACCATCTCCGTGATCGGGAGACAGGCGACGAGTGCCGCGGCCGCGGCGGCGCTGTCCTCGGCCCAGGGAGTGGAGAGGAAGGCCGGGGTGGTGGCCTGCCATTCTGACGCGGGGAGGGGGGTGAGGGGGCTGAGCGTGACTGTGCCGAGGTGTATGGGGGGCATGAGATGCCGAGGGGGAGAGGAGGGCGAGGCGGAGGCGGAGGAGATGGAGATGGAGATGGAGATGGAGATGGAGTGGATGGGGTTGGGACGGAGGGATGGAGGAGAGTGGAGGCGCGGAACCAAATACATTACAAACATAGGGCTGCAACTCAGCGCGTACAAGAAAGTCTATGGGTGGGTATGGACGTGTTTAGCCAGAAGAGGGCGGAGGGGGAGGGCGCGACGTCGCCGCCGACGTCGATGTGGAGGGGACCTCTGGCGTGGCCTCGAGCTGGGTGGACGAGAACCCGGGTTTGGAGGGCGAGAACGAGGGTTTGGCAGGCGAGAAGCCCGGCTTGGCCGGCGTCCACAGCGTGCTCCCGCTCCCTGCGTCGCTCGTGTCGACGGACAACGTGCGACGCTGGTACGGGACATACGGGTTGGGGTGGACCGAAAGAGGCGGGGGGCCGGGGGGCGGGGCGAACTCCTGCGAGAACGTGTGCGTGGGCTCTATTTCGGAGGTGTCCACGCCGCTTGAGACGCCGCCTGAGCCCTCCACGACGCCCTCCCACACCCCGATCTCCATGCCCGGCCGCCAGCCGATTTCGTCGTCGTCGCTGAGCGCCGAGGAAGCGTCACACTCCCACTCCGTGGGCATCTGCACGATGACGGCGACGCGGAGGGGCTCGGCGTCCGCGAGCGGACGGGACATTTCGGGCGCGCGCGGCGTCGGTGGTGGCGGGTCGGGGAGGGCGGCGTCGAGACCCATCCGGCGTCTGAAGTTCGTGAAGCCTGCGCCGGGGGGGCGGAGGCGCACGCTATCGGGGGCCGGCTGGGGTTCTGGCTCGGGCTCGGGGTCGGGCGGGAGAAGCGAGTGGATCGTCAACGGCTGGATATCGTCCCACAGATCCGTTTCCACCGCCTTGCCCTTCTCGCTCACGAACTTGGGCTCGGGCGCGGGCACGGGCACCGCGTCGAAAAGCACGGGGATCGGCATCCAGCGGCGTTCGCGGCGCGGGGGCCGCGCCGGGCCAGCCCAGGGGACGCCCCACATGTCGTCGCCCCACCAGCCTGTGGGGGCGTCGCCGCGGGCGATCGCCAGTTGCGTTTGCGTGCGGTAGCGCGCGCGCATCCGATAGCTCCGCAGCGTAAGCGCTGCCGCGAGAAGAATGAGGGCGAGAAGCACGCCGAGAAACTGCGACAGTGTTAGTATTGAGTGCAGAGTCATTGCGCGGGTGGTGGCAAAGTCAAGAGCGAGGGTGTCGTGTGGGCATGCCGTCGGCCGGGCGTTGCGACGAGCACAGCAGGGTGTATCTATCACAGTGCGCCACTCCTTGGCGCTGAACGGACGCCACAACCGCCTCCTCTACGCTGAGGACTGAGGACGCGGCCTGGGCCACACTCACAACAAGGTAGTATACGCCATTTGTGGATGCGCCTGGACCGCGGTCCCGATATGGCGCTGTTGGCGAGGGGAAGATGGTGGCCCCCACAGATTGTGAAGGAGCTGAGGGGGGAGGAGGTGAGCCCGTGCCGGTTGGAAAGATGTCTATCCCGCTCATCTTGAAGAAGGGGGGGATAGTGGCGGGGCGTTCGCGGACCAAGGAGTGGCGGAGGAGGCGGACGAGGACGAAGAGGAGACTGGAAGAATGAGAGTGGGATCAGTGATGGCTTGGACGGAGACAGCGATGGAGAGAGATGGAGGTGATTGAAAGAAAGGCGACGTCGAGACAAAGAATTCGACTGCGGCCACCGAGATCGCTTGCAATGCGGGGATTGTGGGGTATTCCCCTTTTATTCCTACTAATACGTCACCGTGACGGCAGAGCCTGCGGTTTGCCACTCGCTGCAGACTGCGCCGCTGCATGATGCATGCATCGACAGAGGTCTCTGACTAATAAATGACTGAACAGCTACGAGTTCTCTGTTGCTTTTTCTGTGCTGTGCTGTGGAGAGTGCAGAGGGCTGTATGCGCAGTCTTATCGCCAAGAGACGCCAACAGTTTGCACAGTTTTTGACCGCGTCACCCTCGTCACTTTCAGTCGCCACCCTGCCACGTGGGTCACCCATCTCCTCACCCTCGGACCTCGGACGGCTTCTTGTGGTACATCATCTCTCATTCACTTCATGTACAGCTTGGATAATCACACACCATGCCTCCATGCACTCCCTTCCATCATGCAATGAATCCGTCTCAGGCCTGAGCAAAGCCCACACGCCGCGGCGTGGCTGGCGTCTGTGCCATCCCCGTCTCCCTCCTACCTCACCCTCACCCTCCTCTTCCCCCCTCCGCCCTAAACATACGTCATCCTGATCGTAAGGTTGAACGGCAGGTTGGGATCCGTGACCAGAATCTCCTCGCCCTCGGGCACAAGATCCGATACCCGCTTCTCCAAGTTGGGCTTGGTCTGCTCGTGGATCTGTGGCGGTCCCCACATGAACAGCGGCTCGCCCGTAGCGTACATAAACCCGGGGCGTTTGACGAGCCTGGCCTTCAGCGATACCTTCAGATTTCACTCACAGCTTCTGCTGAACCGACAGCCATTCCATGAGCTGCTCAAGCGTCCAGTCACGCTTGACGTCCACCTCCATACTCTCCCCGCCGCACACGGGGCAGTCGGGCCGCTTCTCGTACTCCCAAGTGAACGTGTATAGCGAGTCGTTGCCATTGTACTAATGTCAGCATATAATCACAACATGCTGTTACCCACCAGCATGTAGTTGTTCAGCATCGGCGCACAGCTCGTCGCAATCTTGAACGCCTCGTTGCAGCATGACGCTGCAATGATCGCGTTCGTACTCGCAATAGCCGGGATAATGTTCTTCACTACACCCTGGGTGAGCGCCCATGTAACGCCCTCAATGTTGAATGCCGCGGCGCGCGTCGCCGCCTTGTCATACAACCACTGGATGTGGTCCGGATCGTCCGTGTCGAGCTTGACGTCCTTGCGGAGGCGCGGCCATTCAAGCACACTCGCCCACTCAATGCAGTGCTCAGGCAGACGGGGCGTGTTGGCGATGGTGCAGATCGGGAAGGCAGTGGGCGGTGTGTGGATGTCAAGAGAGCACTCGTAGCACGACGAGATCGTGGGGAGAATGACGCGCGACTGGCCCTTGAAACCCTCGGTGCCCCCGTCAATCAAAGGCTTGAGGCTCTCGGGGTTCTCCATATCCACCATCTCCACCAGCTTGGCGTTGATCCACCGGCGTGCCGACACAGAGTCAAGACCGGCGATGATAATGTTGAACTGCATGTAGAACGAGTCAGGGTGGTCCTGGATCTTGCTGTGATGGGCCGTGACCTTGACCCCGGGCACTCGTTTGTTGATGAACGCGGCCGCGCACTCGGCCTTGGATTTGCCCACATCGGCCTCACGGAAGAGGAATTGGCGGTTAAGGTTGGAGATGTCAATCGTGTCCATGTCGATGACATGGATGTTCCCGAAACCTGTGAGCGCAAGGTCTTGCAAGATCTCGCATCCCAGTCCACCGGCGCCGATGACAAGAATCTTGCACTGATGACGTAGAAAGTCCTTGGCCTAGTCGTCAGCCACGAAAATTAGTAGTAGACCCACCGCCTCAGCTCCTTGATACCCATCCGTCAGCGGACCCTCACGGTCCAGCAACTTGTTAATAGCGGCATAGCGAGACTCGTCAGACACGTAGTCGCCGACACTATGCATCAGCCAGCTGCCGACCCTACAGCACGAGAGATGCTCACTTAGCCGGGAGGTCTTGGAGCATGACGCGCCAGATCGCCCAGCCGAGACGGCCCTCGCCCTCTCCCCCAGAACCGTCCTTGCCGCCCAGCCGCCTCCGAGCCTCGGCTGTCGCCTCGGGGTTGAAGATGCCAGCCTCCGAGCGCACGTCAACCAGAGTGCTGACGATCCCCGGAGTAAACTCGGGATGGCCTTGAATGGTGAGGATCTGGGCAAGTGGCCTCTCTGACGTTGATGCAGGGTGCTTCTTGGCGAACGAGTGGACCGGGTACTTCTCCGAGCGGAGAAGTAGATCGCACCCGGGCGGCACCTTGGTAACGACGTCCTTGTGCATCTGCTCGACGTACTATTGTGAGCGAACGGGTCTTATTCAAAGAGCTCACAATCTTGGAAGCACCGTTGGCGACGACTGAATCGGACCAGTAATAGCGTCCTTCCTCTGTCATGTCACACCCGTACACTCCAACCTCCCAGCCATTTGTCCCCTGCTTGCACTCGCCCCCGAGTGCCAATGACAAGATCTGATGCCCGTAGCAGACGCCGATGATCTTGACATGCTGGAACTCTGGAGCATTGGCCAAGTTGCGCATCCACTCGATGAGCTGGGGACCAAAGTGCGAGTTGACGTCGTACGCGGTGTGCTTGGAGCCTGTGAGCATCACGACGTCGTACCCGTCAGGAGCTCCTGCACGGAGTCGGTCGTGGGAGGGGAATTCGAGCTTGTCCACAACATTGTAAGGGTCAAGGACGAGCTGGGTGTTGGCTGCGACGTCGGGATCGGGGTATGCTTTGAGAGCCTCTTCAAGCCATCGGCGGAAGATGTCAAGATCTGGTCGTCAGTACGAGGATAGGAGCCGAGTGGGACGACTAACATGTGCCGTTATCCTTCTGGACGACGTCGGGCTGAGTGGTCAGCTGCGGCCTGAATGAGCAAGCTCACTGGAGTGTCGCAGATGAGGAGAGCAACGCGGACGATACGCCTTGTCATTGAGTTTGAAGCAGCTGTGAGCGTGAGTAGAAGTGTGTGAGAGGGAGAGTGAGAGAGAAAGAGAGATGCAGCAAGTGGGCGGGATGGAGACGGAGGGGGAACGGAGACCGAGTCAGCTCGATCAGCAACAGCCATCGCGTATCGCTCCACCGCTCAAGCGATGGGTTTATTTCACCCTCCCCCTTTATTCCGTCTACCGCCTGCCATCTGGATATACCCCAATCGCCACCCAACACAATCATCTCGCATTCACTCCCTCACTCTTCTCAGCCGCCCTCCTCTCGCCGCCATGTTTGACGGCGACGGACTCCGCAAGCGCCCGGGGCCCGCCCCTCGCCTTATCCAAGGCCCAAAGTCTGGCCAGCGCAGCCTGTACCAACAGCAGGTTCTAGACGTGAGAGACTTCCTTGTGTACCAGCTAACAACCACAGGAAGACTCGTACACCGAGGCTCTGTCCCATATCATCCAGCGCGACTTCTTTCCAAACCTCCCCCACCTCGTTGCCACAAACGAATACCTCTCCGCGCTCGCTGAGAATGACCCCGACAAGCTCCGCACCTCGATTCGCAAGCTGGCCAAGCTCGCCCAGGACAAGGAGGAAGGTCGCTCACCAGGCCGTTCAGACCGATTCGACGACACGCCGCGCATCAACCGTCCCGTTGACAACGGCCGCACGCCTATCGGCGGGCGCGGGTGGGAGACGCCAGCCACTGTGCGGCGGCCCGCGGAGGACGAGTTTGCCCCAGAGCCGGGACCGTCGCGCAAGAAGGCAAAACCGACCGTCCGCGACGACTTGAGCCTCGATGCCTTCCAACGCAACTACACGTCCGAAGATAACGCGAGTTTTGTGCACATTATCGAGGAGGAGAACCGCATGCGCAAGGAGGATGCGAATGCGTGGGCTTTTGAAGTCGAGCGCGTGGCCGAAGGAAGGCGACTCGAGGGCGAGGAGAGGCGTAAAATGATCCTCGACGCAGCGACGAACGGTGAATGGCGGGTCGACGTCAACGGGCGCCGCCTGATCACTGGGTTAGGCAGTGGAGGAACGGACCGTGCGGAAGGGGAGGCGTGGAGGGAGCGCCGGATGATCGAGGCTAGGCCTCAAGAATCAGAAACCGAGGCGGAGCAGGGGAAGAGCGACAAGATCAAGGGCAAGGAGGCGGCAGGCCAGCCCAGCTCGGCGCTAGTCAAGAGCTCCGCGGGAGCAGTTATCAAGGCCACCGACGCTTCGGCTGCCTCCGCTCTCCCGCCACCACCACTGCAAGAGGCAGAGCTTCCTGCGGAGCACCCGCTCTCTAAGGCGCTGGTCAAAGCCGGTCTTCCGCCTACAGCTCTTGTGTCGACCGAGGACGGCGCAATCGTTCCACACCACGAAAGCGCCAGTGGATCGGGCGATGGACGAGGTCGTGGCGTGGCGGAGAAGGCGCGCCGCGACAAGCTGGAGAAAAGTGTGATGGGTGACGATGAGCCGGACGTGACCGGTGGGCGTGTGCAGCAATGGCCGTTCAAGGTAAGCCTTTCCGCCCCAGAACCCGCTGACCTAAGGCGATGAACGGTCTCATGTTCCCGCCAGACGCGTACACCAAGCCATTTGAGCAGCAGCGACCGAACGTGTCGGCCACGCATCCGCCGACGATCTCACACCGCAACACGCGCATCGCAGATGAGGAGGAGGAAAGCGGCGCGGCGCCATCTGTTCGAGGGAGCACGGTCGCTGAGTCATGGGTTGACCGCGCAATCTCAGGCGAGCGGGAAGCATACGCGCTCCTGGATGAGGCGGATCCCGACCCAGAGGACCTGCCGCCACTGATGACTTACGGTACACTGCTCGCAACACCGCGCGCGCTTGATGGCTCGACCGACCCTCTCGACGGACCCAAGTTCAAGTTCCCCGAGCCGAAAGCCCGCGACGAACTGGGTCGCAAGCTTGGCACCAAGGCTGGCAAGGCGATGTCGGACCGCGCGCGGGCTTACCAGAAGCCCTCGGGTGTATCTGCGCTTCGTGCAGCGGCTGAGCGGACACGCTTGGCGGACCGCTCGAGCGGCGGGCGGATGGGGCCGCCCGCCACGCCGCGGCGCGAGGGCAACCTAACGCCTGCAGCAAAGAGTCTTCTTGACCGCAGCCTTGGGCGTACGCCGCGGAGCGGGCTTGGGCTGAGCAGCGGGGGAAGTGCACGAAGTGCGGCGATGGAGAAGGGGAGTGGATGGGGAGGAGGCAGCCGCGGCGCACTGAGCTGGACGCCGAGTCCTGCGCCGCGCCGACCCATGTAGATTGTAGTCGCAACGACCATATGTAGCATTTACTGTCTTGTCAATATCCGTGAGAGAAGGCTGATGGGAGGTGGCCAGCGAATTGTAATGCTATACTAATGGATCGTATTTACAGGCGAGATAAGGGTAATTCCCACCACGTGGGGCAGTTACCGGATGGGGCAATCACTGGGCGTCGCGGTGGTGGGTTCCCCTTGCCACCGCAACTGGTGCATGTCATCGGCCATCTCCAAGACGACTTGCTCAACAACATCTCTCTTCCATTCTCTCTCGCCCTCTCTCCTCGCTCCCTCGCTGCCCGCTTCATCCTCTTCGACGCTTCTGTCTGGTGACCACCCCCCGCCGGCCACCTCCACGCCGCACCCCCCTGCACGTCCCACTCACCAGTCCCCCTCCGCCTGCCTTCCCACCGTCCACTCCCACGCCGCAATGTCCGCTCCAGCCTCCGGGGCCGAGTTTCAGGCCTCGAGCCCGCTCAAGAAGTTCAAGCTCGTCTTCCTCGGCGAGCAGAGTGTCGGCAAGACGTCGCTCATCACCCGCTTCGTGAGTCGTTGGAGAGGGTGCACGGTCTCGCGCTGCGATCACGAATGGCGCGATGGCGCGGAATGGGAGATCTGCGCATGTCCGGCGTTCAACCGGAGTAGTGGGAGCGAGGGAGGGCGCGCAGAGCGTGGCGTGCTGACTCCAGATGTACGACACGTTCGACAACACGTACCAGGCGACGATCGGTGCGGCCCCACGCTCGCGCTCGGTCGTGGCTAATGACAGGCATCGACTTTTTGTCCAAGACCATGTACCTCGAGGACCGTACGGTGCGGTTGCAACTGTGGGACACTGGTGAGTCTGGGTTCAGGCTTTGAGGCGTGGCTGACAGCAGCGGGGTGAGTGATGCGCGCGTCGAAGATAGGCATGTACTGACCACGCGCTCTCGGCCTGCAGACAGGTGAGAGGACGTATGCCGCTCGTACTGACAGCAGGAACGCTTTCGCTCTCTGATCCCCTCATACATCCGAGATTCGTCTGTGGCCGTCATCGTGTACGACATCACGAGTGGGTTTTGCCTTCCTTCTGGCTCGCCGGGCACGCGCTCACTCCACTCCAGACCGCACCTCGTTCCTCAACACCACCAAGTGGGTCGACGACGTGCGCAACGAGCGCGGCGAGGATGTGATCATCGTGCTGGTTGGGAACAAGACGGACTTGAATGACAAGCGCCAGGTGACGCAGGACGAGCTCGAAAAGCGTGCCAAGGAGCTGAACATTATGAGCATTGAGACAAGTGCGAAGGCGGGACACAACGTCAAGACGCTGTTCAAGAAGATCGCAATGGCGCTGCCGGGTGGGAGCAGCGAGGCTGCGGCGGCTGCAGAAAACCAGAGTGAGTTGTGGTGCGGGGTTGTTGTGTTGGGATGGGGAGAGCTAGCCGCGGGGAGTTTGTCACGCCGCCTTGAAGACGGGCTGTGCTCTCGTCGCTGGTAGCGAAGCTGGGAGATCCGACATGGCCGCTGTCTCGCTACTCCACCCAGTCCAAGGTTTTGTATCCTCTCAAAGTGGGGGAGGCGACAGCAAGCGGTATGAGGACGAGAGTTGGAGCGTTGCGGAGCGCCAGAGAACTGGTCAAGCTCAGCAAACGAGAAAAACGGAAAAGGAAGACATCTCTCATAAGATGATTGAGGAACGGCGGGTAAAGTGTTGCTGTGTCGGAAGCTACACTGGCTCGCGGAGCAGTAGCGACTTGGCGGGTATCCTTGTTTGTCGCTGGTGGAGCTTGTTTCCCGGCTGTGCGTGCGTGCAGCACAGACGCGGGAAATGGTGGCCGCGGCTCCTCAGTCGCTCGCCGGCTAGGACCGCGCAGCGCGGGATAGAGATCTCCACAGGGGTGACCCATTCGTGATGCGTGATACGTGTGTGGAGCAGACTCGCTAGAGTGGCTCATTTTGCCACCTGATCCGCGCTCACCCCAGAAATCGACGTTTCAAAGCCTGCCGACGACGTTCCCGAGGCATCCGGATGTGCGTGCTAGGATATTCTGCTGGGACCATTCGAGGGATCGAGGGCCCATGGCCCGCATCTGAGGCAACTGGATTGCGTAGGATTGATGGGATACCATGCGCACTTTCAGGCCAAGACGGCGCTCAGACGCGAGTACGTCTGGACATGCATACTCATTCGAGGCGCCTCGGATGCAGATGGGCGGTCTGCTGCCCGCTCGATCAGGACGCGAGCAAGCGCTGCCAGGCACTCCAACGGACAACTGCATTAAAGTTGTGATCATGTGATCCGCACCGCCCCACGCATCTCGCGCACGCAAGCTCCGCAGGCTCCCGCTTTGCTCTGCATGCTTTCACGACTTTTGACGCGCGACTGCGGCGGAGGCGGTGGCGATGGACGCGGCATTGTGGCGCACAGCGAACATCCTCTGCGGTGCCATTGTGCCTCGCGTCTTCACGTGCTGGTGCGATTATCCTGCTGCCTAACGCGCACGCGCTGAGTGGTCCATCGCCGTTGGAAGCGGAGCCCTCTGGACATTGCCACTCACGTCACGCGCTTAACTTTGACGCGCTGACCTACGCCAGACGGGTTGCCAGCACGCCTCCCTCCCTTCTGGAAGCAGTGTTTCGGGATGAGCTAATGCGTTCGTGGAGACAAGGGATGGGACAACAGACTAATGGCCCTGAGCCTTATGAAGCATACTTACCCAGGCCGCGCGTTGTGTCTGCGCGCTCATGCTCTCTCAGCGGCCAATGCTCGCTGCGCCATTTCGCCACGCTGAGAGGAAACATGGGCCGTCAGAGGCGACGGGTGGCGACTCGACGTACAACGACGGGCCAGGCAGCATGGCACGAGGGCACTGGCGTACGTACGCGCCTCCCGAGTACAGCGGACAGAATGCCAGGAGCGTATGCTCGCGAGTACATGTGCAGGAACAGCGGAAACATGCGTAAATGCCTTCCGGGATGGCTGCTCACGGCAGCACACCGCCCGGAACCTTGTCGCGTGCCTCCGTCGTCGCCAGGACGCGGTTTAATGAGCGCTTTGAGTGCGCCGCACACAGAGCTGATGGCAGCGCGGGTCCGGTGTTTGTGGCTCACCCTCGACTCAACTTGTTGCCACTCGAGAATGACTCTCGAGAATGGTATAAAATGGCGCGCGCCACTTTCGTCTTGCTAGTTCGCGAACGCTCTTCACGTCCCTGCTAATTTCTCCCCCACTCCAACAAGTTTTCGAAACCCCTGCCCATCTCCTTCACCCCTTCGGTTTGTTCTCACCAGGAACACCAGCCACTCCTCTGCCGTCACCATCAGTTACACCTCTCCAAGCGGCAAGTTCACGAGCAGCCCAACCATCTGCCACGCCATTAAGCGCAACCCCTACACACGGTAACTCATCACGCTTCGACTGCGCACCACTTCTGGTCCAGTTACCATGGTGCGCCTCCTGTTCTACGCGGCGGCGATCGTGCCAGCCCTCGCACAAGTCTTCGCGCCCAACATGGCGACGCCGACGGCTCGCCCCTCCGGCCTCGGCATCGTCACCTCGCTACCGATGCCCGAACTCCCAGAAGGCGAGCCGGGCACATACGGCGCTGGTGCGCGCAAGCCTCAATACGGCGCGTGGTACCACTACGAGCAAAAGCCGATCCCGGACACGGCGGTGAGCGCGCCGGGCTTCCGCCCCACGCTGGACCCCAACAGCGCGCCTGGCGAGCGCAAATACGTCCTCAACATCGAGTATCGCGCGGGGTCGCCGGACGGCTTCTTGCGCCGCATGACGGTCATCAACGGCCAGTTTCCGGGGCCGATCATCGAGGCCGTGATGGGCGACACCATGGTTATTGAGGTCAACAACCGGATCGAGGAGCCGACAGCGATCCACTGGCACGGCATCCACCAAAACAAGACACAGTACATGGACGGCGTGCCCGGCTTTTCGCAGTGCTCGATTCCGCCCGGCGGAAGCTTTACGTACCGCTTCGAGCTCGATCAAGAGAAGGGCACGTACTGGTACCACGCGCACTTTGGGAACACGATGTCGGACGGGGTCCTCGGCGCGCTGCTGATCCACGCGCCCAACGACCCGCTGGCGAGCCAGCACGACGACGACCACCTGCTCTACGTCGCCGACTATTGGCAGGACGACAGCGAGACGATCGTAGAGGCCGCCAAGTCGAAAGACGGGTATCGCGGGTGCGCGCCCGTCGATGTGCCGGACAGCGTGATCATCAACGGTGTCGGCCAAGTCGACTGCTCGTACGTCCAGCGCGGCGTGCCATGCAACACGGACGTGGCGCCGCACGAAGTGCGCGCCGCGCCGGGCAAGCGCTTGCGCTTGCGCCTCGTGAACCACGGCTCGCATTCGCTCTTGCACGTCTCGATCGACGAGCACAGCGTCACGGTCATCGAGGCGGACGACACGGCCATCGAGCCCATCCGCGTCAACGAGCTCGTCATCGCCCCCGGCCAGCGCTACTCTATCGTCGTGGAGATGAACCAGGGCTCCCACGGCGCAGGGTACTGGATCCGCGCGCGCGCCGCCACCGGGTGCTACAACGACAAATGGCGGGTGGACGGCCAAGCGATCCTGCGATACTTTGACGACGGGGGGTCGGCGGAGGGCTTCGCCCTCCCGCAAACGCAGCAGTGGCCCGGGCTGCCAGACATGGGCAACCCCGACTGCCGCGACATGGACGACCTCGGATACCCGCTCACGCCGTTGGAAGCTATCGCGGCGCCGGCGGTCGCAGACGAAACGCACGTGTTCACCTCGGTCGTCGGCGAGTTCGTCGACCCCCGCACAGGCGGCAAGTACGTCGGGTGGGGATTCAACGGCGTCCCATTCAAGAACCTCATCAACGATCCGCTCCTCAAAGTCGTACAGGACGGGCGCGAGATCGACCCCTCCCGCCTCGCGAGCGCGATGTTCACGGGCGCAGCCGCGGACATCATCATCAACCAGCTCGACGGCGCGCCGCACCCGTTCCACCTGCACGGGCGGCCCTTTTCGATCGTTGCGCGCGGCCACGGCGTCATCAACTCCACCGACGGCATCAGCCTCGCCCTCGACAACCCGACGCGCAGGGATACACTCACCCTCGGCCCGAAGAGCTGGGCCGTCCTCCGCCTTCCGCTCGACAACCCCGGCGTGTGGCCCCTCCACTGCCACATCGGCTGGCACCTCAGCGTCGGCAAGATGGCCGCCGTCGTCGTCCGCCCCGACCTGGTCCGCGCCATCCCGCAGCCCGCCGACTGGGCCGCACTGTGTACCGGCGACCCGCTCGAAATCGGCCCCGGCCGCCGCAGCTACATGCCCCCGCAGGCGCGGAGGGGGGATTAGGACGTTTGCACGACGAGCTCCGTCTTCAAACATGAGCAGCAGCGTCAGACAGATACGTCCTGCCGCGACGTTAGACATTCCGGACCATCCTAGCGTATATAGGACACTCTACACAATTCCATGCATCAGTACCACTCCGCAGCAGGCGGGACTGGCCGCCGAGCTTCCCCTAACTTTCGTCGGAAATCGTATAATCAATCGCGATCCACCGTTCTGCAGTTCTCCAGCTCAGGATCGGGATATGCACGTACGTGCGCCGCTTGTCGCCTCCTCGTTCCAGTTGCAATACCGCTCACAGAAAAGAACAACTGGTCCACTCACGCCTGACTTGGCCGTGCACTCCGACTGCAGGCAGTGCCAAAACAGCATGGAGCTGCGGAGCAATTACGATCCGCGAGCTTGGCTTGAACTCGGTCGTTTCGGCGTCGGCGTGAGCATGGCGTGCGGATCGAAATCTAGATTACCCAAATTTCAACCCTGCGCGGGAGACCCACGCCACAACCCTTCTCGTTCTGATCAAAACCCCGTTGAGCTCTCAGCCCCCACGCAAAGCGGGAAGGCGTGGCGCAGGGAGTGCAGATCTGCGACGGAACGTGTATCGCTACGCCGGCGGCCCGCGGACACGGATTAGCAGCTCAACAGCGAACGGGCTATGATCGGCGTGCGGCGTCAGACTCTTCATCGTCCGTCTCCATCTCATCCATCTGTTCATCATGGCCGACCGCAGCGCTGAGAAGATTGGAATCGTCGAGGAGGCGGACGTGCTCGCACGGTGTAATAAGACTGAGATTGATGAGGTGAGACACAAGTCGACCCTGATATTGACATCAGTACGATGTTGCTGCGGCATTCCTTGCCAATGTCGCTGCCCGCCCGGATGGGGCGGCGCTGCTCGCCCCGTGGACGGAAGAGGAGGAGCGGCGTGTGCGCCGCAAAGTACGTGCTCCGTGGCTCCGTGGCGCGGCTGACCCAGATCGATTTCGTGGTCCTCACCACGCTGTTCTTTTGCACGCTCATGAGCGGGACAGACAAGGTCGTGCTCGGGACGGCGGCGACATTTGGGCTCCAGTCCGACCTCGGGCTCAAGGGACAGCAGTACAGCTGGGCGAACTCGATGCGTGCGTCGCGTCCACGAGGCCGCTGACCCCAGTGAGCCTCGGCATGATCGCCATGATGCTGCCCCAGTGCTACTTTGCCCAGCGCTTCAACCTCATCGGCAAGCTGTACGCCGCCAACGTCGTCGGATACGGTATTGTCATGTTCGGCATGAGTGGCGTCAAGGACTACCGCGGGCTGTGGGCCTGCCGCTTCTTCCTGGGCGTGCTCGAGGGCGGCGCTCCGAGCTTGGGCGGACTGCTGGTGAGTACACTGACAGCAAAGTCGCTCACCCAGATCTCTATGTGGTGGCGCCGCGGCGAGCAGAACCTGCGCGCCGCCGTCGTGTATAGCACGCTCTCGAGCGTCGTGAACGGCCTCTTGTCGTTCGCGATGCAGTTCTACAACCCCGGTCCGATCGGCCGCTGGCGCCTCCTCTTCGTCGTCATGGCTTGCTGGAGCGTCCTCACCGGCATCGTGGCACTCGTCTTCCTCCCAAACAACCCGACTTCCGCGTGGTGGATGGTGAGTAGTAGCCGCCCCTCCGCCTTTTCTGACCCAGACCGACCGCGAAAAGGTCATCGCCGTCCGCCGCGTCGCGGGCAACAACACTGGAGTGACAAGCCAGCGGATCAAGCGCGCGCAGATCGTCGAGGGCCTAGCAGACCCCAAGACCTGGGTCCTCTTCGTGTGCACGTGCTGCCTCAACATCCCGAACGGCGGCCTCGTGGGCTTCAACTCGCTCATCGTCAAAAGTCTCGGCTTCAGCATCAAAGAGACGACGCTGCTCGCGATCCCAACGGGCGTGATTAGCTGGCTCGCTGCGCTCGCCATCGCCTTCGCGGCCCAGCGCACCCGCCGCCCCGTCGCGTGCATTATTGCCGGCGTGCTCGTGTGCCTCGCCGCGGTCATCATGCTCCACTCGGTCCCGCGGAGCAACAAAAGCGCCTCGCTCGGCGCACTCTTCCTCCTCTTCTGCTACTGGGGCCCGAACGTCGCGATGTGAGCATCCATCCCGGCTGCAAGACTGACGCCAGCGGCTCGTATCTCATCTACGCCAACGTCGCCGGCGCAAGCAAGAAGGTGACCGTATTCGGCATCATACAGATCGCGTACTGCGTTGGCAACCTCATCGGCCCGCAGAGCTTCCTCGCACGAGAAGAACCGACGTACCGCTCCGCCATCATTACCATGCTGTGCGGATACTGCGTCGCCATCGTGCTTCTCGTGACGTATGCGTTCTTGTGCGCACGCGACAACAGGCGCAAAGACACGCTGCCGCAGCCCGAAGCGGCCGAGGCGGATGGGGCCGAGGACGCATCAAGCGTCGCGGCAGAATGGAGAGATCTCACAGATAAGCAGAATCCGGCGTTCCGGTATACGTGGTAGGCAGTGTATGCATCAGTAGTGCCATCGACGCGGAGCGGCGCAGGGGAACAGCACTGCGATGACAGATTAGCGCCCAGGCCGATCCTGGATGGCGTCCGTGGACGAATATTAGTCGGCCCTTGTAGTTCAGTGGTAGAATGTTGCACTTGTAGAGCTTCACGGCTGCAGATGCAATGGTCTCGAGTTCAAACCTCGACGGGGGCTGATCAGTTTTTACCGGCGAATCGGGCAGATATGGCATTGTTGCCGCGCTGCCAACAACCGCGGCAACCGGGCTGTAGTGCAGTGGTCGTGCTGTCGGGGAACACATTTATGTGTGATCCGAGTGCGCCGAGGTAGAGAGTGGTTGAATAAAGCGGGCAAGCAGCAAACTTGCTTGAAGTGGCTGTACTTGCGGCGGCTGCCGTGACTGGTCCGGCGGAGGTACGGACATGTTGAAACTCAGAGCAAGAGCATCACGCCAAAGATGCATAGTGTAATTCTCTTGTGGATAGCTGATGCAGGTAGATCTCGGATGGGGCGGGGTTGACGCTTTCTGAAGAAGTGCAACGACAGCTGATGTGATCTCGGCAGCTCGGCAGTCGGCATCTTGATTCTCCCTCGGGACTCGGATTTCCATCCCCACCGAGATTGGCATCCACATGGGCGTCACTTCACGCGCATAAGTTCGAGCGTCAGATGCTGGTTATATATTGTGGACTTGATTTCCGTGCGGGTTACGCTATCGGCCTCAACGCTCGGTGACCGAAGTTGAATCTCGTGATGCGGCCATTAGCCGTGCGATTTCCGTCAACCTCGCCGGAGTTCCGCTGCTCCTGTGTACCGATAGGGACCCCACATGCTCGCCCGCAACCTTGACCCGGGACCGGAAGACGCCGTGGCCGTGGTGCTGGCATGGTACGCAAGCTAGATGGGGTCATTGCAGGGTCGTCATGGTGTCGTATGGACGTATGGAGGGATGGAAGCCGCCGAAAGAGACGACCGCGTTTGACCGGCTCGGGCCGGTGGAGGTGGGCATCTCTTACAGCCGCCGCCGGCCGGCATCATGACATGTGCTCTTCCCATCTCTTCTTCTTTTCTTCATCTCTCGTCTATTCCCACCGCGCGCATCTGCTCCTCTGCCGCGCAGCCACTCTCCCACTCTCTCCCGCGAACGCTCCTCTCCCACGTCTAAAACAACATGGTCCACCCCAACTTCAAGCTCGCCGAGCCCTCCCTGCTCATCACCAAGGGCTGGATCAACGACGAGCAGGTCTCCGCGGCGTCGGGCAAGACGTTTGACGTCATCGACCCCGCCAATGGCGATATCTGGACCTCGGCGCCGGCCATGGACGACTCCGACACGGACAAGGCCATCGCCGCAGCCACCGAGGCATTCAAGTCGTTCAAGGACGTGACGGCGCGCCAGCGCGCCCGCATGATCCTCAAGCTCGACGAGCTCGTGCGCCAGCACAAGGAGGACCTCGCGCAGCTGCTCGTAATGGAGTCGGGCAAGGCGCTCGTCGAGGCGCGCGCCGAGGTCGACTACGCGAGTGAGTCGGTGTGAATCTCAGCTCTCGGCGTCTCGGGTTCCTAGGAGAATTGTGCCGGCGCCGGTGGGGACCGGCCGCCACTCACAAGCATTGTCGCTGACAACAGCTACCTACTCGTGGCTCATGGCCGGCGAGGCTGAGCGTATCCAGGGCGAGGCGATCAAGGCCAACGACAACCCCACCTTGCGCTTTTTCACGCAGAAGGTGCCCATCGGCCCAGTCGCCCTTCTCTGCCCGTGAGCATCGCGGCTGCGGCTCAGCTGACATCAGATGGAACTTTCCCCTCGTCATCGTGCTGCGCAAGATGGCGACGGCACTCGCGGCCGGATGCACGATGGTGATCAAGCCGTCGCCTGAGACGCCGACGACGACGCTGGCACTTGCGCTTCTCGCCCAGAAGGCCGGCATTCCCAAGGGTGTCATCAACGTAGTCACGGCCTCGAACGAGACGACCCCCGCCGTTGGCAAGAAGCTGTGCGAGGACAAGCGCATCAAGAAGGTATCATTCACAGGCTCGACGGCAATCGGCAAGCTGCTCATGGCGCAGTGCGCGCCGTCGCTAAAGAAGATGACGCTGGAGCTGGGCGGCAACGGCGGGTGGGTGGTCTTCGACGACGCCGAGCTCGACAAGGCCGCGGACGCGCTCATGGCCAACAAGCTGCGGCACGCAGGGCAGGTGTGCGTGTGCGCGAACCGCGTCTTTGTGCAGAAGGGTGTGTTCGACAAGTTCGCCGCGCTCGTCGAGGAGCGCATGCGCAAGCTCAAGTTCGGGCACGGCCTCGATGCGGACTCGACCAACGGGCCCGTCACGACGGAGCGCGGCGCCGCGCGCGCCGTCACCCTCGTCGAGGACGCGGTCAAGCACGGCGGCAAGCTCGTTATGGGCGGCAGCCGCTTCGGCACTGGGTACCTGTTCGAGCCGACGCTTGTGCTCGGCGCCAGCCGCGACGCACAGGTGTACCGCGAGGAGATGTTTGCGCCGATCGTGTCGCTTTATCCCTTCGAGAGCGAGGACGAGGTCGTCGAGCTGTGTAACGCGACGGACATGGGTCTTTCCAATTATGTTTGGACGCAGAACATTAGCCGCGCGTGGCGCTGCTACGACCGTCTCGAGAGCGGGACTATCGCTATTAACACGGCAAACGCCAACACCGCCGAGAGCCCGTTCGGGGGCATCAAGGAGTCCGGGATTGGCAAGGAGGGCGGCCTGCACCACGGCGTGGACGAGTTCTGCGTCATCAAGGTTGCGGCTATGACTGTGTGAGGGGGCGACCACGGTGTGAGGTGGGCAAGTGTGGGAGCGAGCAAGTAGAATGGTATGAAGTGGCTGCGGCATCGATACGGGTGTGGTGGAGAGCCAGCCGCAGGGAGTTGCTTGGGCAGCCGCTTGGGCAGGAGGGCGGGTCAGACGCAACGTACACTGTCGGCGACGGGAGCTGGGCGCACTACTCTCCGCTGAAAGTGTCAGTCGCAGTCGACGGCTTCACCATCAGCGGCGGTGCGGTGGGTACAGATGGCACGATATGCACTTGTTGCACCAAGTGCTTGCCCTTCAACCAATTGCTGCACTTATCGTTCGCGAGCGGCAGCATCATCGGCAGACGAAAGATTAGATTAGACGCCGGTTGCGATCATGACCGGCGAAATGTCGCCATCACGGCACACAAGGCCACGATCACGCAACTCGCCGTGGCACCAACGCCATCTCTACGTCTATGGTGCATACATCTCCCAGAGCGCCCAGTGGCATGTGATGGGTTTGTCTCACCTCCCATGCCACTATATCGCCAGAACGAAGCATGCACGCTGCGCCTATACCAACATTACAGTCCGCCGGACTTGGCCGTGTCACACGCTCCTCTGTCCATATGTCGTCAGCTGGACCAGCGCTGCTTCCCAGTGCTGCTCGCTGAGCAACCCAAGCAAACCAAGCCAGACAAACGCGAAAGACGAGCTACCTCAGTGCCTGACCCACGCAGGTGCAAGTCATGGCGACAGGCTTCACCATCTCGGACGAGTCCGATTGCTGCTGCGAGATGTCCGCCGCCACAGGCGCTTATAAGCAACAGAGCCCGCTCGAGGACAGCATCAACATCCACCATGGCGCCCATTTCAATCGAGACCGCCCCGGCCGCCGCGCCCATCGACGAGCTCAAGAACCTCTCGCTCAAGTCTGCGCCCGTCACGACCAAGCCCCAGTGGTTCAGCCAGACCGGCCGCCCCGAATCCGAGTACCCGTACAAGGCGCTCCTGCCCATCTGGGACTTTGGGACCAAGTATCCTGCGCTGACCGAATTCACGCACGCGGACCCGGGCCTGGAGGCGAAGAAGCACGCGGACCCGCGCGCGTTCCTGTCAGCCGCGACGGTCGACGAGCTCACGCCGCGCTTCGGCTCCGAAGTGCGCGGCGTGCAGCTGACAGAGCTGGACGCCGCCGGGCGGCAGCAGCTGGCGCTGTTCGTGGCGCAGCGCGGCGTAGTCGTCTTCCGCGACCAAGACTTTGTCGACGCCGACCCGGCGTGGCACGTCCGCGACTGGGGCACCTTCTTCGGGCGTCCCCACATCCACCCCGTCTCCGGCCATCCGAAGGGCATCCCCGAGTTCCACCTCGTCTACCGCGCCCCCAAGGCCGGCGAGGACACGTACTACGACGCGTTCACGACGACGCTCAACGGCGTGCGCTGGCACTCGGACGTGACGTACGAGCTGCAGCCGCCCGGCCTGACCGCGCTGTTTCTGTACGACTCGCCCCCCTCCGGCGGCGACACGGGGTACGCGGACCAGCGCGAGGCATACAACCGCCTCTCGCCCAGCTTTGCGGCATACCTCGAAACGCTGCAGGTGCTGCACTCGGGCGTGGCGCAGGCCGAAGTCGCGAAGAAGCACAACGCGCCGCCGCGCCGCGAGCCCGTCGAGAACGTGCACCCCCTCGTGCGCCGCCATCCCGTGACGGGCGAGAAGGCGCTGTTCGTGAACCGCCAGTTCTCGCGCCACATCGTCGGCCTCAAGCAGGAGGAGAGCGACGCCATCCTCAACCTCCTCTACGACCATATTGAGAAGGGCTCCGATTTCCAGGTCCGCCTCAGGTGGGAGCCGCGCTCCGTCGTGCTCTGGGACAGTGAGTGACGGCGGGAGCGTCAGCTGATCCCAGACCGCATCACGGCGCATAATGCCAACGTCGACTTTGACAACCTCGGCTTCCGCCGCCACGGAGCGCGTATTACGCCGCAGGCTGAGCGCCCGTTCCTCTAGCCTTCGAAGGTTGAGGCTAAGCCGGGTGATAGAGCAAGATCACAAGTTGTAGTATAGCGTGAACAAGATGTGCAGTGCGCAGGGGATGGCGGGTTGGTCGATCGTGTAACTCGTGCAAGCTTGTCTTCGGGTGGTCAGTGTAGAGGTTGAAGGACTATGCTGAATGATCGCGTATGTGAGAGAACTGATGTGTTGATGACGAGCTGATCAGCTGCGAATGAGAGTTTCATTCTTCCCTTCCACATCTCTCGCTCTCTCTAAATCTCTCTCCCCCTCTTGCACGCACTTCACGCCGTCTCTCGCTGTCTGCTCGAGCACACTCCGGTCCTCCGACATGCTCTCTCCAACAATACCGAGCTGCAGGAGTGCACCAGTCCTCGCCAGTTTCATCCCACAACACACCATCCGCCATTGGTCTCCCCCACCCCGAGAGCCCCACGGACCACCCATGGCCCCGCACTCCTCAGCCCGGGCAGCACGCCGAGCCTCGCCCAGCCCTGGCGCCTCGCGTCCCCCAATCACGCATGCTTGCTGACTCCGACCGGTTGACGCCGAACCGGCAACGCACGCCAGACGAATGCTGGACTGACGCAGATCCGTCACACTAATAGCCCACGAGTCAAATTACGCGCGGGCACCGACGCCGTCCCGCTCCGCCTCCCCCACCATCCGAGTCTATGCGGGTGCATTAATGTCTACAGGGCTGTAGTCGTCTACAATCTATGGGAACAAGCTTGGGCGGCCTGCGAGCGGGCGCGAGCGTGGGCACTTACAGGCGTGCGCGGTCGCGTGCGAGGTGTGCGAACGGGCACCCGCCAGCGCCAGCGACGAGCGCGATGCCCTTGCCGTCGCGCGACACGCCAAGCTCGATAAGCTTGCCGAATGCAGCGGCAAAGTGCTCAAAGAAGAGCTTCTGGTCCTTGGCGTACTTTTCGGCCCAGACGCGGAACTTGGGGTCCTCGATGAGCGCCATGTCCGTGGGCAGCGCCATGACGGGCGTGCCGGCGACGACCGTCTCGTACTGGAACGGGCCGTCCCACTTCTTCGGCACCCACTTGCGCGTGAGCAGCAGCTTGAAGAACTGGTTGCTAAAGCGCGTGGGGTTGACGACCCACTGGCCGTCAAAGCCCGAGCGGTCGGTGTGGCAGCGGCCGAGGTTGTGCGCGCCGCTCAGCGCCACGATCTCCTGGTCGTTGAAGCCCATGCGGTAGAAGACGTCGCGGATGTGCTGGGCGCCCTGGGCCGCGTCGGGGAGGCTGGGGTTAGCGGCTGTGGCTCTGAGAGGGGATGTCGGCCGAAGCATGCAAGCGAGCGCAGCTGGCGCGGCATGCTGCTCGGTATCGAACGCCGTTCCGCACCTGCATCCCGCAGGCAGAGATGGCAGATGGCAGATGACACAGCCAGCGCCAGCGATGCAAGAAGGCCCGGCTCGGATCCCATGCCGCGGCCGAACCGCATATGGAAAGCAGCAATTGCCGGATACCGGGGCCGGAGGTAGAGTGGCCATGCAAGCCGCAAGCCGGCGGCGTGCCTGCGCACGCTGCCCATGTGCTCTTGCCCACCACCGATAGCGATAACGCTGGCATGGGCATGCGGCATGCGCGGCGCGCATGTGCCGCGTAGCGTGACAGCGCCGCCATCCTCCTCTCCTCGCTCAACGGAGAAAAACTCACCGGTTCTCAATGTCGCCGCGCGTGTTCGCCTCCTTCTCAGAGGGAAAGTCGGTGCGTCCAGGCGTCCAGGGCACCTTGGGCCCGTTCATCGCCTCGACGGCAGTGACGCCGGCGAGCGTCCAGAGGTCGGCATACGAGATCCACGGGTTGGCAGCCTTGATGGGCTCGAGGAATGCGCGGGCGTGCTCGAGGCCGGCGTTTGCGCCGTCCGTGGACTGGGATTAGCGGGTGCTCGGGGAGGTGCAGGGGCCTCGCCACCGTCGACGCGGGGTGGCGGTGCGAGAAGCTCGCTGAAGCTTACCTCAGGCGCGAAACGCATGCCGGCTCTGCTTGTCAGCGTCGTGGTGGCGAGACTGAAAACTGAAACTCACCCGTTAGAACCGCCGTTTCCTGGCTTGGCAGAGTAGGTGCCGGACGCATGCCAGGCGAGACGGACGAAGATGGGGCCGGCCGAGCCGTCGTCGTAGCCAGGCTGCTTGAGGACAGCCTTGATCTGCTTGCGGATACCTATTGTCAGCGGTGTGATGGCGGTGGCGATGGGGTGGGGGGACTTACCCTCGTAATCACCGGGAGCGACGGATGATGCGGACATGTTGGAAGATGTGGAAGATGTGTAAGATGGAGATGGAAGAGAGGAGAGAGATGAGAGAGATGAGAGACGAGACAGCGACGAACAGCAGCGACTGTTATGCACTCTCGCTCGAGCACTGGCTACAAACTTTGTGCGTGCCGGTTAGCCAAGGCCGCGTACAAGCCGGAAACCGCGACGTGCTCAGGGTCCACACGACGGTCCTTCCTGATGTCCTGACTGATCGGCCGCCTCGGCCATGGCGGGGGCGGCGGGAGGACGGAAGCAAATCTCGGCCAGCGTCAGCATCTCTCTGTCAAATCGTCGCTCGGCCGTTGCGCTCATTGCAATGCTCTTCACTCGTCGCCCCGCAATCGTCCGAGACAACTCTCCTGATCGTGAGAATGACGTGCAGCCGTAGTGTCGGAGCGGTGCATCCTCGCCACTACTCTTAATCTCCACCCGTGTTCCGGTACCTCCCGGAACGCCCCAGAGCGCCGCGCCGGACGCCGTACCGGAGCCCGTGCGAGAGCCCGTGCGATGTGAGGCTATGCGGAATGGCCCTCGGCGCAATTTTCGTCATGCGGAAATATGGTATACAGACATATTGATATGATCTCCGGCCCCGTGGGCTGCCTACGACACACTCAGGTCCACAAGGATGGTAATAACTCCCAGTACAATCTCCAGGGCACTGGCGTCAGCTGTGACACGCCGCTCACTTACATGAGGAGGATGACAATCGCTTCCAGGTGCTCGCCGTGCGAGCTGTTGACCGACTCCTTGAGCAGGTTCAGCATGTCGTGCAGAACATCGACGCGCGCATTGAGCAGGTCGATGCGCTGGCCAATTTCCAGATACTGGCGACACGCATTGTACAGCGGCTCGAGGTCGGGGAATGTCCTGTGGTCAGTGATACGGCGTGGCATGGCGAGCTGTCGCGTACCAGAAGAATTCCTGCTGTCAGCTGCACGTCATACTCGAGTCACGCACCGGCGAGTCCAGGACCGAGCCAACGAGATTGATGTTAATGCGCAGAATGAACAGATTGCCGATCTGCTTCATAATCTCGCTGCGCGGAAGCTGGGCATCAGCTACGTCCGCAAACACTTCATGCCGTCGCTCGCCACTTACACCAATCTTGCCGGTCTCGCTGAGCTTCTGCGGAATGTCCTTCGTCTGCTCGATAGTCGCCGAGATCAGTTCCTCAAAGAGCGAAATCTTGACCGACTGCGCCAGCGCGTGCGACAACGCAAGCTTGGTCATGTACGACGAGCCCTTGCGCAACGTAATAACGTCGTTGAAGATGCTGGAGTCAGCTTGGCCGCCACGCACACCCACCGGGAGTAGTCAGCATAGTAGAAGTTGAGGTCCTCCATCTCTATGTCTTCGGCGCTGAGACGCTCGATTTCATACTTCTTGCTGCCGTCAGCCCACCTCCCTCTCCCAATGCCTCACATGCTGCGTAGGAACTGCTTCTCCTCCTTCTCCGTCATGCCCCAGATAACCACGGTGCCGTACTCGAACAAGAACACGTCCGGCACCCAGTCCTCCTCTTCCCAGTCTTCGTCGTCCGTATCCGGCTCGGCGTCGTCGCGGTCGCGGTCGAGCGCGCGCTCGCGATCCCGGCGCGTATTCCCGCCTGGCCGCTTCGCGAAGCCCGTCTGCCGCTTCGGCGCACGCGCCGGGGGCGTTGCGCGCCACTGGTCCTCGTCAAGATCCAACAGGTTGCCCTCAGGCACAGTCGTCAGCGGCTGCAGCGGCTTGATGACTGGGCTGCGGTGGGCGGGGGCGGGGGCCGAGCCCGACGCAGGCGGTAGATACTGCGTGTACAGGCACTCGGCCTCGAACAGGCGCGGGTGGGTGCGATAGCTCGGTGGACGGTTTGCGAGGTACGTCTGCAGACCGGCCAAGTCGTATGAGCTGAGGTTAGGGTGGAGCGCGCGAGAAAGAGTGGAGAAGAGGAGGGACTACTCACGCTGCAGTGCAGTACGCCGTCACACGGGGCAGCTTGGCCTTCTCTGACCGCGTAAGGTTCAACGCGTCGCGGCGGGCCGAACCCGCCGGAATCTGGTATAGCGGAGTGAAGAACTTGACGCCGCGCTGCTCCTCGTCACCCTCATTTGCCTCCTTATCCTCGTCGTCCTCCTCCGGGATGGTATCTGGCTGCGTGGGCAGGACTTTAAGTTCTGGGTGTTAGTTGCTACTCTCTTTCTCCCCATCCTCCAGCTCATCATCTCTACCTCCGCCGCTCCTCAGCTCTGGCGGTGGAGTAATAACACCTACTCGTATTAAGCTTCGATGTGCTGCCGTCAGCGCCGTTTCCCTCCCACTCACCGCATGGGCTGGCGCGGCTCGCGGCGCGGCGCGGGCACCTGCGCGTGCGCGTATGGCAGGGGGAGCGTATTAGGAACAGAGGGCATGGTGGGCGATAGGATTTCGTGCCATCTATCGTGCGGGATGGGGTGACCGGCCGCGCGGGCGTCGTGGAGGATGAGATGGGAGTGGGTGGAAAAGTATTGATGTCGAGTCGAGTCGAGTACGAGTCGACGGTCGAGTGCGATGGCGATGAGATGGAGGCGAGATGAGGATGGATGGGCGGAAGGGAAGAGCCAAGCCACTCCGCCTGCGGCTTCTCACCAAAACGTCACCAGATGCCACTCCTGAATCACGTGATGTACTTCTGCCTCGCTTGCACCAAAGACAGGAGACGCGACCTCTCAAAGGCGACAGCTGATCCCATATGCATGCAGTCCAAATGCTACAATCCCGGTCGGGCGCCTGGCAGGCCGACAGCAGCCAAGCAGCCCTCTACAATTCCATGTCTATGCGGCTCCAGCAGCACGGGCCTGTTCCCCTATGTAGTTGAGGGCGGAGCCAGCGCGGAGCCAGTTGAGCTGGTCAACGCTCATCGTGTGCTTGGTCGGCACGTAGTCGACCTCGCCCGAGGGCTTGGTGACCTTGAGGCGAATCTGTGCGTCCGCCTTGCCTGCAAGGAGGTCCTTGAGGCCCTCCGTCTGGACCTTGTCTCCGGCCGAGATCTTCGCGTAATCGGCCTTGTCCGAGAGCCAAAGGGGGAGAATGCCCTGCTTCTAGTCACGTCAGCCGCGTCCAAAGAATAACTCACCTTGAGGTTGGTCTCGTGGATGCGGGCGAAGGAGCGCGCGAGAATGAGACCACAGCCGTAGAAGCGGGGCTGGAGAGCAGCGTGCTCACGAGCAGATCCCTCGCCGTCTGATTGTCAGCCAGGTGACCATAGCTCAACTCACAGTTGTCGTCAACGACGAGCATCCATGGCTCTCCGCGCTTCTTGTAGCGCTGCATAATGTGGGGAATGGTATCCTCGCCCTCGGCGTCACGGGCAACGTTGATCTCGCCACCCTCGTCATTGACCGCGGTCATAAGCGTGTTCTCTGAAATGTTGGAGAGGTGGCCCTTGTACTTGAGCCAAGCACCGGCGGCACTGATGTGGTCGGTGGTGCACTTGCCGCGGACGCGGAGCAAACAGGTTAGCTCAGGGAGCTCGGCGGGCCCATCAGCGAAGGCGGTGCCGAACGGCTCAAGGATCTCGAGACGAGTTGATGTGGGCGAGATGGCAATCTCAGTCTCTGGGACGGGCTTGGGCGACGGGGTAGGCGCGAACGAAAGGTCTCCGCCGGTGTAGCCCTGGGGAGGGAGGCGGTCGCCCGAGGGAGGCTGGAACTTGAACGGCCCGTTGGGGGTTTCGATTGAGTCGGTCATGGGGTTGAAGTTGAGGTCACCGGAGAAGGCCATGGCGGTGACAATCTCAGGAGAAGCGAGGAAGTTCATCGTCTTCAGGTTGCCGTCATTGCGCGCCTTGAAGTTACGGTTAAACGAGGTGAGAATGGCGTTGTCCTCGCCCTGCTTGTCGTCACGCTTCCACTGGCCGATACAGGGCCCGCATGCGTTGGCAAGGACGGTGGCGCCGACACTCTCGAGCGTGCCCTGGAGGCCGTCGCGCTCGATGGTGGCGCGGATCATTTCAGAGCCGGGAGTGACGAGGAAAGGCACCTTGGAGGACAGACCAGCAGCCTTGGCCTGCTCGGCGATGGACGCGACGCGGGACATGTCCTCGTACGACGAGTTGGTGCAAGAGCCAATGGCCGCAGCCGAGAGAGTGCTGGGAAACTTGTTCTCGCTGATGAACGACCCAAACTTGGAGAGTGGGGTGGCAAGGTCGGGCGTGAAGGGGCCGTTGAGCTGAGGCTCAAGCTCGGAGAGGTTGATCTCGATAAGCTCGTCGAACTCGGCGCCCTCGTCGGCAGCAAGGAAACCAGCCTGGGCAGCCTGGTCCGCCGCCGCAGCGACAGGGGCACGGCCAGTGGCCTTGAGGTACTCGCGCATGTTCGCCGAGTAAGGGAAGGTCGAGGTAGTGGCGCCAACCTCGGCACCCATGTTTGCGATAGTCGCGAGACCGGTGCAGGACTGGGCCTCAACACCGGGACCGAAGTACTCGAGGATGCGGCCAGTTCCGCCCTGTGGTCAGCATAAGCCTATCTGACCGGACATACGCGAACGGTGAGCTTGCCAGCGAGGTGGAGGATAAGGTCCTTGGGAGTAGCCCAGCCGCTCAGCTGACCGGTGAGCTTGACACCGGTGATGAGGGGCGCCTTGAGCTCCCATGGGGTATCGGTGAGCGCATCAACGGCGTCGGCGCCACCAACACCGATGGCGAGCATGCCGAGACCACCTGCATTGGGGGTATGCGAATCGGTACCGAGCATGAGAAGGCCGGGTGCTGCGTAGTTCTCAAGAACAATCTGGTGGATAATACCCGATCCTGGCTTCCAGAACTCGATACCGTACTTCTTGCCTGCCGACTCGAGGAAATCAAACACTTCCTTGTTATTCTCGATCGAACGGGGAAGATCCTCGGCGGCGCCGGTCTGCGCCTGGATAAGATGGTCGCAATGGATCGAGGCTGGCACGGCGCACTCGGACAGCCCGCACGTCATGAACTGCAGCAAAGCCATCTGCGCAGACGCGTCCTGCTCGTCAGCCCCCTGCTGAACCCAACCCTCCCGGGTCGTGCGAGTGGTCACTCACCTGCATGGCTACACGGTCAGGGCGGAGCTTGAGGTAGCGCTCGCCGCGTACCTGGCCACCGCCGCCGAGCGACTCCTCTGGGTTGCGGAGGTGGGCATAGAGGATCTTCTCAGCGAGAGTGAGCTTGCGATCCTTGCCGAGGACGCTGCGGACATTGTTGAGAGTGTCGAGAAGGCGGGGGTAGGGAGGGGTAATGGAGGAGCAGTCCTTGACGGGGAGGGATGCGGGGGTGGCGAGACCACGGCGGGCGATGAGCCTTGCGAGTGCTGGGCGTGTCCGTTGGTAGAGCATGGTGATGTTGCTCCTTTCCTTTTTCCGCGGAGATGTCTGAGGACTAAAAGAGTGGGAGAGGCGACGGCGGCACGGCGGTGGAGCGGTCCAGTGATGGCTTGGAAAAGGGGGGCCTGTGGTTGGAGAAATCAATTCAGAGAGTGATCGAGTCAGATTTGGACATTTCGGATACAGGCCGATTAGCCCCGGAGGGAATAGCGGTGGAGGTGGTCCACTCCAGGTGACTCATCCCTGCCCCACTTTGCATGTTCTGACTCGGCCCACCTTCCCCCCTGCCCGTGCTGCACCTATAACCTCGCGCTCTCACTCTATCTCTATCTTTCTGTTTCTCTTTCTCTTCATCTCTCTCTCTCTCATCTCTCTCTCATCTCTCAACGTCTTCATCATCAGTGTCCTTTCCTCTTCTTCTATTCTTACTAACTCGTGCTCTCCTCTACCTCCTCACCGCTCCTACTCTTCACCATTACTCATCGTCTTTAGACCATGTCCGACAACGGCGAAGAGGTATGGCATCCTCCAACCTGTCCTCATCAACAACCTCACCTTCCTCACCACCTCACGCATTACACTGACGCCCCGCAGGAGAACGTCTTCGGCTATGAAGTAGACTAACGAGCACACGTCGATAGCTAACCATCTCAGTCCGTGGACGAGCTCCAGTCGCACGTGAGTCACCTGTCCTCCTTCACCTCACAGTATTGGGGTGGCGCCCACTTCGCCACCTTCCCTCCCCCTCACTGACTGCAAAGGGCATCAATGTCTCTGATATCACAAAGCTAAAGGCTGCTGGCATTGTCACGGTCCTTGGCGTGGCCCAGACGCCCCGCAAGAACCTCGCCAAGATTAAGGTAGGAACTCCAGCGGCAGAAAACTATGCTAATGACAGGGTCTTTCAGAGGTGAAGTAGCAGCCCCTATGTAGGCCTGCGCGTGCTGATCAGCCCAGGCTAAAATCGAAAAGCTAAAGGTGGGCGAGGAGGCTATCGGAAACAACTGACATGCAGGAGATCTGCCAAAAGATGCTCGTAAGGGATCCCCTTCCTCTGCCGTCTAATCTCAGCCCCCAGCCTTTGCCAGCGCCGCCGACATCTCAGAGCGACGCGCATCTGTCGTTTTCATCTCTACCGGTTCCAAGGCGGTCGACTCGATGCTCGGAGGTGGCATTGCCACGCAGAGCATCACCGAAGTGTGAGATAGACTCCAAATCCTTGTGCCCTGTTGGTTGACCAACACAGTTACGGCGAATTCCGCACGGGCAAGACTCAGCTCTGCCACACTCTTTGCGTCACAACCCAGCTTCCCGAAGACCAGGGTGGGGCCAGTGGCCGTGTTGCCTACATCGACACTGAGTAAGGAAGACACCATGCACGCCGATCGTTGACTGACAGGGGAACCTTTCGCCCAGAGTGAGGCGCTGGCGCTATCCAGCTGCAAGGACTAGTAGCTGACCTGCAGCCGTGTCCGCTCCGTCGCAGACCGTTTCGGTGTCGACAGTCAGATGGCACTCGAGAACATCCTCTGCGCACGTGCTTGGAGCTCGGAGCAACAATGCGAACTTCTGTTGGAGCTGGCTATTCGGTAGGCCTGGCGCCTTGGAGTGGCTACTAACTCGAAGCTTCGTCGATGATCGCTCCTACAAGCTCATCATCGTCGACAGCATTATGAACCTCTTTCGTGGGTGGAAGCTGGGTGGAAGCAGAAGCAATCTAATACGCAGGACAGGACTATTCAGGCCGCGGCGAGCTGTCCGAGCGCCAGCAGGTGCTGTTTGATTTGATGCTCTCAACTAATAAACAGAAGCTGAATCAGTTCCTGGCTCGTCTTCAGAAGCTGGCAGAGGAGGTGCGCGTGAACGTGGCGTCGCTAATTCCAGTTCAACGTTGCCATTATCCTTACCAATCAAGTCCAGGCTGATCCTGGAGTGAGCCTTCTCAGAGACGTTGATCCACTGACGTTCAGGCTGCTGCAATGTATGCGATTCACCCCTCTGATATTGACCATCAGGTTTGCTGCCGCGTCAAGCGCCAAGCCCGTCGGCGGTGAGTTGTAATAGTGCGACGCTGATACCAGGTCATATCCTCGCCCACGCGTACGTCGACGCGACCGCACCATCCTTACCACAGCTCGGCTACCCGCGTTCAGCTCCGCAAGGGTCGCGGCGACGAGCGTATCGCCAAGCTGCAAGACTCGCCTGACATGCCTGAGGGTGAGGCGACCTATTGTCTCAAGGCTGGGTAAGCAACGCCACATCGGTACCGTTCCAGCCGCTAACTAGCAGAGGTTGGGAAGGTCAGCAACTCAAAATCCACACTGATTAACGACAGACACCTAAATCTCATTTGGGTCATGGAGTGTTGACATCTGCTTCCATCTCACTACTGCATTGATTCATCATCGTTGACTGCTTTTAGAATGTATGTGTGCAGTCATACCACGGCTGGATTGCTGGAAGCTGCAACGGCTTGCGCCCATCTCATGCTAAAGCATGTGCCGAGCGGATAGTTGGGATAGGGCAGACGAGTATATAGTCTTGGATGACGGACACGGAGGGGACAAGCAGCTGCGCCGCAGTATCGCTGCTCGCTGTTGCGACTGCGCCATCGCTTGTTGCATCAATGGCCGTGGAGCGCGTGGACGACTGCTGTTGTACAGAGGGTTTGATCCTATGCACTCGAGTAAGAATCGTCAAGTGACATGCCTGGGCAAGGGGTGCTTTGTAGACAGCGATTAGGCCAACGATAATCGTGGTAGTCGCCAAAAGATATACAAGACCGTTTGAAGAGACGACAAGTGGCGAATAACAAGCCGATCAAAACAATAATGACGTGTCACATGTCTGTCCTGTGACAAGCCAACCACGCCACAACCCCTGTTCGCGTCGTTCCTCCCTCCAACAACTACAATTCATTCACTCTTCACTCTCCACAACAATCTCTCCCCCCCGCCTCTCATCCCGAGCAGTTTCTTCCCGCGTGACAAGTGATGAACAAGCGGCCGCATAGCGGTCTCGGTCTCCCAGCCAAACCCATGGCTCCTCCCCAGGGCGGCCCCGCGCCGCCCCTTCCCGCTGGTCAGCCGCCCCAGCAGCAGTACACCCAGGACCAGCACGCCGCCGCGTGGGCCGCATACTACCAGGTATGTGTCAGCGATGACTTGCTTTCTCGTTCTGTTTCCTTGTTAGGCCTGCGCTAATCTCAGGCGAACCCCCAGGCAGCTCAGCAGGCTGGGTATGGCGCGGCTACGGCCCCTGCCGACCCGTCCGCATCCAGCGCCTACGCCAACTACGGATACGGAGCCGGCGCCTCGCACGCGCAAGGCTACTCCGCCCAGCAGCAGCCGAACTACCAGGCTCCGAGCCAGCAGAACTACAACCAACCGCAGGCTCCGAATTATCAGCCGGGCTACGGACAAGGGTACAATGCGAACGCAGGTTACAATCAGCCGCAACAGCAAGGCTATGGTAACTGGAGTGGGCAGCAGTCGCCTCCCGGTGCTCGGTACGGACCCACACCGCAGAACCCCACGGCCGGTGGGTACACACCGCAGAGCCAGAACAATTACTATGCGCAGGGACAGGGCTCGTACTCGCCCTCGCCAACCACACCTGGCTTCCGCCCGCCCCAGAATCGTCCTTATCAGCCGCAGCCCGGTGGACCCCCTGGTGCAGGCTCACGTGTCGGCCAAGGGCGTCCGCCCGCTGGCGGACCACCTCCTGGAGGTCCCTCGTCAGGAGGGCCGGGCGGACTTGGTGGGCCTGGTGGCTTCCCTCCCGCCAAGCGTCCCCGCTTCGACGGTCCCGGCGGCGGCGGAGGAGGAGGAGGAGGTGGTGGTGGTGGTGGCGGCGGAGGAGGAGGTGGCATGTCTGTCCGCCCGCCCAACCCTCGCCCTCCCCCTCCGTTCGGCAGCGGCCTCGCACGCCCGATGAACGACCGCGGCGGTGGCGGAGGGCGTGGCGGCGCGCCGCCCCCGCCCATCCCCCGCATCGGCTTTGGCACGCCCCAGCAGCGTCCGCAGCGCGGCGGGATGCGCGGAGGTGGCCCCATGGGCAGAGGAGGCGGCATGATGGGCCGCGGGCCGCCTATGCGTCAGCGTGACCAGCGCGAGATGCGTCCTCCCCGCACACAGCGTGTCGAGCCTTCTCCTCAGCAGGCGCGCAAGCGCAAGGACAAGGACGCGAAGGAGGCGCGCACCACAATGACCGACTTCCGCATTGTTGGCATTGAGGTCAAAGGGCTCGACTGGAGCTGGGGACTTGTCGGCGAGCACGTTGTCGAAGCCAAGGACGAGAAGGCCGACGACGTCAAGCCCGACGTCAAGCCCGACGTCAAGCCCGACGTCAAGGAAGAAGACAAGGGCGAGCCCGGGAAGGTTGAAGAGGCCGAAAAGACCGACGAAAAGCCCACGCCGGAAGTTGTCGTCAAGACCGAAACTGAAGAGGATGCTCAGGCGAAGCCGGATGCCATTGAGAAAGAGGAGAACCACGAGGCTGCGGATGAGAAGCGTGGCGAGAAGCGCAAAGCTAGAAAATCAAGCGTGGATGGCGGTGAGCTGCTGGAGCAAATACTGTGCTAATATCAGACGAGGCGCAGTCGCCCAAGAAGCGGTCTTTCGTTGTGACGCACAACAAGGTGAACACCCCCGGCGACGGTTCCTCGCCCGAGTCAAACCAGAACCGCTTCCGCATCTACTTTGAGTCGCCTCCCGAGCTTGACCGCGTCCCCAAGTCGGCAAGGCGAAACCCCAACAAGCGCTGGCGTCGTGAGTCGACCACCCTGACTCTGGATGAGACCCTCCATGAGGAGACGCACGCGGAGGCGCATGAGGAGCCATCGGGCGCGGCTGAGGCTGCCGCCCCGACCGAGCAGGTGAAGGTTGAGCCCGCCTCAGAGGCAGCTCCCGAGGCCAACGGCGACATGCTAGCAGAGGGCGCGGCTGAGGCCAAGGTCGAGGCTGCTGCCGAGCCTGCCGGGCCTGCCGTGTCTGCCGAGTCTGCCGAGTCTGCCGAACCGACATCAGCGGCTGCGCCTTCGGAGACTGCCCCTGAGGTATCGGAGGCCACTCCTGCTGCCGAGAAGGAGGCGCCTGCTGAAGGTGCAGAGGACAAGGAGGAGGCTGGCGATGTTTCTATGGTCACGGATCCCGGAGCTGTCGAGGGTACCACCGGCGAGGGCGAGGAGGCCGAGCACTCCGGCCTCACTGGTAAGGAAGCTTCGGCGGCAGAGGTTGAGGCTGCGCTCGCCGAGTCGGCGCAGAATGCGGCCTCTGCCTACGGCTCGCGCCAGAAGCCGCGCGGTCGTCGTTGGTCGACGAGCAGCATTGGCAGCGATGCCGAGACAGATATCACGGCGTTGGCTGGCGATGTAACACAGCCGTCTCTTAACCGCGTGTCAGTTCTATACGAGGACAGCTCGCGCCGGCTCGTGTTCGACGCCAGCGTCGTCCAGAAGATCCGCATCTTCCGTGGCGAGGGCCGCATCGAGGTCGACCTGCATGCACCTCAGCCAGCGAAGGAAGCTGAGGCGAAGGAGGGTGACAAGGATGCTCAGAAGGAGGCTTCCGCCGAGTCGGAACTTCCGAAAGGCATTCTGGTGAGAGGGTTTGAGAGCCGCGCTGACCCCAGGTCGAAACGTACGATCCTGCCGAGCAGCGCTTCACCGCATTGTCGCGCGAGAAGCTTGATGCATTGTGGAAGGACGACGAGGACAAGTCTCTGCCGCCGCTGCACCGTGTCTTTGGCAGTGCCACGCCTTCGACTGAGCCCATCACCCTCACCGTCTTCCTGAACAAGAAGAAGCCGCTGAGTGAACCGAAGTGGTGCCGCACGAACCAGGCCGACGAGTGGCTGTACGAGCAGTTTGGACGGCGTGCCGCCTCCGATGCAGGCTGGCGCGGCAAGCTCGAAATTATGGACCCGGATGCGGTGAGCTCCCCTCCTTATCTTCCGCTGACACCAGCCCCCGACGTTGGCGAACATGCTCGAGACATGGAAGAGCGGCTCGAACCACGGCACGGCCCAGCAGCGCGGCGACTTTACTTCCTCGCTGCTCGCCTCGCCCAACGACCTCCTCGAGATCCTGATCCGCCTGACTCGCGGCGACCGCAACCCGACCGCAGCGGTGGGCACGGGCCCAACCAGCGCCAACGGGCCGCTCGCGACCGCCATCCGCCCCGACTCGCCGTACGCGTCGCATCAGACGCACGTCTCGCTCGCCATCCTGGCGATGTACCGCCTCACGACGGACTACGCCAAGCAGGCGGGCAAGACCGAGGCGCTCAACGACCAGATCGCAGACATCATCCGCTCGCTGCCCGGGCATATGATCCACCGCAGCCTCGATGGGCTGTACAAGGAGTGGCTGGCCGAGCGGCGGGGGTAGCCCAGTGGGCCAGTGAGTGCCGTCTATGGCGTGCGTGAGCGCGGAAGGACTGAATGGCCGAGGCATGGCGATGGCCGAGGCAGGAGGGGGAGGTTACGTGGCCGCGAGAAACAAGAAATGAGGAGCAGGCGAGAAGCGATAGGACAGTGGGAGCCGGTCGATCCTACCCACGCACCCACTGCCGGGTGCCATGCAGTCGTGTCCGAGTTGTGTTGGCGATGGCGTGCGGGAGATCTCTCGCAGCCGCAGCAGTGTCCTTCTTACCTTCGTCCTGGTGCGTGGTGCAGCGTAGACAGTCGGGAGCATGCGGCTTCCGGCGCCTTCTGACCGCACTCATGGCGTGGCGTGGGAGCGTGGGAGGAGGCGAGGTGCAGTACAGTAGCAGATGCGCACAGCACTTGGCAGCAGTCCGCGCGTGGGGCGACAAGGGAGGACGACGGAGTAGTGGGGACATGGACAGAGTCCGGTGTATATGCTCGCCTGCACACCGCAAACGTGGCCCACGCGCGATCGGGGCATCGAGCCCACAGCGTACGGCAGCGGAAACGTCTTTGCCTGGTAATTCGTTGCAGATCCTGACGGCAGCATGTTCTTTTCGAAACCAAAGTGAGCACGGCGTGTTACCCGGACGCACTTTATCAAACCCAACACCATTGCCTGCGACGTGGCGTGGTTGTTGCAGTCGACAAGGGACTGACGCGTGCTACTGATACCAACTGACCCACTGATTCTCGTCGCGCGTGATACAAACACCTTATGCATGGAACTGTGGTCATCTACAAGCGCCAAGTGTTCACGATACACATGCACTGTCCGTCTCGCGACTGTTCCTCAAAGACGTTTCTAGTGGCTCAGTAGGCCATGTACATGGACAAAGGGGAACGGACACGGTCGTTGCGGCGGGGTGAGGGGTTGCGACATGCGTCCTGTGACTGAACTTGTGTAGCGGAGTGGGTGAGCGATGCACCCGCGTGAGGCGCGAGATCCAATGTCAGGCGCTTCAACGCAGCGATGGAAGAGGTCGGGTTGTGGCGAGACGACGGCCACAACGACGGATGAGTTATGCCCAAGCCTGACATTCTCTGATTCGCCGTACTCTCGGAAGGCAGAGGCCACGAATGCTGATAAGCCGTAGTGTAGTCGAACGGCGAGGGCGTAGGGCGCCAGTGCTCGAACGGAAGGGACGTGCGCCACGCCTCCATCACAACGGGAGGTTGGCGGGGCGTCGGGGCGAGGATATTTTCATTAGACTTGACGGGGTTGCATGCAGTGCGGCCAGAGGAAGCTCGATCGACCGGAACGGAGGGCCGGAACGGCTCAACCCATGGCTTCCATGACGGCTCGGGGGACTGATAGCGAGTCTGCAGGGGAGTGTTGGGGTGGGGGTCCAGGCAAGGAGGCGTAGCCGACTCTGGCGTATCGAGCTGATCAGTAAGGTCGGGGATGGGGATACCAGGGGAAAGGTTGAGGTGAGCGATACCTGGTCCAAGCGCAACTGCTGGTCTGGGATCTCTGGGCTCGGTGAGGACGCAGGTCAACCAGTTGCGCACGGCGCGGAGGCGAGGCTTGGCCTCGGCTCCAATCTGACGGATAATGGCCGTCGCCTGTGTCATGTGTCGTGGCTCCTCAACTCTGCCGCTCCAGATGGTCGCCACAGGCAGGAGTCAGAGCTCTGCATCCAGACATTCCAACACTCACAAATTTGCCTTCATCTTCAGCCATAGCAAATACGTGCCAAATGACGCCGATTATCTGCAGGCCGTAAACGATGCGAGTTCCCTCGGTGCGCGGGGCGAACGTCTTGGGCTGTAGCTCGCGGGCCTGGTTGTAGATTCGAGAGTACATGGCGAGGCTGGTGCGCATTGCGCTAAGCAGCCGTATGTAACCTTGGGAGACGTCATCGCATCGTCCAAGCGGTTCCACAAACAGCCACGGGAACCAGCCGTCAAGAAGGGTCTCTGATCAGTCAGCGACGGGCATATACTCTCATCCTACGCTTGGAGGAGGACCAAACGATGTCTTGCTCAATCATGTTGGGAATCAACGCGCATCCACAGACTCCACGCTTCCCCGATGTCTTAATGGAAACCTCCATCGCCTCGCTGCGGAGCCCAAGGGAGAAGCCGCTGCCATGTTCGAAATTAGGGAGTTCGAGAAGCTCAAGGATGTCGACATCGAAGGGCTCACTCGTTCTGAGATCAGCATATTGGCAGATGTACACTCACCGGATAGCAACGGCAGGCCAATCGGTGAGCGCATTGACAAACCCGCGAAGAATGTCGTAATAGTCCTCGGCCGGCGCAAGGCGCGCATCGCACGCGAACACGTCGTGCATAGTGCAATGGGCATGCGCTAGTGCTAGAGCAGCTGGGAGACACGTTGGTGCGCCGTATCGCGCCGGATTTGCAGCAATCGCACGAGTCGCACTCGTGGGGCGGGCGCCACCCTAACGTCAGTGGCAAGTCAAGTTGTGCTGGGGAGCAGTTGTGTATGAGAGTGAGGCGGCGCTGAAGGAAGGTGGGAAGTGACTAAACAGTTGTGTGTGTGTGTGTGTGGTGTGAAGCTCCGTCGTCTCCCCGACTTGAGTCTCGCACGCCGCTTTCCGTCAAAGCAAGCGACTCACAGCAGATAATGCAGCCTCGCCAGCGACGAGGACGGACCGGTCGCCGTACAAGATAGACTCGGTATATGAGCCGTTGAGGATGCTCTTTTTGGGCTGCGTGCGGATCTCATGAGCGGGAATGTGTATCACGCCGCTGCTGAAGAGTGCAAGCAGGTGCCGTGAGACGCTGTTCTTAGCCTCTGTGCCACTGACGGTGGCGGATTGGCCGGACTCCGTCACTTGGCTAGGGACCTGTGTATGGTTTCGCGACGGGGTGTAGACTTGCCCATAGGTGACCGAGGTGAGTGGCTCTCCACCGTTCTTGCCGTTGAGCGTGTAGTCCGCCTCCCAAGTGCCGGGAGGGCTGGTGAGGCGAGGAGAGGTGGGGAGACCCGGGTACGGGGTCAGTGGAGTGGCAAGGACGGCGGAGTACGTCGTGGAGGTGGAAGATACGCCCGAGGTGCACGAGGAAGGCAAGGGGGACGCGTCAGTGGGTGTGAACTTGCTCGAGGAGTGTGATGTTCGAAGCTTGTTACTCGGGATGAGGTCGGGGACCCAATCGTCTTCCTCGCCATCGCTGTCGTTATCACTGTCGTTCAGAGATGCGCTCCAGTGGTTGAGGTCGTAGTAGGTTGCGGGTACGGGTTGAAGGGGTGGGAGAGACCAGCGCTTGGCGCGGTCCTGAGGGGAGAGCATAATGCTGTGGGTGATGGAGAGGGGTCAGCGATTGAGAGACAGAGACGACGAGGGGAGCGAGGGGAGCGAGGGGAGCGAGGGGAGTGGAGGGAGCGAAGAGAGTGAAGAGATGGATGAAGACCAAAGAGATGATGATGAAGACGAAAGAGAGAGAAAGAGAGAGAGAGAGAGAGGAGATGAGGAGATTGTCGCTCTGCATTTGTCGGGGGCGACGAGGGAAGGCGCGCGCCTGTCGTCTTTCGGGGCCGGTTGAGGATCGCCACACATTCACATTCAACCACTCTCTCACTACTCAATTCATCAATTCACTCTCCATCCACTCGTCACCCTCGTCATCCTACACCTCCGCTGCATCAGTACATCAGTCAGTCAGGCATTCAGTCACCTTCGCGGCCGTGAATTATCCATTGACATGCATAGAAAAATCGATGGCGGCCTTATGGACGAAAAACGCAAGTGAATGTCGTGGGCTGGTCGTTGCCATCGACTCGGCAGTGGTCCTGGTCTAGTGTCCTATGTCGTAAACCCCTCTCTCATTCAGTGTTCTCTAGCGTCTGTGCGCCGAGCGCGAGTGCGGGCGGGCGGGGTGTGTCGTGATGCTGGCGCGCTCACTTGGGCACCACGGGCGTGTACTGCTGCGCGCCGTAACCGGATCCCGGTGATCCAGGCGAGTGGAACCCGGGGGTAGGGTACTGCGCCCCCTGCGGCAGCGGCGACGGCTCGTCGCGGTACGGCGACGCGGCGCCCGAGCCGCGCGAGTACTCGCCGAGCGAGTTGGACGACTCCTGGCGCTGGCCCGGGTGCAGGCCCTGCAGGTCGGCCGTAGCCATGGTGCTGATCGACGCGTGCGCCGACGAGAAGCGGTTCGGGCGCGGCGCAGTCATGCCGCCCATCGGGTACGAGTCCTGCTCGCGGTACGCCTGCTGCGCGTCCCAGGCGCTGTTGTCCTGTGAGTTGGCGCCGGCGTACCAGCCCTTCTCGTCATTGGCCGGGCGCTTCTTCTTGCGGATACAGAGGCAGAAGACCAGGAGGCCAAGGAGCGCGCCGGCACCGACACCGACACCAACGCCGAGACCAATCTTGGCGCCGGCCGAGAGACCCTCAGTCGTTGCGCCCTTCTGCGCATTCGCGACGGCCGAGTCGGTCGCCTCCCCGATCTGGGCAACGTCGTCCTCCGTGGCAGTGGCAGTGACACTCGCCTCGGGCGGAGGAGGCGGCTTCCAGTAGGCCTGCTTGATAATGTCGGCGGCCTTCTCAGCGATACCGTAGGTGCTGGCCATCAGGTGGGCCGAGATGTGGAGGGGAATAACCGACGAGTCGACAACACGAAGGTTGTTGGTGCCGTAAACGACCAGGCGGGTGTCAACGACACCGCCCATCTCCTCGGGAAGCATCGACGCAGTGCCGTGGGGGTGGTACTCTGTCGAAGCACCGTTCTGCATGGCCGTGGTGAGGGCGGAGCCGTTTGCACCAGCGGTGCTTCCAGTCTCGCCCGTGATAGTGCTTGCGAAGGGGCCAGCGTTGACGAGGCGACGAACCCATCGCGCACCAGCGCCAATGATCTGGCGGTCAATGTCGACGGCGTAGTACGAGGGGTCGATGTTGGGCTTGGAGAACGCGCTGTTCGAGCTAATGTGGCATGTACCGCGCGAGAAGGGGTGCTGGAGCGCGACCTGAATGCCGATGTTGTTGGCGCCAGCGCCCCACATGGACAGAATGATCTCGAGCTGGCCAGTCGAGTCGGTGAGCCAGGTCTTCTGGATGTTGTACTGGGCAGTAAGACCGGCGCGTACGTTGGCGGGCATGTTGTGGGCGTCTCCCACGTCGGCGACAGTCTGGGCGACGTTGATATTGGCAGCGGCAGCAGAGGCCTCGGCAGCACTCGTAATGTCCGCCATGCTCACGTAGCCGACGGCCTCGTTGATATAAGTCAGAACGCCAGACTTGTTGCTCTTCCACTCGGCGAGAGCCGCGGCGATGGCATCCTCGTTGCTCCACAGCTGAGCCCAATTCTCAATCTGAGTGGTCGAGAAGTACATGGTGCTCGAGGCGTGGTCCTGGAGGTTGTGGCCAACGGGGAGGTCCTTGCGAACAGCAATGCCGAGCGGGGTGAGGACAGACGAGGGGCCAATGCCCGAGAGCTGGAGGATCTGGGGCGAGCCGATGGTGCCACCGGCGAGGATAACCTCCTTGTTGGCCTGAACCGAGTAGATTGCGCCGCCAGACGATGCGGAGAATGAAACACCCGAGGCAATAATGTTGCCAGAAGCATCGGTGGAGCCGTTGAAGAGGACCTCGGTGACCTGCTGGCCAGTGAGGATTACAAGGTTGTCGCGGTTGGGCTGCGAGTCGATGTAACCGGCCTTGGAGTCGCAACGGGTCTGGTTGGCCTGGAAGAGAGTCGAAGGAGTGATAGAAACGCCGCGGACATCGCCAGCAGCCAGGTCCTTGTTGGTGAAGCCAAGAGCCTCCCAAGATGGGACCCAGTTGGAGGTGAAGGGGTAGATGTAGCTGGACCAGCCAATGTGGATGGGGCCGTTGGTACCGTGGGCGGTCGAGTCGATGGCAATGTGGAAGGTGTCAATGTTGGACTGCTCGGGCCAGCCGAGAGTTTCCGACTTCATGATGTACTTGTTCATCTCCTCCCAGTTCCAGGTGACATTGCCGCCGGGGTTGAGGTCTGCCCATGCGTCGTACTCGTGGCTGGACGCACGACCCCAGAACATACCGTTGACGGCGCCCGAGCCACCGAGCAGCTTTCCTCGAGGCCATTTGACCTGCTTGCCGCCAAGGTTGGCCTGGGCAACCGTCTCGTACTGCCAGTTGCGACCGGGCTTGGTGTTGACAGACTCGCCGTAACTGAGACCTGGAAGAAGTGGTTAGCGAAAGATCGAGACGACACGACAGGGGAACCGAATGCGAACCGAACAGGTCGATCGGATCGCTGGAAAGAATGTAGATCTCGGCCAGCATCTCGGCACGTCGTTATGCTTACCTGGCACGTCAATGTTGTCGCGCACGTCCGAGCCGTCGCTGCCGGCCTCGATCACGCAGACGGTGACGTTCCTCCACTCGGTGAGACGCGCGGCGAGGGCGAGACCGGCGACACCGCCGCCGGCAATGACAAAGTCGAAAGCCTTGCCATTGACCTGGGATATATCATCGGTGATGCCGCGCTTAAGAAGGTGGCGGTAGGGGTTGTGGTGGTAGGCGGCGTCGTTGTCCCGGTCGCGCAGAATGGCGGCGGACGCGGGGACCGCAAGGGCGGCGAGCGCGAGGGCGGCGGCGTGCATGGCGGGAAAATTGGGGGAGGGGCGGCCCAATGACGCTAAGACGACCGATGCGGCTGCATGGGCGTGAGTAGGAGCGATGCATGGCGAGTTCTGATGACTCACGGAAGAGGAGGAAGAAGAGGAGCTGTGCGCAGTCGAGGCGGGTGGCCGTGCGGACTGTGCGGGAAATGCGAGAAAAAGATGTCGTCGCCGGGGAGGAGGGCGACGGGGAGGGAGAGGGGGGAGTTGGGGATAGTCGAGGGGAGGGGAGGAGATGACCACGACGAGGGAGAGAGAGTAATAAAGAACGAAAGATGACGATCGAGAGAGTAGTAGATGGTTAGTGAATGCGACGACGAGGACTGAGGAGAGTGTGCATAACGAGGGTGCGCGCGGGGTGGCTGATACAGGACTACAGGACTGGAACTAGGGCGCTCCTAGTCACCCACAGTATTGCGACAGCGGCGGTGATTTTGCGGGCAGCAGCGAGGTCACCATGCTGGCCAGTAGGCCAGCGTAGTCCCAGCGCAGGCCAGCGCAGGCCAAGGGCTGCCAAGAACGCGACCCGGGGGGGTGGGACCTGGCCCTTCCGGCCCGCCAGCCCACCACTCTCTCTCTCTCTCTCTCCTCCCGACTGCCCAACTGGTGCCGTCGAAACTCTGGCTGTGCCGTTTCACTGCTAGATGTGGTATCGCTGTGCTTTCTGCCAGTCTTTGGGGCTGCATTACAAGATGGTGGCTGAGCCTGTATCCAGGTGGTGGCGGCGAGCTCTCACAGAAAGAATAGGCAAAAAGTGCCTTGCACCGCCTGAACGAACGACCGGATCGAGGGTTCCTGAGGAGCCGCAGGAAAGAGAGGTGTGCGGGGCAGTGAGCTAGAGTTGGCCTACGACATCTCTCAAGCTCGACGCGTTTTCTGGGCAAAGCGGCGGCGCGGAAGCGCGCGGCAGATTGCAGAGCGCGCGCTCTGAACGAGGGAGAGATGCTGACGAGAAATTTCAAGGATGAACCCTGGCCCTGACGATTCATCACCCTGGAACACCGACCGCGTCCCTGACGCCCACGTTCATTGTTCTCCTCATCATCACCTCATCTTTCTCGACTGCAACGCTCGCGCTCATGCTCATGCTCTCGCTGTTTCCGATGGCAGGCGTAGCAGCTTGCACGCCACTGACCACTGACTGCTGGCTAACACTAGAGCATGACAGCACTAAAATGCAGGTCTACGGATCGACGCCCATGCCAAAATTACGCAGGGCGCTGCGCGAATGGCCGCTGGGTCGCATCGCCGCAGAGAGCTGCGGCGTGACTGGTCGCATGTACGCGCATATAGAAACGTTGTCAGGCCGCGTCAAGCAGCGATAGAAGAGGAGATACGACCGAATGGAATTGTAATGGAGATTGGTGGGACCTAGAAAGACTTGAGTTACACATTACGAACGTGATAAAACGTCAACCGAGGAACTCTCAAGCTCCCAGCTCACAACCAGAGGCGCTCAACACACACGTCAAAGTGTCAACATTCACACGTTCACTTCTTCCTCATTCCCACTCCCCACTCCCAAACAACAGCCCCACCCCCAACAACAACCCAACCTCAACTTGGCACCATGTCAAGCGACAACAATCTCGTCAAATTTCTCTGCGCCCATTACGAGCCCACCATCGCCTGGGCTGCCCCCCCTGTACAGCACGCCTCTGTCCCCACTCACGTCGGGCCTCACAAAAAGCTAGGCATTCCATCCTCCTTCCCTGTCAAAGTCCCCACCTTTCCCCTCCTACGCTCCGCCAACCACACGCACTGCCAAAACATCAAAGGTGTCAAATCTCGACCGTTCTTTCTTGTCCAGCCGGCTACAACCAAAATGACGGACTCGATGGCACAGGAACTCCTCTTCAAACTCGACAACAATTACGATAGCATCGCATACACGCCACGCTCGCACTCGGCTCTGAAGCACCAGTGTGAGACCCATTGGGTCTCGTCCTATGCCCACACTGCACAGAAGGTCATCGAGCATGTTGATCCCAACTGATGCTTGACTGCTGAATGGTCCCAATCGAACCAACCTCTGACCGGATGTTTCTGTTGGAAGGAAGACCCCGGCTTGTGATTTGGGCTGTGGGCGAGACGGTTGGGGAAGCTGAGCGGCGCGTCAACAACCGTCTCGCCCACAGCCCAAATTACGATGATCTCGTCGCTGGAACTGAGCACGTTGACTGCAGTATCGAGTTCAAGACCGACGCCCTGTTTGGAGACGAGGTGATGGACGCTCTAGATCACTTCCATGATGGAGGAGGCAAGGCAAAGGTCTTCAAGGATGGACAGGAGCTCCCTGTCACCTTTGACTTCTGGCATGCTGACATGGTAGTCAGCCACTTTTTGCGTCCAGTAGCCCTTGGCTTTCTCCAAGTGGTCGACAGCGCAGCCTTGTCCACTGTGCTGACAACGGCGTATCAGCTTCAGAGCAATGGCAACAGGTCCCTCCCTGCCGTTTTTGATGAGGAGAGCAAGACCTACCTACTAGCAGGTAGCTGGTCACAAAAAGAGACTGCAGCTGGAAATCCAGCGGAGCCCGACGCAATGTCGGCTATTCTGAGTATACCTGAGGATACAGTGAGTCATCATATACAGTTACTTCATATGGAGCGCCCTAGGCTCAGGGTGGAGTGAGGCGGATCTATGTACTGGCTCCAGCTCGTTGCATCGTTCATTTACTTCTTACCTCTTTCATGTCACGCGCTCAGGCAGTCCATCTCTCAGCGCAGCGCCCCTCTTGCACTCACTTCCCCCCCGCTACACTCTGGGACGGGTGGGCGGATGAGTAGCGGACTGAAGCGGATACCTCTGGAGTCCCCTTGACATGCATCTCTACTCGCTGTTTCAAGGGCAATGGTGGCCTTGCAACACGAAACGGCTGCGTTGACGCAGAGGGTGCACTACTTAAAGCAGTGGTGCGCCCTCTTGAGCGGATCGTTCAACGTAACATGCACGTCTCGCTCGCCCCTCTGCCGTTGCCAACGATCAACGACGCCCCACACAACATGAGTCATTGCTGTGCAAAACGAATCTACTTGGCAATGGAGGGCGCAGGTCGCGCCAGCTATACATGATGGCAGACTTGCCGTCTACTCCTCAACTTCCCTCTCCCCCTCTTCTCTTCCCTTGGTCACCTCCCTACTCTATTCACGCTCCATCTCCATCCAGCGTTCTCCACTTCGCCAAGGTCACATAGTAGGTGTAGAGCTCGAACTAACATCATGATTAACGAGCTAACGTCAGGTTTACTCTCCTGACTTCCTCGCTGGTCTCGGCCCCGCCCTCGCCATCGCCGAATCACCCCCCCTACCCCCTTTCCCCTCCTCTTCCGCCCTTCCTCTCCACCTCCTCAATGCCCCGTGCCAGCCGTAAGGGTCTCACAGGAGAAGAGCTCCACAATGTCATCAATGACCTCAATGGCAAGGACCAGTACAACGGTACCTTGCACCAGTTAATCAAGGACGCGCTCAAGAACCGCGGCGCGTGCTCGATGAAGGCGAAGGTCGTGGGAGGAGGAGACAACAACCGGCCTCTCCCCCAGCTCAACAGCGGCGGGTACGCCGTCAACGAAAACGAGTCTCGGCTCTGGGAGGTATGTGGTTTTTGCCGGAGTCCTCTGCAGTCCAGCAGTCCCCGCTAATGCACTCAGGCTTTCCGCATGGTTGCTCCTGACAGGTTCCTTCTCCATCACGAGCCCTGCGACTGCTGCCTTCGCGACGGCAATGAAAACTGCGTCTACGACGCAGACAATCATAAGCAGACTTGCGGCTTGTGCACCAAACGCCGCAAGCAGTGCTCAAACCAGACTCCGAACGTTGACAATGTTCGCAGTCAGGCATTCAGTGCCGCCGCTGCATTTGGAGTTGGTGCCCAGCCCGCAGGTGCCAACTTCATGGGCAGCATTCAGGATCTTTTCGACCACCCAACCCGCCGTGGCGCCGCTGCCGGCTCTCGCAGCGGCCAGGGAGGAGGCAATGGGGACGGAGATGGCGGCGGCAGTGGAGGTGGCGGCTCTGGCAGCGGCGGCCGCAGCGGGGGACGCACTGGCGGTAGTGGTGGCGGCGGCCGTGCTGGGGGGCGTGGTGGTGGCGGCGTCGCCAGTGGTAGCGGCGGCGGCAGTGGTGCGATCTAGGCCTCGTTGTACTTTAGTTTGGTGTGATCTCGTTGTACTTTAGTTGGCCTTCTTCCCATGTAACATATTCAACAAAATATTTGCTGGGACTTCTACGTCTACAATGCGCATGAAGCGGAGACTAGTGGAGTCCTGTGCACTCTGCTAACTTGGCAGTCGGATATCGAACACTCAGCGACGAGGGGACGCAGCGCTTTGGAGAGGGCCTTACCTGATAGCTTCTCGGTTGCACGATATTTCCGCTGCGCCAGACAGCCCGAGGGAAGAGCACCAGGTCCGAACGTCGTGAGTGCACGTAGGTCCGGCGGCAGTGGTGCAGCCGCGGCTGCATCAGCGCCAATCGCTGGTCTACCGCCCGGAAACATGTCCTCCTCACCCTCTTCCTCCTCACCCTCTTCCTCCTCATCCTCTTCCTCCTCACCCATGCCGGACAGTCCGACACCTGGCGGTGAAGAGGGGTCTCTGCTAACGCTCGGAAGCACCGCGAGGGCCCTTTCTGCTCCCCGGGAGGCCTCCACTCGTTTGCAGGCACAGACTGCAACGACAATCACCACACAACCCCGCGGCGGTGTCTCCCTCCGACTTAAGAACGGTACACAGGCCGCAGGAAGTTCCCCCCGGCCCTCCCCCCTCCCTCCCCCCTCCCCACTAGTTGACGGAAAACCTAAGTAGGCGGCGAACCCACCGCTGCCGTTCGTAGTTGTTATGGATCATGTACCCTATCTTTAGCTCGAGCTTCAGGTTGTCGCAAAGTTGCGCAGCTGGCTGGGGCCTCGCAGAGCGTCCAGCTCCACGGGCGATGGTACTAAAGGCCGGGCAAGCATACATCTTATTCTTCATCGGAGAAAACGATGACAGCTTTGTCTTAAAATTGGGGAGGAAAGTATAACATGGGATGCGAGGGAAGCGAAAGGTGGTGCAAGTGCCCAAGGAGGGGTAAAGACAACGCTCTACGCCTCAATCGCACGCTACGCCGCCTTCGATGGCCAATCATCAGATCTTTGTCGTGACATCTCAACATCCTCATGCACCACTGGAAACGTCGACAATCCTGAATGGCAATACCACTGCTGGTTCATCGACGACAAGGCCCTTCAAACACAAACAGGCTCCAGAGGGCCGACGCGGGGTTGCAGCGGAGGTACTCCTTGTCGAACCAGCCACGATAGGCCTCCTGAAAGCTCTGTCCGGCAGTTGGCGGAAGGGCGGGCTTCTGGGGGATGACGTGAGGCATATGTCCCGGCCGCCACTCAGCATGCAGCGTGGACACCCCCTGGGACTAGATGTACTGGAACGGGTGTCTTAATACGCAGGCGGAGGTCGGCAAGTAGGCACGAAGGGGCTTCAACATGATGGTGGAGGACCTGTGCACTTCATAAGGGTGATCATTGATTCCACACCATATGATGACGTACCAGCTGAGTCGGCGGTTGTTATCACCACACTCTACGATTAATGTTCACCGGACCAGCACTGACGACCCAGGGTTCAAACCTCTAAGGGAGGTTTTGCTCTTTTTGTGTTTTGCTTTGGCTGAGGACAACAGATGGCCCATTTCATTCCGTCGTGAGGTGAGGGGCAACGCCGAACGCAAGTTGCGCCGTCACACCCATCCCGTCAGCCCGCATCGCAGGGCGGCCCCATCTCTGCATTCTCCACCGCCATTCTTTCGCTTTTCCACTCTGCCCGCCTCTTCTGTACCTCCGCCCCGCACCCTGTATGTTGCATCGAAATCGTGTGCAATGCTAGTCATGCTGCTCCTTTCCGGAGGCTTCGCCAAGATTACGAGCCTTCGCCAGCCGCGCAACCGCACCCGTCTCAACGTTCTCCGCGCCCTCAATGTTGTCGAGCGCCTCACGCGCGCGCTCCGCCGCCGCCGCACGCACCGCCGCGTCCACCGCATCCCGATCCGCCTGCCGCTGCGCGCGCCACCGACGGATCTCTGTCTCGGTCGCGATGATCCCCTTACTCGCGAGGGCGTTACGCGCCTCCCGCCGTATCGCGTTTTCCGCGTCACGCTGCGCTGACTCGTACTTGAGGAGGTAGTCGTCTGACTTCAGCGTGGACGACCAACAACTCACCTGCGCCAATCACGAGTCCGAAGATGCTGCTCGATGTGACAAGGAACGCCTTGATCGCCCACGTCTGTTTCCGGAACGTCGGGTTGAAGCGGTGCAGCAGGCCGACGCCGACGAGGCCGTATACGGTCCACCACGCCATGCCCTGCGGTGAGCGGACGCCTAGACGCATGATGGGTCAAGAGGAGCGGATGAGCGCCGCCCTCGTGACACACCCGCTACCCCCGGTCGATGGGTTCGCGGCTTAGACGCACCTGCAGTCCCCCAATGAGCTGAAGCTCATATGCACGCTGCTGGTGCTCCAACCTGCGCCCGCGGTCTGGCCCCGAGTCTGCCATGGTAGATAGAGAGGATGAGCATGTGAAGCGTCGGGTGATGATGCTGTAAAGTGGAGGCCGTGCCTGTACTCCGAAACTGTCGTAACTTCCGAATGGCAGTCGCGACATGTTCCGGCGCGCCGAGCGCGCAACGGCGGCGCTCGGTGTGCGGGGGTCGAGCCGTACGTACCGTTGAGACCGCTGTTTCGGCTCTCAAAACTTGGAGACGCGCACAGCACATACTAAGAGTAGCGGATGAGGGCTAACACAGAGCGACACAGAAAGACGCGACAAACGGCCACACGCGCTCCATGCATGAACACTACAACTGCGACTTGAGCACATCCACCTCGTGCACAGTGAGCGAGTCGTACAGCGTCCGCTCAAACTGGTTGTACACCGTCATAAAGTGGTCTGGGTTCGGTCCGTTGAGGTTAGTCGCACACACGGCCTGATGTCAGCCTTGGCCTCGATTCCACCCACCGCAACGCCCGTGGTCGGATCGATCCAGTACTCGCTCTTCGCTGCGCCGTCCCAGCACCCGCTAAACGCGCGGCGTCCATGAACGCTGTCCATAGTATTAAGCATGAAGCCGACCGAATGCGCGAGCCCCTGCCCGTCATTGTCCGTGTGCCGAGGATCGGTAAAGGTGCCGAAGAGCATGCTCTTCGCGCAGTCCGCATAGCACTTGTTGTCGGGTCCGCGCGGCGGGAGAGAGCTTGTAAACAGCTCGTCGAACATGGCCCGCGAGAGCAGGCCGCGGCCCGGCGCAGCGTCGCGGCTCGCCAGCACGCCCGACAGGAAACGGAGGTAGTCCCGCGCCGTGCCGTACAGACCGCCGCCGCCGTTCATGCGCCCACGCGCGCGCATATTCCTCTTCTCCTTGTCGCCGGGAAGTGCACCCTGCGGCCGCTGGTGCGGCGGGGGGATGTGGATGGGCCCCGACCCCCCGGAGGGACGGTAGCACATCGTGAGGAGACGCGCCTCGTGCTCCTCCCCTGGCTCGAATGTCATGCTGGTGATGCCGAGCGGGGCGAAGATGTTCGCTTGCATCCACGCGCCTAGAGTGTCGCCCGATATGCGCTCCAGCAAGATGCCAGCCCAGTCCACACCTGTGCCGTAGCGCCAGCGCGTACGCGGCTCGAACATGAGCGGGCCCAGCACCTCGTTGTCCCCGTCGCCTGGCTTACCGCAGTCGTGCTCTTCCTGCCACCGTTGGATCAGCGTGTTGCGGCGCGCATACGCCAACCCCGACGTGTGCGAGAGCAGCATGCGCAGCGTGAGCGGTGTCCGGCGAGGCACGTAGACTGGCCCGTTGTCGTCGTACGCGACCAAGATGTCCTGCTTCGAGATCTCGGGGATGTGCGCATGCAGCACCTCGGGGTCGTCAAGCGATGCGAGGCCTCTGTCGACCAGCTGCAGCGCCGCCACCTGCAGTCAGCTTCGGCAGACGACGCGAAGCTTACAGATGTCACCAGCTTGGTCATGGAAAACATCTGCAAACACGTCTGGTCGGTGACTTCGCCGCGCGCGCTGCTACCATACTCGACCTCGCCAGCGCACGACCAGAATATCTCGCCGTCTGCATTGGCGGCGCCGAAGAAGGTTGCGGGGATCGCACGGCTGCTAACCTCACGGTGCAGAAGGTTCTCGAGGGCTGTGCGCCCGGCGTGGGTCACTACAGGTCGTGGGAGCATGATGAGTGGGCGATTGCAAGAGTGGTAGCATTTGGAGGTGCCGGGTGACAGTTGTCGTGTATCCGGCACGGAGATGGCCGAGATGGAAGGTGGTCCTGGCCTATCGTTATCTTCAAAATACGCCCGGCACCGCGAGGGCAACCACTTTCATGCCACATCCAGTTTCATCACCACCCTAGCACTACGTTACCTATCCCTAGGCCGGCTAGGTGCTTTGGGCGCAGGCGAAGGCGATGGAGAGACCTTGCGCAGATTGCGTGCTGAGCGCCGCTTGACCACTGTGGTCCAATCCGAGGTGATTTGAGCAGGGGGTGTGGAAGGGGGTGACGGCGTAGCTGGGCGGGGGCCGGGCGTCGCTGGCCCCCCTGGGTGGACCACAAGGGCTGGTTCCGGGGCGGCGGAATGCACAATGACTGCCGGCGTGTCGGCCGCTGATGGGGGCTGGGGACGAGGACGGAGAACTTGAAGGTCCCGAGCTGCGTGGGGTCTGGGCGCTGGCTGCCCCGGGGTGGGAGGAGGGCGGGGACCGCGGGCTTGCTGAGTTGCGCTGGAGGGGGGAGGACGGAGGCCGCGGGCTTGCTGAGCTGTGGCTGGGGGGGGAGGACGGAGGCCGCGGGCCTGCTGAGCTGCGCCCAGGGGGGGAGGACGGAGATTGCGGGCTTGCTGAGCTGGGCGGGGCGCTGTGCGGGGCGCAGGCGGGGGCCTCGCGGGGCGAGGACGGAGACCCTGGGTGTCATTTCGGACTTGTTGAGGTGTGAGGGGGACGGGGGACTGAGCAGAGGGCCACGGCGCAGGTGTCCGCCTCTTCAGGTGCTCCAGAAGCCTTGCGGCAATGATTGTCACCAGATGAAGCTCCGATCCAGACACCTCGGCGTTGTCATCCTTGCTGGGGAACAAGATCCCATCAAGACCTCCTAGGTCTTCAGAGCGGCCGAGCCATGAGGGAGAAAGCTGGAAAAGATCAATGGCGGGGGAAAAGTGGATGGAGCTTCCTCGCTGGCCACCACGTTGCTCCGTCTCAATGTTGGTTGCGATGATGGCACGCCCATGTGTCAACTTGCCACCGGGACAACCAGTGGCCCACCCATAGGCAGGAGGCTCCAAGATCATGTTGGCAAGGGGGACGAGGTCGGAGGGCAGGGAAATACAGGTGTCATCGGCAATAGCCCACACGCCGGGGTCGTCGTCGTACGTGTCGGTGTCGGTGTCCTCGAACTCGTACGTGTCGTCATATGAGGCCTTGTGGGAGGCCGTGTATGAGATCTTTGAGCGGTCCCGAGGGTGCTTCTTGACCAAGATGACGTCAAGCTCCGCGTGGTCCAAGGCCCCCAGATCTACAGACCCACGCTTTACTTCCACAATGTCACCCAGGAGCGTCGTCTTGGGCTTGGTCCGAAGATCTCCTACACCTTGCAGGGCGGGGTAGCTTGTCATGCCGATGTCAATGTAAGCCCGAGCTAGCTCATTGGCCCAGTTGACATATGCCACCTCAATCTGGCTGTGGAGGTGGCACACTGTGGCGTGGCGGTCGTCCCCGTGGCGGTCGTCCCCGTGGCGGTCGTCCCCGTGGCGGTCGTCCCCGTGGTGGTCGTCCCCGTGGTGGTCGTCCCTGTGGTGGTCGTCGTAGTCACGGAAAGCCTTCTGAAAGACAGATGTCTTCAGCAGGAACGCCATGATAACTTCAGCATCTGCAACAGTGTCGCTCTCAACATGGGACTCGAAGAAGTATAGCTTGCCAGACCTTGAACGTGGCACATCTCCGCCCGGCATCAACCTGTTGAAAGCATCACAAGCCGGGCCAAGTGTCTCCTGGCTCTCACGGAATGCCTTGACCAGGTTGATAACTCTTTTGAGAGCCTTCCTCGCGCTGAGGTCCGGCACAAGCCGCAAGTAGGATGAGTTTACTGGTAGTGCTAGCGTTAGAACCAGAGGTCTACGGTATGACTTGCCTGTGCCAGCTTCAGCCTCCTCTCCGCTCCGCGCAACGCAGAGGGCCCGGACCATGGTTACCACAATGCTCTTGGGATCGTCGCGCAGGTTTGCCTTGCCACCCCCTTTGCCCTTGCCCGCCCGGGGCTGGGGGGAAACCATGCTCGTCTTGGGCTCGGAGGCCTTTGTTCCCTTGCCAGCCCAGCGGATCGGCTGCGGCTTGAGGCGCAGGAGGGCATCAGCCATAGGCGTAGCAGGGGTGAAGGACTGGGCATCAGTAGGCGTTTGCTATGGTCCTCAGAACGTACCATAGTAAAGAGCAGACGAGACTTGTAAAGAAGAGATGAGGCGAAGTGAACAACCGCTGGGCGTTTGGGTAGCTTGTAACGAGGAGACGAGACGTGTAAAGAGGAGATGAGACGGAAGTGAACGACCGCTGGGCGTTCGGGTAGCCTCTATATATATCGACTCGAGGGCGCACTAGATCCAACTTGAGGCCGGGGATGTCTGAGAAGGGCGTAGATCTAACAAGCAATCGGAAGGCCGTAGATGCAAGTGCAGTGCAGATGTCTTAAGGGTGATATCATGGATCTTGGCGCGTATTACGATGATGTCTAGAGATCTACCGCACACACATATCGTAGTGTGAACTAGAGGGATGCTTCGGGCCTTCGAAGCTCGTATCCGGGCTTGCGGCGCTGGGAACAAGGCGGGGGCACCGATGTAAGGACGTGAGCTTGCTTCTGAGGATTGCTTGAGGCCTCTACATTCACACACACTCGTCGCGGTGGCTTCTGACGATTGCGACTGGTCGTAGCGGCTTCGGACGATTAGCGATGCGGGCTTACAGGCGCCGGTACACTTTGATCTGACGATTGCGGGCGTTGGGGTGGCGGTTGGCTGTGATCTGGTCGGTTCATCTGTGATATGGAGGCCTCTACCTTCCCACACACCCGCGGTGGTGGCCTCTGACGATTGTGACTGCTTGTGGCGGCTTCTGACGATTGCGGGCGCAGGGGCGTCAGTTCATCTGGAATCTGGAGTCCTCTATCTTCCCGCACACTCATCGTCGTGTGAGGGCACAGGCTCAGACTGGGGCTTTGAATCCTCTCCCCCTCTCGGCTCGGCCGTCCGTTTGTCACTGCACGATGCGCTGGACGAGTTGGCAAAGCTTGGAGGACGCCTGGCTCAGCCAGTAGGTAGTGACATGTTCAGAAAACCTGCAAAGACATACATGACGAAAGTACACAGCTTTGGAGATCGGAGGAGGAGTCTGAGAACTACGGATGTGGCCCGTGGGACGTACATGACCTTGATGGGCCCCCCCGGCGATTGGCGAGAACTTGTGACGCTAAGCGCTAGATCACGTCACGGTACAGACGACGGTATGAAGAGGCTTGGTTATCCTGCGGATCATTCGGCGGGGACCCCGACAACATGGCAGGCGCCCGCCCGCCCTTGTGCTTTGACGGCGAGTCTTCTTCCGCGTAGATATACGACTGTGTTGCCGCTTCCTTGCCGGGTCCCTGTGGCGTCAACAGGATCGTGCTGGCGGCCGAGACGCTGCTGCGTGTCGGCGAGACGTGGACACGAGGCGCCGAGTCGCCGATGCGAATGTGCGCAATCTGCGCCCGGTACGCGGCCTGCTCCTCTGCCGTCGGCTCGGCAATCTCCTCCCCGTTGACGTCGAGCCAGATGACGTCCGCGCTCTCGTCCAGGATGCGGAAGGGGCGAGGCGGGAGCGTGGACCGGTCCGGGAGGTAGGGCAGCAAGTAGTCGTTGGTGTAGGAATGGTCGATGGGGGGCGGAGAACCCCAGCTTTCATTGCCCTCGACCCAGGCGCCGCTGAGCTCCTCTCGGATGCGGTAAAAGATTGTGGGGTAGTGGCGGGAGTCTGTGAGGGTGTTGTTGGGGAACCTGTCGTCGACTTGGTCACAGCACTATGGGTAAGCGCTTGCGGATCTGCGGATATGAGACGGCGGTGGACAAGGGGGGCAAACGCTGGAGGCAGAGCATTGCAAGCCACGAGATACTCACGAAGGTGTAGACCATGCCAATGAGCGTGTTGGTATACGCGATCCACTCATCCGTAGTGTATTCGCGCCCGAGAGAGCAGAACACATCCTCAAAGTACCACTTACTGCGCGTCAGGGAGGGGCGCTGGGGCAGGAGCCCCCAGGGGGAGGGGCAGGAAGGGGGGTTGTCCCGCCAACACTCACAGTTCGAAGGTCTTGTCAAGTACGGCGAGGCAAAAGTCCAGATCTGTGACCGCTGAGGGGTCTCCCTTTTCAAAGCACTCGGTCACACGCAGACTTGCGGCACGACCAGCCCACATTGCCATGAGCTTGTATTCGGACGGTGCGAAGTCGGGCCAGCCAAAGCAGATGCGGCCGCCCCACAAGCTGCCGTCCCACGACTGTCGGGGGAAATGAGCAAACTTGGGGGGCAGTGGAAGACGCTGAGGCTCTGGAGGAGTTGGAGGCATGATGGGAATAAAGAGATGGTGAAGTGGTGAATGAAGAGATGGATGCGATTGTTGTGTGCGGAACAGGAATACTTAAGTAGTTGGGGTTGTTTGGCTTCCGCCGATCCGCTGCCTTGCGTCATCTCCCATCTCCCATGAGATCACGTGGGTGCCTCTCCGGCCGGCATACGAATTTGGTTCCGTCCAATCCGGCCTGAGTGATGTGCTGGCGCGTCCACCGTCCGCCCGTACGCCGGCCGCCAGCCAGGAGCCAGATCTCTTCCATCACATCTCTTCTCTCTCTTCTCTTCTTTCAATCCTCCGTCTCCTTGTCTTATCCTCGTCTCCTCCTCGACATTCATCAGGTACCTGCGCGCTCTCACTCCAGCGCACTCGGTCCCTCCGTCTTTTGGTTTTGGTTACTTCGCTACAACGCATAACGGCTTGCAACATGGCTCTCTCCGCTGCCGAGCTGCAGAAGGTGCGCCTGCCCTCTCTTGTCACCTCACCGCTTGCGTTGTCTCTAACTAACTCTACAGAGGCACCAGCTTGAGGGTGCCCCCGACCCGTTCCCGTCCCTTGGCGGCAACGCGCCAGCCCCGCCCCGTCCCAAGTCGTCTACTCCCGTCTCGGCCTCTGGTGCGAACGGCCTCGACACGTCTGAGGATGCGTTCCCCACGCTCGCTCCCTCAGCCGTCAAGGCCGACGGCAAGGCCCGCCCCGCTCTGTCTGCCTGGTCCAAGGCTCCGGCCATCAAGCCCAGCACCAAGAAGCCCATGGCGCCCGGTGGCCTTGGTCGTGTTGGCCACGCTACCGCCGGCTCCCACCCGTACACCGAGTCATTCACCATCCCCGCCAACGAGCTCGCCACGGGCAAGGCTGTGACGGAGACGATGAAGAAGGTTCACGACCAGACTGGTGCTGTTGTCGAGTCGTCGACGCAAATGTCCACCAACCTCAAGCAGTTCCACATCAAGGCCGCCGACCCGAAGCGTCTCGCGCTCGCCCGCCAGATCATCGAGCGCGGCCTTAGCAAGCCTGTCACGCTCGAGGTCGAGGTCCCCATCTCTACTATCGGTACTATCATCGGCCCCAAGGGTGCCACTCTCAAGGCCATCACGGACGAGACTGGGACCAAGATTGATATTCCCCGTCGCGACACGCTGCCCGAGTGGGACGCCCGCACCGCCCGCGAGGCCCGCGAGGCCGCCGGCGAGGACTATGACTCGGATGACGAGCCCGAGGAGCCTCATGTTACGATCACTATCTCCGGAACGGGCGCGGCGGCCAACGATGCCAAGCTCAAGCTTCTTGGTCACATCTCGCACCGCATCTCGCAGGGTTCCGCTACTGTTAAGAATATCCCGTCCAAGTACTACCCGTTCATCAACGGTCCGCGTGGCGCCAACGCCCGCCGCCTTGAGGAGGAGCTTGGCGAGGGCGAGGTCAAGATTCATGTTCCCCCTCCCGCTGTCTGGCGCGCCATTCAGGATGACGAGGACGAGGATGCCACCCCCAAGGATGTCTCTATCAAGGTCAAGGGCGACAAGGAGAAGGTCAAGGCCGTCGTCGCAGCCATCAATCGCCAGTACGAGGACCTTGTTGGCACTTTAAAGGAGTTCGGCATTGTCGTTCCCAAGCGTCAGCACCGCTACCTCATAGGCGAGGCTGCCGACGACATTCTCGAGAAGACTGGCTGCATTATTGACCTCCCGCCTGCATCGGATCCCAATGAGCAGGTGATGATGCGTGGGCCCCAGTCTGGTCTTCTCAAGGCCATTGAGCTTGCCATGTCCAAGGCCGAGGCCGTTGCCGTCGAGACGGTTGATGTCGTCGCCATTTCGCGCGTTAACACCAACGACCCCGTGCCTCACGCCAAGAAAGTTGCTCGTTTCCTCCAGCGTTCCTCGCGCCTCAAGAGCATCGGCAACAAGTACAGCCAGGTCAAGGTCTATGCTCCCAAGCACGAGATCATGGAGACGGGCAAGGTTGTCATTGACGTTGTTGGCGAGAACAAGGACGAGGTCACCAAGGCTCGCGACGATGTTCTCGCCGCTGTGAAGGCAGTTCCCCCTGCTGCCATTACTACTGTTCACGTCGACCCCGCTGTGCACTCGCTCCTGATCGGCAAGAAGGGTACCAAGATTGCCCAGTTTGAGTCTGCCCATTCCGTCACTACTGTCTTCCCCCCCTCGGACTCGGACGATGGCGACGTTTCTGTAGTTTACAACGGCGTCGAGCTACCCGCAGACAAGAAGCAGCGCGACGCCAAACTCAAGGAGGCAGTTGGGGCAGCGGCCGCCGCGCTTGAGGAGCTTGCCAAGGGCGCTGCCGATGTCAAGACCGAGAATCTCGATGTGGACAAGAAGTGGCACCGAGCCATCATTGGCCAGGGCGGCACTGTTCTGAACGCGCTCATTGGCGAGGACCAGCTCGTCAACGTCCGCGTCGGCGCCAAGGCTAAGGGCGACGCCGAGGATGTTGTCGTCGTCCGTGGTCCCTCTTCCGAGGTCGACCGCGTCGTTGCGCAGATCAAGCAGATTGTCGAGGATGCCAAGAACGACGACATTATCAACGGCTATACCGCGGAGTTCGACGTTGACAAGAAGCACGTGCCGCACCTCGTGGGCCAGGCTGGCTCGGCGATCAACAAGCTCCGCGAGACCCTCGGTGTCAAGGTCAACTTTGATGACGCCGCCGAGGTTAAAAAGGGCAAGAAGCCAGTTGCGCACTGCAAGATTGTCGGCCGCAAGGAGGCTGTCAAGGAGGCCAAACGTCGCATCCAGGCCCAGATCGAGAAGCTTGAGGACGAGACTACCGAGATCGTCAAGATCAAGCGTGAGATCCAGCCTGCGCTCATCGGTTCGGGTGGCAAGTACGCTATCCGTCTCGAGGAGAAATACGGCGTTAAACTCTCGTTCCCGCGCGACGGCAAGGACCAGAAGCCTGACGAGGTCACCATTCGCGGTGGCAAGAAGGGTGTAGCCCAGGCCAAGGCTGAGCTTCTCGAGGCTGCGGCCTTCGAGGCTGAGTCGCGCCAGTCGGCGTCGTTCACCGTTCCCCAGAAGGCTGTTGCTTTCATCGTCGGCAAGTCGGGCGCTACTATCAACGGCATCAAGGACGAGACGAACGCGCAGATCGACATTGACAAGAGTGCTGGCGAGGATGGCAAGACTACTGTCACTGTGCGCGGCGACAAGAAGGCCATCACCGCTGCCAAGGCTGCTGTTCTTGAGCTTGTCAAGGAGTTTGGCGATGAGATCAACGTTACTCTGACCATCGACCCCAAGTACCATCGTACTTTGATCGGCCAGGACGGGCAGAAGCTCCGTGACCTCATCTCGGAGGCTGGCGGCCCCGCCGAGGCGTTCAAGCAGTCTGGCCTCGTAACGTTCCCCAAGCAGGGCGACGACAAGCCCGACCAGGTCCGCCTTCGTGGTGACGCCAAGGTCGTCAAGGCGATCCAGGCGGCTCTGGAGAAGGAGGTGTCCCAGCTCAAGAGCACCATCACGCGCGGCGTTGCTGTGCCTGCGGCGCAGCACGCGAGCAAGATCGGGCGCGGCGGCTCGGCGCTGCAAGACCTGCAGCGGCGTACGGGCGCGACCATCCACTTCCCCGGCTCGCGCCAGTACAGCTCTGTCGGCGACATTGACAACAAGGACGAGCTGTCGTGCGACGAGGGCGACATCGTCAAGGTCATCGGCACGAAGGAGGCCGTCGCCAAGGCTGCCGAGGTACTTGCGCAGCCCTCGCCTGAGCGCGGTGCGCCGCGCGGCGCCCGTGGTGGCGGTGGCGACCTTGCGACGCGCACCATCTCTATCCCTGCGAAGTACTACCACGCGATCGCGGAGCAGCCGAACCTGATCCGCCAGATCCGCGGCACGGGTGCGTTTGTGACGCTCCCGAATGCGCCGCCCAAGCCGACGCACGCGCGCACCGACGACGCGGGCGCCAAGACGGCACGCATCGACCAGGCCGAGGACGAGGCGTACGCGTGGGAGGTGCGCGACAACTACGCCGACGCGCCCGAGGGCGACCTCGACTGGGTCGTCCGCGCCAAGGAGGACGACTTGGAGCGCGCCGCGGCGGTGCTTGAGCGCGCGCTGGCTGCCGCCCAGGCTGCCACACACGTCGGCCTCCTCACCGGCCTTCCCCGTTCCGCGTTCCCACGCATCATTGGCGCAAAGGGCGCGACCATCTCGCGCCTGCGTTCCGACACGGGCGCGGACATCACCGTCGGCAAGGACGACGACCTCATCACCATTACGGGCGACGCTGAGAGCGTCGAGCAGGCGCGCGACGCGATCCTCGAGATTGTCAACCGTCCTGGCCGCTACTAATAACGAAAAGTCAACATCTAGCATGAAATGAGCAATGCATCGGCATGAGCAGAGAAGGGCACATGGACGGCGCTTGAATACGACTGACAATATCGATCTCTGCTGTAGCGGGTGCCAATATTGTTCGAGGAAGCATTACTGATACATCCAGTCATTTAGGCCATGACTGCGGTGGGTGTGTCAACGAGTGTGTGGTACAGGAAGAGAGGTCTAGTGCGATGTCTATTGATAGTTGTACTGTGACAAGGAGAGTGAGCCATAACAGTCTAGGTGCGAGTCATTGTCTTCAACCGGCGCGGCCGTGGACGCCGGTGACGCCGGGGGCGTAAGGGTCATGGTAACTCTGGCGGTAGTTGTAGGGCGTGTAATCGTCCGATACTCTTCCGGGCGGGTCGTATGGGTCGCGGAGACCGCCGTGTCCGGAGGCGGCGGAGTCGTATGCGTTCTGCGCCGGGCTGTCATTTGGCGGGGTGTAGCCGCCAAAGCCCTCGTTCTTGTATCCTGCGCCGTAGGATGCGGGGTCGAGCGACTGGAGCGTGCTGTCCTCCTCACTGGGAGCCTTCTCGTTGAGCGATGCAGTGAGGCGGAGGGCGGTGCCGTCCTCGACGCGGGCCTTGTTGCGGCGCCACAGGATGCCGTAAAACGCGTTGAAGAAGAGGCCGAATAGCAGCAGCACGGTGGGGATGCCGACGACGGCGATCTGCACGATGCCGATCACGGTGCGAGGGATAGGCTTAACCTTCATGCCTTCGATGAAGGCGATGAGGAGGCCAAAGATGATCAGGCGCACGAGGGTGAGGAAGGCGCCGAGCCAGTCACCCTTCCTGTCCTTGTGTGGGCGGCAGAAGAGCTGCGCGATGAGCGTGAGGCCTTCGACGACGACGCAGCCGATGACCTGCGCCCACGCGTTGGCTTGCCCGAAGCCGATGAAGGCCGCCTTCGCAACCATACCAAGGAGCACAGGGGCGAACCACCAGAAGTGGTAGGACTGGCGGTACTGGCGGTAGGTTGCGTCGCCGACGGCGTGGTAGAAGTGGTAGTCGGTGTAGAGGGGGGAGATGGCTGGCTCGGTACGGAGGCGGCGAGCGCGCAGGACGGAGAGAACAAAGACAGTCAGGAGCGGGACGCCGACGAGGAGGATACCGAGGACAGCGAAGAAGACGGTCAGGCCCGAGTCCTTCCGGCCAATGTTCCACTGGTAGAAGCCGAAGATGAAGATGGGGAGGAAGAAGACGAGGCAGGAGCGGAGAGCGTTGGCAGCGCAGAAGTCCCACCAAGTGTCGCGGAGGCGGGTAGCCCAGCGGATTTTGCGGGAGCGCGAGAGAAGCCAGACAACAGCTCCGAGGACGACGTGGACAGCGGCGAAAATGGCCAGGAAGGCGAGGAAGAAGAAGAAGATGGTCGTGTACGCGTTGGCCTGGGTCACGCCCATCGAGTTTGTAAAGACGGGAATGCCCGTGGTGGTGTTGGTCATGTACTCCTGGTCAATGCGGGAGGGGATTTTCTCGCGCTTTGCGAGCGTGTCGGAAACGTAGGGGCTGTCGGCCTTGAGTGTCGAGACCAAGCTCGGAAGACCGGACGGGTCGTTCAGCAGGCTGGTAAGGTTGACCGCATTGGAGTAATACGAGCCAATGTTGTACGGCGACAGGCGGCGGTTGATGTACTGGACGTCGGCGTATGCGTCACCTGGCATTTTGCCGCCCGTCTTGTTGCGCATGGCCGTGATGCTAGCCTGCATCGGCCTGCTGTAGAACAGGCCAAGCGACCAGCGGAAGTTTTGCACAAAGTTGCTGAACACGAGGGGATAGTTCAAGTGCATGAGGCCAGCAGCCGCGGCTGTTTGGAAAAGTGTGAGCAGGTCAAACCAGCGGTAAATGGCGGGTGAGATGGAATCGACCATGGCTGCGTGGGCGAGGCCCACGAGGCCGGATGCGAGCGTAAGCATGCCCGTGCCCCACTTGACGCCCTTGTACTGTGTGCTCCAGCCGTTTGATAGTGTGGCCTGAAGACAGGCCGCTGTCTCGCCAGTGGAGACATCGATGAGCTCGACGCGCGCATATGCCTCGAGATTGGGCACTGTCCAGGCAATCGAGGGGATTTGTGACTGAATGTTGTCGGGCATGGGATATGTGCCGAAACCTGTAAAGTTGACCTGGGGCAGGGGACAGAGGACACCGGATACGAGCTCGCAGAGATTGATCTCCTGGTCGAAGATGGCCATGCCGTAGGCGTTGAGGTAGAGGGATGCCGAGACATTTAGGTTGGGCTCGATGGATGCGAAGCTGAAAGCGAAGGTAACCGAATTGTTAGCCTTCCAGTAAGCGATGTCGAACTCGTCGACGAGGACAGCTTTGGCCTCGGCGCAGTATGTGACTGCGTTGGTGTAGAGTGCCTCGCCTGGCTCAGAGCCGTTGCCTGGTGGCCCAGCGGGGCGTTGGGTGTCGAGTTCTGTGAGGGAGAAGAGGTTGGAGGGGGCGGAGAAGGTGGTGGGTAGCAGCAATGTTGCAGCTGCCACAAGCAGTGTGGAGGGGCGCATGGTGCTCTGGGGTCAGATGGGAGGATAGCAGGAGAGTGAGAGAGAGAGAGAGAGAGAGAGAGAGAGAGAGAAAGAGATGCTTACAGAGAGAAACTAGTATGCACAACGAAGGAAGTGTGATGCCGCGAGATGTGATGGGCCGGAAGCTGTGCTGGTGAGTTGGGGGGCCCAGGAGTGAGCGGCGATTGTTGTTTGACGATGCCAGCGGCACAACGGATTGCTCGAGCTTGAGGACTGGAGACTGGAGATCGGTTGTTGATGGATGATGGGCACGAGCGGGTGATCAGCCGATGCTCCTTGTCGTCGTGTGTTGATTGTGTACCGATCTAGTCTAGCTCGTTTCGTGTGCCGTGACCGTCGAGAAGAGTGAGAAAGAGAGAGAGAGAGAAAGAGAAAGAGAGAAAGATGCAATGCAATGCAATGCAATGAAGGAAGGAAGGTGGGGCTTGGCGCAGTAACTGCGGGGTGACTAGGCTGACTGAGGGGGGCAAAGTGCGCAGTTGCAAAGTTCCTTTGGTGGTGCGTGGTCCCCCTGGGTGCTGGGTGGGATAATCAGGGAAACATGAGGTTCCAGGGAGGCAGAAGATGGTAATGTCGACGAGCCACAGGCACCTCGGAAACGTTTTCAGCTTGGAGCTTGTTGAGGATGCCTCAGGCCTGGTCCACTGTTGCTGAGTGGCGTGAGTGGAGAGTGCAGGTGGAGAGATAGGAGAGAGTCAGCAAGCAAGCGATCGTATGCACAGACAGACACGTATGCTGGTTGCCGTGACTACTGTACGAGTAGTGGGTGCCAGTGATCCAGTGAGGGTGGCGTTTCCACTGATCAAGTCGATGACGCAGGTGGGTGTGAGGTTGATCCGCAACTCTGTGCACATGCGTTCGTTTGCGCACTCGTCTGCGACAATTCCATTCATAGGCTGGTGACCATTCCATTCGTGCTAAGCGAGGTGTGCACCATGCCCACCAACCATCGACCATGAAGCCACCGCAACAAGCCATGTACCCCTCCGTCATGGGATCATGGGATCAACAAGGGGCAGCAGGCCCAGGCAGCGCATCACGGATAACGGAGAATTATGCTTGCTGCAATTTTGGGAGGCACATTCCTCGCGGCCTCATGCCCTGTGTCAAGACAGAGGCGGTGCAGCCTCCCATATCTCCCATGCCTCCCTCCCACATGCATGGCTGTCGACATGTCCGAGACACCTCGACACCCTCAGTCGTCAATCCCTTGCTTGCACGCATGCACATGTCTCATGTCGCATGCATCCGCTCTAGCCGCTCTGCATCGTCTGCTTGGTTTTATATGGTCTGTATGGTCTGTATGGTCTGTATGGTCTGTATGGTCTGTATGGTCTCAAAACCCACCCCTCACACACCCCACACTGGCTGGCAACTGGCGTATTGCGTAACAACGACGTCTGTAGTTGAGGGTGCCTACCACGCTTCAACCAGCCATACCTGTTTTCCACCGAGTCTACATGCATTGCTACATTCTACCTTACCGCCAGCCACAGCCGACGCACCCCCCACCCACGCAGTCTACTGGTCCTTGCGCGTCTTGTCGACCGCCAGAGCCTTGGAAATCTCCAGCAGACGTGGCGGCACCTGCACTGAAGCGAGGGCGCTAACACTCATGACAACAATCGGAATGAAGATGCCAAAGGTGACGAGCAAGGCCGTGATCAGCGGCGTCGTCAGGTACGTGTTATGCTTGGGCGCGTCGGGGTCCGTCTTGTTCTTGGCGGCTGTGGATGCCTCAGACTCGGGCGTCACAGAAGGGAGCGACGACACGATCTCGGGCACCTTGCCAGACTCAAACGGCTCTTCGACCGACACCTGGCGTTTGAGCTCGCGCCTGCTCAGATCGCGCGTGCCGGTCAGCACCACAAGGTGGCGCTCGGGCAGGTCGCGAGGAAGGGTGATATCTGCGATCAGCTTGCGGCGATGCACCAAGGCAGGTGACCCACCCTTGCCGTTCTCCGCGCTAAAGTAGACGAGGGTCCGCTGTCCATTCTCGGAGGAAGCAAAGTCAGTGGCCAGCGCAGCGCCGCACTTGTCCGCCCACGAGTGGACGCTGGCGTCGAGTGCCTCGCGTGTTGGTCGGATAAGGTAAGGGACGTGGAGATCGGCTTTGGAGGAATCCAAGGGGAAAGAAGTCTTCTTGATCTGTGTCTGGTGAAGCTGCAGGTTAGCTCAGCACAAGTCAAGGTGTCAACGGGCTGCGATAGTCGCGAAGGAAGGCCACATCCCTTGCCTTCCAAGCCAGACACCCACCTCGTCTACGCGCGCAACGACAGCCAAGTCCCAGTCACAACCGAGACTCTCTAGAGATCCGAACACGGCGTCGGCCCCGATTACCCCCGAGGTGAGCTCGGCGCGCGCCTCGTCAAGTGCATAGTTTCTGTTGTTAGTCGGGGTGGAGGAAGGTGTGGTTTATCACGTACGGTTCAGAGGACCAGACGAGGAGCGGGGATGAGTCTCGGAACGCCGAAGCAGCTGTAGCCACGAGGAGTGCTGAGGAGGCGCCGACTGCTGAGAAGCGCATTGTCGGCGAGGTTTGAGCGGGATAGAGTGAGCGAGCAAGTGAGGGTGCGATTCGAGGTGTCACCGCGTCACGACGAGTGACGACGATGGACGTGGTGGCGGGTGGATAGGTAGGGCGCCTATTGCGATCAGGTAGGAGCTGTGACGGAAATGCGTTACTGGTGTGCCTAAGCAAACAGAAAATAGGAATGCGCGGCGAAATGTGCACCCTGCATATAACGCCGCTTGGTGGAGATCAGTTGCCGTTAGTGGCAGGTGACGCCGCCATCAGGGGTGATGGATGAGTTGGTATTGACTATTAGGAACAAGCCAGCGAGGGCAGCACAATGGAATTGGCGGGAATTGGTATTAGCGTATTAGCGGCAGAGAAGCTCTCAAATGGCTCATTTCTTGTTCCCTTGAGAGTCGAGGACGGGGATACGGGCCATACGCCGAGCATCGAGTTGATCATCAAATAGTAAGAGCGGCATCGAATGAGGCGTGAGGCATGGCGCACCTGATCACAGTCGCCACGGTCGGCAAGCGATCGAGGCACCAAGAGGCGGTCAGCGAAGCGCCGGGGCAAGAGCCGGAGCCAGAGTCGAGCAGTCAGCCAAACCCTCACCCCACAAAAGGTAAACAGGCCATGCAGGCCACATGCAGGTCATTCTCAAGACACGCTTCGAGGCCACAAGCCCAGAGGCCAGAGGCCAGAGGGCCACAAGACGAGGAGAAACAGGGCTGAGGCAGGCCGAGGTCACTCCGTCATCTCTTACCGACCGCTCCATCCCACCATATCCCCTATCCCTATCCCATCTCCTCCTTCCTCTCCATTCTTCACCTCACTCTCACCATCAGTCTCCTGCCCGCCGACACCCATCCATCCATTTCCTCCATCCATCCATCCCTCCAGCCCGTTCATCCATCCTTTCATCCAGTAAGTTGACATCATCCACCCCTCCATCACTCCATCCATCCACTCGCCCCTCCATTGCATCCATCAAATTACACCCGCACCACCGACGCGTTCGGCCTCCACCTAGATGATGCGTGCGCCCTCCCTCACCTCCATCCTCAACGCACGCGCCCTCCGCTTCTCCACTTCTCCACTCCCCGATACTCCCCCTCTCTTACCTGTTGCTAACCCACTCTCTCGCGCCTTGCTCAGGCCCATCTAACTGCTCTTTAATCCTCTCGCACGTCACCGCGTCAACAACACCTCAAACACAAATCCTTCACTCGCCCTCCCCATCAATCCCCCAACCTCTTGACCTTCAAGCCTTCCTTCCTCTGACAACGCATAAGTACGCGTCGCTCATCCCAACCCCCACCTGACTACTGCCTTCCTTGCTTCTTTACTCACACTTGCAGCCGCCATGTCCGAGGAAGCCAACCCTGTCGTTGCCATCGTCGACGGCGCCGACCAGACATCATCAAAGCGTGGAGGCGCCGCTGCCAAGCCCCGCAAGTCTGCCGGTGGCGGCAAGAAGGCAGCCCCTGTCGCTCAAGAGGTCGCAAAGTTCGAGTACGGAGACATTGTCCTCGCGCGTCTGCGAGGCTTCCCTCCCTGGCGTGAGTACTGCACTTCTTGACCAGATACTGACGCCCCAACAGCTGCTCGCGTGCGTATCCCTTCGCGGTCCCGATCATGGGGTTGTCTTCCCTCGCGTCTCTCGCGCAGCCCGCTGACCAGCAGATTACCGACCCCGAGAACCTGCCTGCCAACGTACTGGCCTTGCGGCCCAAGAATCCGGCGTTCCAGTGCGCGCAGTTCTTCCCCGTCGGCGACTAGTGAGTGAAGGAAACGCCAGTTGAACGGAGTTCCATGCTGACACGACAGCTCTTGGCTCCCTCCGAAAGAGATTCAGCCTCTGAAGAAGCACCAGATCCAGGCTTTCCTCAACGAGGGCCACCGCAAGGCCGCGGGCAACTTGCGCGAGGCGTACGAAACCGCATTGGACCCGAGTGACTGGGACCAGGCGCAGGAGGAGTATCGCCGCGAGCGGGAGCAGGCCGAAGCCGAGGCGGAGGAAGACGTTGACGAGTTGGAGGAGGAGGAGGGCGAAGAGGGGGAGCCGGCAGGCAAGAAGCGAAAGCGCGCCGCTCCCGCACCAAAGAAGGAGGCCAAGAAGCCCAAGGTCAACAAGAAGGTGGGCTGACTAACCCCACGTGAGCGGAGCTGACGAGCAAAGGCTGAGGAAAAGCCAAAGGCAAAGGCGGACAAGCCCAAGTCGAAGGCTACCGACAAGGCTGACGAGTCTAAATCGGAGGGAGCACCCGCCGCCGCCGGTGACGAGGAGTCCCCTGACCCAGAGGCCGTCAAGGTCAAGGACTGGCGGCACAAGCTGCAGCGCGCCTTCCTCCAGAAGGGCGTGCCGACCGCGTCTGAAATGGACCAGTACGACGATCTGTTCAAGACGATCGAGAAGTACGACGACATGAAGATCGAATACCTGCAGTTCTCCAAGATTGGCAAGGGTGAGTCAACATGGTGTCCCCAACCATGTCACTGCACACGAACGCGCCACCTAACTCGCAGTCATGAAGAAGATCGCTGCCCTCACGAACGTTCCACGCGACGACGAGCTAAAGATCACCTCGCGCGCTGAGAAGCTCATGAAGGAGTGGTTTGAGTTCATCAACCGGAGCGAGGGGGGCGGTTCCTCGGCTGCCAACGGTTCAGCCGACAAGGCAGACAAGGCCGAGGCCACCATGTCTCCTACCAACAATGACACTTCCGCGGCAGCCGCACCAACTTCTGCTACACCTGCTGCGGAGGAGGCGCCAGAGCCAGAGGCACCTGCTCCTGAAGAGTCCACAGCACCGGACAGCGAGGAGGTCAAGGTAGACGCGTGAAGGGTGGGAGGATCCTGGAGGCACCTTGAAAGGGTATCTCGTTAGATCAGTAGGTTGACAGGGGAAGGTGAGGTGTGAGTGGAGCGTACGTCGTGCACGCAAGTACCCTCTACTCGGTCGCAGAGCGCGATGAGTGAGCGCCTCGGCCAGGCCAGACCTGATAGCGCAAGCTGCACCGGGAGTCTGTAGATGCAGCGAATGGTGTATGCATGAGTAGTCTAGTTCTTGTCCTTGGCTGGCACAGCCTCAGCTGCCACCTTGGCCGGTGCAGCCTTCTCTTTGACGGGCGCCGCCTGTGCCTCCTTGGCCGCAGCCTGGCTCTCAATCTGCAGCGTCGCCGCCTCCTCCTTGGCCATGTCCTCCTCGGCCTTGACGAGTGCCTCGACCTCAGCGTCCGTCATCTCCTGCTCGAGCTTCTCGGCACGCTTAGCCGCCCGGCGCGCGGCCTTGAGCGCGGCCTTCTTGGCCACGAACTCGTCCTTGCGCGCCTTCTTGGCCGCGTCGAGCGCGGCGAGCGCCTCGGGCGACAGCACATCGGGAACGGGGGTGACGCCAGCAAGCGCCTCAACCTGGGACGCAGGGTCGTTGAGGCCCTTGAGCGCGAAGGGGACGGAGACGCGCTGGGCGGCGTCGGCATGCACGGACGGTGCGGCGGCCGCGATCGCGCCCAAACGCCGCTCGTTCAGCACGTACTTGATGCGCGCCATCGACTTGCGGCACTGGTGTGAGCGTTGTGCGGGAGGCGAGCACCGCGAGCCTCATAGAGCTTGCCACGCAGACGGAGGTCGGGCGCCCGGTAGTACACAGCACGCGGAAACCAACACTCACCCTCAAGCTTCGGACACTCAGCAGCTTGCCGCCGTACTGCTGTGCGATGCGGATGCGCTTGCGCTCGGCCTTCTGCGTCGCGATCACGTTGCGTTCCCGCAGGAGGATGTACCACAGCGTGTGGAGGTCCTCGAACGACTTGAGGCGGAGTTCGGGCGCGGACCACGAGCGGCCTGGTGTCAGCTCCGCGAGGTTTCGAACGAGAGGAAGGAGGACGGCACGGCTGGTACAGCTGGCACAGCTGGCGCGACTGGGATCCGCCGGGAGTGACAGCGGATAAGGTTCTACGCGTGTAGCTTGTGAATGGGAGACAAAAGGGCACTCCGTTTCAGTGCGCGATGGCTCGCTCCTCTCGGTGTTGTGGCCGCGACCAGCGAGACGAATGGCACGACGCGCTCGCCTGTATTCCTGCCTCTTCCGCATTACCAGCGTTCATCCAAGCCAGCCCTCTCTCCCGCACCTTCCTTCCTCTGACTCACCCGACTTGAGCTCTGCACTCTCGTTCTCCAACCGCGGCAGACTCCCGAAATCAGGCGGCATCTTCGTGTCGGCCGTCACCTCCATCGACTCGGGCGGGACATGGAAGAACGCCCACAGCGGGTGCTGCTTGGGCGCCTCTCCCGCAGCGCGCATCTTCTCCACCTTGTCAAGCCAGTTCTTTGAGGGGGGATAGGTCGAGGGCTCGGGCAGGCCATTCGGGAGGGTCACGCGGGTCGCGCGTGCCGGGCGTGTCGGCTGCGGCTTGCCTTTGGGCGTCCACTGTGGCCGCAGCTCAACCGCGACGGGGGCGGCCTCGGCGGCGGCCTCGAGGACGCGCGCGGACGTCGAGAGCGTGCGGATCAGGCGCATGGCGTGTGTAGAGAGCTAGAGGACAGCGATCGATAGCTGTGGTCGACGGAGAGGAGGTCGGACGAAAGAGAAAAATCCCGGGGCCTAATCCACGTGGCTGACCTCCACTCTCCATGTCCAGTTAATCCAGTTCGACCAAGTTGTTGAGATCACAACAATACCTCGCATCATGCCTACTGCACTCCTCGCAGGTACGGTACAGGTAAGTCTGTCCAATGCCGCACTGACTCAGCCACCAACGCTCACCCTGCTCTCGACGGAGAACGTCACTCTGCCACCCCTCTGGCGGAGCGTCGTCGGATCCTCCGCGAAAGCCACAGTCCAGATTCTACCCGACGCAGCATACCCTCGCCCCGAAGGCCGTTCGACATTACACGTGCCGAAGCACAAGCGCGGAGGTAATATTGCAAGCCGTGTTGCGCACCTCCAGTCGCCCCGGATAGGCGACACATTCATTGAGATCGGATGTAATGCGCAGCCACTCGGCGCAACCCTTCCCTGGCTGGGGGCGCAGATCAAGGCGCTCGGCCAGCGGTACTGGGCGCTTGAAGCGGTGATTATTGACCAGCGCGGGCGGCGAGGACGCATCAGGCTCGAGAGTGCACGAGTATGTCGAACGATGGCGAAGTTGACACCAGACGGAGCCGATTCTAGTCCCCCGCGATCCACCGTTGCTCCGCCTGCCACTCGCCACGCCCCGCGGCGGAATCAGCGAGTGGTGCGAGCTCGTTGTCGATCTGCGCCAGCTTGTGCGTCTCTTCCGCCAGTTGCGGCCCGAAGAGGAGGAGGAGGGCAAGCGGAAGCGGCGCGTGGAGAGCACCGACATGCCGGAGAAGCTGGGGAGCGTCGAGAGTGTGCGCGTGTACGCCAACTGCCGCGTACGGCGGGTGTGGCTTGCGTCCGAAGGCGGCGTACGTGGCGAGTGGGCGCTCGTAAGGGCCGACGGCGGTGAGTGCAGAGCTTGTGTGGCGAGGCGAGCAAGAGCTGATCGCAGAGTGAGGCATGGGTGCAGTTTGTCATGCGCAACGCACTGCAGAAGCTCCCTCGAGAGTTATCGAGCCGGGGTCCCCTTACGGACACCTCGCCGTGAAGTTGGTCCGCTCCCCGTTCATGTGCGGAACTCATCATTTCGGCGGGATGGGACACAGATGGGACACAGGGGAAAAATGATCGGCCCTTATGTGATGCCCCACGCTCGTCGTGGCGCGCCCTCAGTCTCCACATTGCTCCCTCAGTCACTGGGTGATAAAAGAATCTACAAGCATACAGATGCTTCTGAAGCGATGAGCGAAGCTACTTCATATCCTTTAGTTGTTCGTCGGCGAGTCCTCAGCAACGTTTTGTAGCCTCTCTGGCGTGTACGAACGCCTCATACCCATTCCCAATCATGGTCAAGGTTGGCGATGGCCTCAACAATCTGCCCCTCGATAACCCTGGCGTTTCCCCGCTCCCGCGTCCAGCGCGCTTGGGCAGCCTCAGCGCGCCGCAATCGCTCCTCTGTGATCTCGAAGCATCTGGGAAGCAGCGCCGTGTCCCACCTCCCCTTCTTGAGTGTATCCGCATATCCCCGCGCGACCGCAAAGATGCGCGCCATGCCGTGCCCCGCAAACTGGCGTCAGCCTGGTCCTCTGACATTCTGACCCCAGCCGCAACACTGAGCCCCGCAGAGCCGGGGACGTCGCCGACGAGCGGCAGCCAGTCGCGCACGGCGCTGAGCACGCCGACCCAAGTGCGCACGAGGCCCTCGCCATACGCCTCAGGCCCCCATGCCTCAAAGTTGCGCATGAACGTCGCGTGGTCCCGCGTAATCGCGGGGTCGATGCTCGCTTCGCTGTCGTCGACATTTCCGTGGATCCGCGACATTGGCGTCGCGCCAGACCGCACGAGCGGCGCAACACCGCCGCCAAGCACGAGCTCCCCACTCGCCGTGCGCACGAGATAGTGCCCATCGAGCATGTTGTATGTGTTCCGCAGAGCGCCGGCGCCCGAGAATGTCGGGGTAGGCGTCAGCGAGCTGCATTGTCCGACGTAGGGCTCGATGCTGCATTAGCGCTGGTGGGAAAGGACGTACTGGCCGTGCAGTGGCGAGGAGCGGGGAAAGAAGTGGCGTGTGTGTGCATTCGTGCAGAGTATGACGCGGGGGGCGCGAATCGCGCCCTTGCTAGTCTGCAACACCCATCTGTCGCCACGGCGCTGCGGATGGCCAGACGCCGGCGTCCATGAGTGTAGACTGAATTGGGCGTGCGGCGACGCGAGCGCGAGGTGCATCAGCGCTGTGGCGAGCTTGTGTCTTGCGTTAGCCGGTACGGAGGCGGGCGTACGGGTGGACACTACCGCCAGGGCGAACATGGACGGACGTCACGCCCTTGAAGCGCGACAGCTTCTCTGCCTCCGCCGCGTCGTCGATGAACTTCGTCTCGTCGCCGCTCAGGCCCATCTTCTTCCGCTGAGAAAGCCACGCCTCGTACTGCTCCTTGCACCACTTGGTGCGAGCCTTGTCATGGTGGGCTGCATCAGCCGGCCCCTCGTCACAACGTACTCTCGAGTAGCTCGCCGCGCCAGAAATCCACTTGTAATCCCTCGTCAGCTACCACGCGCTCGACCAAGTCGAGGTTGTCGCGCTCATTCTGCATCACGCGCACCGCCTCCTCTGCACTGAGCCCCGCACCAAGTGGGTAAGCTTGTTGCAGCTGGTGCCACAGCGCATAGGTCTTCGGCCCGACACTGCGTCAGTTCTCAATGACCAAAGACGTACTGTCCGCCATTACGCCCGCTGGCACCGCTCGCCACGTCCTTCGATTCGACGCACACCACCCTCTTGCCTGCCCCCGCCCCGCCCAAGCGGGTGAGGAAATACGACAGCGCACACCCCATCATGCCCGCGCCAACGATAAGAATGTCAGCATCCTCGGGAAGCTCATCGTCGGCGCCGTGACCGTACAGACTTGTGGGTCCGCGGTTCGTCGCCTGCCAGTGCGAGACAGTCGAGCGCCAGGGCTGTGGAAACTTGCTCATCGCGGGGTCGTAGCTGACTGTGAGAATGAGGAAATGTAAGTGCGTCACGCGATCTTGGATCCCCGGCCATCCGGCCCGAACTGCATTACATTCCGTCATCTACCCCGAGAGATCCGCTTCTTATAAAACGAAAGTAGACTCTTGTCGAAAGATTGCGACCGGATGCGAGCGGTAGTGCTAGTCAGGGTACACAGCGAGCACATGGTAGCAAAACAACAATCTGGAGATTGTAGTCACCCATGGCCCCATGTGACACATCTGCATTGAGCGCCCGAGACGTCCTGTCGGTGCCGGTGTTCGTTTCTCATCGCAATGCTTGCAACGCCGCTCGGAGTGTGTAACAGGCACTAACTCACTGGAGTTAGGACCAGCGCATTAGCGAGGTGCCTCAAAGTGGGCCCCATTCACTTGAGCGTCGCCCACCCATTCATTGTATGTAGAGGATAAGCTCGTAAAGAGCGTGGGCCGTAAGAACAGTGCGGCGGCTGCGGGGTATCGTGCGGAGCGCTGTAAGACGTACGGGCTGTGGTTCGGGCAATCCGGTGTGCTATCGCTGTTCAGGTTGAGCACAGCAGCGCCAGAGCTTACTTGTCCCGATGTTGCCATCTCCAGCTCTTCATGTCCTTCCACCTCCGCCAAATCGCGAAACGTTTCGTGAGGGAGACAGTAAGCGAGACAGTTGCTCAGAGTCTGGATTCGGGCATGCAGTCATTTGTTTGTTACCAACTCCTCCTTAGCTCAGTTGGTAGAGCGCGACACTAGTATTAAAACGCTATGTCGAGGTCAGTCGTTCGAGTCGGCTAGGAGGAAGAGAGTATCTCTTTTGCCTTCTGCTCAATGTCGACTCCCAACCCTTCCTTCAGGTCAATCTTCTGTTTGTCTCCAACAGGCAACATGCCCAGCAGTTGACGACAGCTTTTACCACTCAAGCCAGGCCGTTGGGAGAATGCTTTCCGGGGCCCTACAGACCGCGATCCAGGAGACAATGGCCGACGCCCACGGCATCCGCGGGTGGCAGTGGACATTCATCATCAACTGCGTGATGATCATTAGAATGGCGCTGATCGGGCCCTTCCTGATACCTGACTTCCCCGACAAGCCCAATCCTCTGGCATTTTGGTTCACGAAGCGTGACTACGAGATTGCGCGGATGTGGCTTGAGCGCTTCCGCCGCATTGGTGTCAGGCCCATCAAGCTGGCGAGTTTTAAACGGACGTTCTCCTGGCCCAAACTTTACCTGGTTTGCTACCTGTATGTGGGCATGTTAATTGCGGTAAGCGGGATCGACTACTTCCAGCTGTGGCTCAAGAGCCTTGTGCGCTCCGATGGTGCCAATGTGTGGGGCATTACACGGCCGAACGCGATCCCGATGGGCGGGCGGGCGATGCAGCTCGTAGGCGTCTGGACTGCAGCCTACTGCTGCGACCTCTTCCGCACGCGCTGGGCTGTCCTTCTCGCCATATGCTTCGTCGGCATTCCAAGCTGCATCATCATGTCCGTATGGGACGTTCCAACCTCAGCCAAGTACTACGCCTACTTCATCCTGTACATGCTCCAGTCCCACGGGCCGCCCTTGTGGGCGTGGCTCTCCGACATGTGCCCTACCGACGCCGAGCAGCGTACCCTCACCCTCGGGGTATGCATCACCGCGTACTATGCCATCAACGCATGGTCAAACATTTTCATCTTCCCAGCAAAGCAGGCCCCGTACTACAGCACAAGTATGGCGGGCCTCCGCACCGGAGCAGCCGTGTGCCGGCCCATTCCGCCGTGCCTGGCGTCGCGTCATCAGATGCACCGATTCCGAACTTCGCGTCGACTTGTTCTCACCACTTCAACGCTACACTCCACGGCCATGTCGCTCGAGGACGCTGCGCGCGCGTGGCTTGCTTGGCTTTCGGCGTTGACCCTCGGACAGATCTGGGCCGCCCTCTGCAACCCGCCCGACAAGTTGTGGAAGACGGCCCTCTTCCTCGCCGCGTTCGCCTGGTCTGTCCCGGAGTACTGGGGTCGCTTCAGGAAGTGGCACCGCGGCCGCAAGCGCGTCAAGTATGTGTGGCCTGCTCCCAAGGTGAGTCTTGCGTGTGGTTGTCAGGCTGTGTTACTCGCTGCACTCTTCCGCCACATCCTTCAGGCCGGCAGCCGTTGCTGATGACAGGAAGCCTCGCCGACCTGGCACGGCGAGGTGATCACCAACCCCGACCTGTTCGCGCACAAGCGCAACCCCGCGCTGCTCCCGCCTCACGCGTCGAGCGAGTTCGAGTATATCACGTGCTACGACCCCTCCTCCGGCGAGCACATTGAGACACGCCGCCTTCCCACCGTCGAAGACATTGCGCGGCAGGTAGCCCGCGCCGACGCGGCGCAGCCCAAGTGGGCGCGCACGACGTTCGCGCAGCGCGCCAGCGTGCTCCGGAGCATCAAGGCGTGGATTTTGCGCGACATGGAGTCCATCGTTGCGGTCGCGTGCCGCGACACGGGCAAGACTTGCGTCGATGCCATGTTCGGCGAGGTCTTGACGACGCTGGCTAAGATTGACTGGCTCGTCAAGAATGCTGAGAAGGTGCTCAAGCCGGAGCGCCGCGCACTGTCGCTGCTGCTCGCTCACAAGGTCTCAGAGGTATGTTATCAAGCGCGAGCGGGGCTGACTACAGGTCCACTACGAGCCCCTAGGTACCGTCCTCGCCTGTGTGTCGTGGAACTACTCGTTCCACAACGCGCTCTCGCCCATCCTTGCTGCGCTCATGGCCGGCGACGCCATCGTCGTCAAATGCTCCGAGCAGGTCGCCTGGAGCTCGGATTGGTTCATCGGCGGCGTCAAGGCTTGTCTTCGCGCGTGTGGGCACAATGCCGACATCGTGCAGCTTGCCGTGTGCCTTCCCGCCGTGGCCCAAACGCTGACCACCAACCCGACCATCAAGCATGTCACCTTCATCGGCTCAGAGCCTGTTGGCCGCAAGGTCGCTGCGGCCGCCGCCTCTAACCTAGCAGGGACGACTATCGAGCTGGGCGGCAAGGACCCCGCCTTTATCCTCCCCTCTGCTGACCTCAAATTCTTCGCCTCACTGTGGATGCGTGGTGCCTTCCAGAGCGCCGGTCAGAACTGCATTGGCGTCGAGCTCTTCCTCGTCCCCCGCTCCCGGCAACAGGAGTTCATCGACCTTCTTCTCCCCCGCGTCAAAGCACTCCGCGTTGGCGTTGACGTGGGCTCCTTGATCTCCCACGCGCCGATCGGGCGCCTCGAGAAGATCATCCAGGCTGCGCAGGACGGAGGCGCCCGCGTTCTCGCCGGCGGAGAGCAGTATATCCACCCTGACCAGCCGCAGGGCGCATACTTCGCCCCGACGCTCATCGCCGATGTCACCCTCGACATGGAGATTGCGCGCGAAGAGCTCTTCGCCCCCGTCATGACGGTGGTGCCGTACGACGATGTGGACGAGGCGCTCGCCAAGCTCCGCGGCAGCCGCTTCGGGCTGGGCGGAAGCGTGTACGGTGCGAAGCGCAAGGAGTGCATGCACGTCGCGAAGGCGCTGCAGTGCGGCATGGTGTCGCTGAACGAGTGAGCATGCGCTACTTTGCGGTCGCTAATGCCAGCTTTGGCGTCTTCTACCTCAACCAGGACATGCCGTTCGGCGGCGTCAAGGCGAGTGGCTACGGCCGCTTTGCCGGCCCCGAGGGCCTGCGCGGCCTGTGCTACCCCAAGGCCGTGATTGAGGACCGCCTCTTCTCGCTTGTCCGCACAAGCATCCCTGCGCCCGTCGACTTTCCCCTGCCGCCCGGTGACAAGCCGTGGGTGTTCCTCAAGGGCCTCGTGTTCTTTGCATATGGCCGCGGAATGGCGCGCGTCAAGGGGCTGTTCGACGTGGTCCGCATGGCCGTAGCGTAGATGTCGGTAGAGCAGGTAGAGAGTCGTTAGATAGAGATGTCGGATCTGTGGTTGTGTTTCATTTCGTTGAGCAGCTGACGATGCTCCAGGCCATTCGATCCATGTGTGCAAGTAGTCACCTGGCGTCTCGGCTTGGCGCTCAAGACGCTAGTGCATTGCAATTGCGGAGGTCTTGACCACGTGCGGCTTGCTCAGCGATCAGCTGCGGAGTTGGACCAGCCGCCTCAAGCGCCAAGTGACCGCAGCGCTACTTTGAGCGGCCGAGACCCATTCACAATTCAATCAAGGAATGTCACCTCGTCCGTCCCCTGCGCCCGACCCCGTGTCCTGTGCGCACTCCAAGCGCTCCGCGCCACTCGCTATAATGCTCGACGATGTGTTGCTCTCCTTGATCGCCTCCTCAGCTCGACTCCTCAACTCCTCACTCCTCTACGCGGCGGCACCACAGATTATCTGATACCTGGCCTGGCCCTCTGGCGAGGTACCCCGCTCGAGACATCTCACACCGGCAGTCTGATCGCGGACACGGACCGCACTCTACATCACGAGCACAATCTCGCACCCGCCGGAGACGTACGCGAACATGAGCGCAAGCGCACCCGCCGCGTGGGCCGAAGACGCGACGGAAGACCGTGAGTTCGCGGCGGCCCACGCTTCGCCGCGGCAGAATGGCACATCCCCCAGGCACAGCGTTGATGCAAGCCACGATGAACGCCCAGCCGCTCGAGGTGTACATGTACTATGCGGCGCTGGAGCGTGCGCGCGGGGACGCGGACACGCGCCCCGTGCCCGACAGCCCGCTGACGGTGCTGGCGAAGCGCGTGACGGGGCGCAGCGCGCGCATCGTGTATCCTGACGGGCGGCGTCGCAGGCTGTGGGGATCGGGGGGGTCGAGCCTGCCTGCGTCCGACGAAAAGGTCGGGAGAGTCGGGAGAGTCGAGCGAGTCGAGGGGGTTGAGGAGAGAGTCCCGTCCGTCGCCTCTGCCGCCTCAGCCGAGGCGCCCGTCCCGACGCTGCTCGACGTACTCGCCCCGCCAGAGCGCGAGACCGCGTACCGCCTCCTCCGGTCCGCGAGCTGGCAGCTCGTCTTCTTCCTCATCACGACCGACGTGCTGGGATGGTATACTGCGCCGATGGCGTTCGCGCAGCTCGGATACGGGCCCGGCGTGCTCGTCTACACGTGCTTTTGGGCGCTGGCGTTTGCGAGCGGCCAAATCCTTTGGCGCATGTATCTCGCCCTCGACAGCGAGCGGTATCCCGTCAAGTGCTACGCGGACCTGGGCGAGCGGACGTACGGCACGGCCGTGCGGCACCTCTTCAACGTCCTCCAGTCGCTGCAGCTCGTCGTGAGTGCCTGCACGCTCCGCCGGCCCCAGAGCCCCAGGGCCTGACTGATGCCAGTTCAACACGGCCATGCTGATCATCATGAGCGGCTCGGGGCTCGCGGAAATCATCGACTGGAAGTTCTGCTATCTCGCACTCAACGTCTTCTTCGCGCTCCTCGGCGCCGTCTTGTCGCAAATCAAGACGATCCGCGGCCTCGGCCTCTTCACCGTCATCGGCACGGCGATCAACATCCTCGTCATGGCGCTCACCATGGCCGGCGTGGCGCTGTACGACCCCGTGCCGAGCCAAAGCGGGCACGCAGACCTGTCGGCCCCGCGCGTCGTCGCCGGCTGGGTACCCGCCTCGCGCGGATGGTACCAGCAGGTCTCGGGGTGCATGCTCGCGGTGTACGCGTACGGCGGCGCGATGATCTTCACCGAGTTCATGGCGGAGATGCGCCGCCCGCGGCACTTTTGGAAGGCCGCGCTCGGCGCCCAGTTCCTCTGCTACGCGCTCTATATGCTCTTTGGCATATTCGTCTACTCGTTCCAGGGGCAGTACACCAACATCCTCCCCACGGTCAACATCGACAGCATCCTCTTCCAGGGCCTCACCAACATCCTCGGCCTGATATGCATCACCATCATCGCGGTCATGTACGCCCACATCGGGTGCAAGGTGCTGTATCGCAATGTATTGCGCGGGTACTTTGGCGCACCGAGCCTCGCGGCCGCAAAGAGCACGGCGTATTGGTCCGCCCTCGTGTGCGCGTACTGGGCTGTCGCGTGGGTCATTGGCAGCGCCATCCCCAATATCGCAGACCTCAACACCGTCATCGGCGGCGCGTGCATTCTCCAGTTCACGTACACGTTCCCTGCTGCAATGCTCGTCGGGCACTGGGTGCAGCGTGATGCGATCAAAGGGGACACCCAGTGGGAGCCAGGAGTGCAGCCATGGTCCAACCGCATCGACAGCTGGCGCGATGCCAGTCGCTGGCGCCGTGGATTTAGGCGATATTGGTACGCCAAGATTACCTTGGTGAGTGGAAACCATAAGGCAATGCTCACGTGCTCAGGTCGTGTTTGTACTGGGCGCGCTGTCGCTGTGCGGCCTCGGCATCTACTCGGGCGTCGTCAGCGCGCAGGAGAGTTTCCGCAGTGGACGGACTACGAGCTTCTCGTGCCGCGCGCCGGGGCAGCCGGCGAACAAGTAGAGGTTTTCATCAGGTTCATTTGTTTTTGTCAATAGTTTCCTGGACGTTGAGTGGGCCGCATGCAGGACGTTGTCCGCATCCCCGGCGCACTCTTCAGTTGTGATGTCAGCACATCACCAACGTCACCGCTAAATCATATCATGCATACCAGTTCGCACTGGCCCTCCCACAGCCTCCCCACGTCGCTCACCCTCAAGCCAAGCCAGTGACCCCTCTAAGAGCGGTACAGGTGGCGCTTGACAGTCTTGACGATAAGGTCCTGAGTTGGGAAAGCGAGTGTCTCCAGAGTCTCAGCGTAAGGAGTTGGCACGTCGGCGCCAGTGATGCGCTCAGGCGCGGCGTCAAGGAAGTCGAACGCGCTCGACTCGCACACCTGAGCAATGATCTCGGAGCCAACACCAAACGCAGGGAACCCGCCCTCGACAGTAATAAGGTGGTTGGTCTTCTTAATAGACGCGATGATGGTGTTGATGTCAAGCGGGCGGATCGAGCGGAGGTTGACGACCTCGACCTTGATGCCCGTTTCCTTTTCGAGGATATCGGCGGCCTGAATCGAGTCGCCTACTGCCTTTGAGTGGGCAACAATGGTCAGGTCTGTGCCCTCGCGCTCGACCTTGGCCTTGCCGAGCGGAATGGTAAAGTCGTCCGACATCTCCTCCTTGGTCATGGGGAAGGACACGCCGTAAAGAAGCTCGTTCTCCAGGAAGCAGACCTGGTGTTAGCGTTGTTGCAAGCTTCCACAGGGAGGCAGCTGGCGGTGTCGCCAAGGCTTATCACACCGCCGGAGACTACACCGTCACCATTCCAACTTACTGGGTTAATGTCGCGGATCGAGGCCTTCAGCAAACCCTTGGCGTCGGCAGCAGACCACGGAGAAACGACCTTGAGGCCAGGAATTGAGCCGTACCATGCGGCGTAGCACCTAGGCGTTAGTTCACCGTAGCTGCGGAGGAAGGAAGGCAGCAGAAAACCTTGAGCTCACTGAGAGTGCTGGGCAGCAACACCGGCGGCGGCGCCGTTGGGACCACGGAAGGTGACTGGGCACGGCACGTTGCCGCCAGACATGTAGTACGTCTTGCCAGCCGAGTTTACGATCTGGTCGATTGCCTGCATGGCAAAGTTCCAGGTCACTAAGAGTGTGAGCGGTGTGGGAGGAGTGTGACTGCCGAGGATGTGACGTGGTGGGCAGTCGTGGGATGTGGGCTACTCACTGAACTCGCAGACGGGACGGAGGCCCGCAAATGCGGCGCCGACTGCAAGACCCGCAAAGCCCTGCTCAGTGATGGGGGTCTGATATCAGCTTTTGCGGCAACAATGACGCACGTCGATAACACGGTCCTCGCCAAACTTGTCAAGCAGCCCCTTGGTAACCTTGTATGCACCGTTGTAGCGGGCAACCTCCTCGCCCATGACAAAGACGGTGTCGTCGCGGAGCATCTCCTCCTCCATGGCCGTGTTGAGGGCGTCACGGACGGTCTAGGGTCAGCGACGCTTGCGATGCCATTGCCGGCGGCACTGGCGCTGCGCGAATTGGGAGAGAGCTTGGCAGCGAAGCATAGGCTCGACTGGCTCGTTGGACACGCACCATGGTCTGGGCGCCCTCATCGGTGCTGGCTCCGCGGCGGGGGATAAGCACTGATGGGGTGCGGGGCACGCGGGCGATGGGGGATGTCTGGAGGGCAGAGCGGGCGGTGGCGAGGGCGAGAGGGGAGCGGGCGGCAGCAGAGGTGGTGAGGCTGCGCGCGCGCGCGGGGGCAAGACGGATGAGGGCGGCGCGGGTGGCCATTGTGAGTGAATGAGGGAGGATGGAGAGATGGAGGATGAGAGTAAGATGAAGAGATTGAGGAGGAGGAGGATGTGGTGGGGAGGAGGGAGGGAGCAAGGTGGAAGGAAGGAGGGAAGGATGTCACCATGCGGACCTTGTGCCCCCGCTCCGTCCGTCTTGTGTCTCCCCACCCCACATAAACTGCCGCTGCCATTGCCGCTTGCCGCATTCCCCGCCCCTGGCCTCTACTTGCCGCCCCGCCCTACGTAATTCAATTACATTTTGCTATTCTATACGATTACTCTAATCACCCCATTGTATATCCCACCCAATTACTCCTTGTTATCTCCAGGCACCATCCACGTGTTGACGGAATCCCCGGATCTCCGCCATTTCGAATCCCTCGCTCCCTCGATCCCCCTCTGTGACTTTGTTGTCGTTTATCAACATTTCCACTTGCCACTTGGCTTTCCGCAACCGACCTCCACTCGCCTCCTCTCCCACCATGGCCTCGTCCGATATCAACGCACAAGCTATCACAGCCCACTTCAGCCCCCTCCAACGCGGCCCGGCCGCTACTGCCCTCCGCGACCTCGCTCTCGCCGTCGGTTGGTACCATCTCCGTGTCCTCGAGCTCGCTGGCACGCAGTGGGCCGTCATCGTGGGACACAAGCGCAAGGAGGTGGGTGCCGTGTGCCATGGTGCCGAGTGCGCGGGATGAGGAATGCGGAAGAGGTGGGCAGCTGGTCAGTTGGTCAGCTGGGCAGCTGGGCAGCTGGCAGGAGCTACTCACCCGGCCCACTGATCCTCACTCCTCTTCATGCATCCTGACTTGGTCTCACGTCCACACCCGCTGACAGCCAGGACCCTCTCCGCGCCGTCCTCCCGCTGCCGCTCCATACCAACGCCCTCGTCCCCTCCGAGCTGCATGCCATCTTTGGCGCCCTCTCCAAAGTCTCCGTCAACGACCTGCCTCCTCCTCTCCCCGAGTTTGCGCCCAGCGTCGATAGGCTGCGCAAGGCCTATGCTGCCATGACTGGAAAGAAGCACGACGAGCTGGACGCCGTCAACGAGGATGACGAGAACGACGAGGAAAAAGAGGATCAAGAGCAGCAGCCCGACTTGTCCGGCCAGTTTGACCCAGACACTCTCTACACCGCCATCGTATGCGCAGACTCCACCGTCGTCTACTACAAGCTCTCCCGCGGTATTCGCAAGCCTCACGATATCCCAGACGAGTAGACGCTCAGAGCGATCAGAGCAATTTGCCTCTCACACTGCATCTCATCATCAACTCTGCATTCGCACGCGTGCACACACGCACGCATCCACATAACCCCACCCAGAGCACGCCAAGCACACCCAAAGCAAACTCGCAAATCCGTACGCACATGCACCCCCCATTTTTGTAACTCTAGTACAATATGCATTATGCCACTATAAAGTGAGCAATTCAATCCCATGAATGCTAAAAACTCCTCTGCAAGACATTCATTCCACCGAATGCTCACTTACAGGGTCAAAACACCCTGCAGCACCCCCTTCTCCTCTGCCGACAGCGCCCCCACCATCTCGTGCATCCCATTTGCGTTGGACGCGTAGCACGACCGCAGTGTCTCGGTAATGTGCTCACCCATGTCGATCTGCGCCAGCGGGTCCGCCTTGAGGTCCTCGTCGTCGTCCTGCGCATCGCTGGCATTGGGACCCGCGTCAAGCCAGTCGCTCAGCAGCGCGAATTCGTCGTCGGGCGCGGGGCCTGCGAGGAGATCGTCGTCGTCCCACTCCTCGTCGCCGTCGTCCTCGGGTACGTCGAGCCCGCCCTTCGACTTGCCCTTCCCCTTGCCCTCAACCTGCACGTCCTTGAGCAGCAGCTTGAGCGCCTTGATGGGGAACGGAATCTCCGAGTACGTGTTGGGCTGCGCCAGAGTGCGCGATCGCGTCATAATGCGGTTGCGGTTTGCGTCCGTGATCAGCAGGTCTCCCTTGACGCGCACGCGGTTGAGGGCTGGAGACCCCGCGCTGAACAGCTTGCAGAGGCCGAGGTCATTGACGCGGATGTTCCACGAGCCGGTGATTGTGTCTGCGACATCGCTCCACTTCTGCAGCACAAGGTCGAGTGCCGGTGCAGTCTGGCCTGGCCCGACAGTGACGGGCTGGAACGACTGGAGAAGCGCCAGCGACTCTTCAGTGTACTCTGTTCCGAAGAGGTACGCGAACGGAATAATCATTGACTGTATGAAGCTGTCGGTCTGCGCAGTAGCGAGGCGTGAGGCCATGGCGCTGAGCAGATCACCCAAAACCGGGGCGATCGCAGAGCCCGCCTTGCGGAAGAGGTGCATGACGAGGTCGCCAACGAAGATGCCGCCCGATTCGGAGAAGGTAGGCGCCAAGAAGCGGCCCAGCAGCCCAAAAATGCGCGCGATGCCGTTGGTCCCGTCTGGTGCGTGCCACTCAATGAGCTTGTCGCAGTCCTTGCGGACAATGTACGTGAGGTGGAGCATGCCGCGCTGGATTACCTCCATGTCGTCGGTCTGCTCGAGGACCTTCATGACAGCAACGGTCACCGTGCCGATGTACTCGGCCTCGAGGGGCCCTCCGCGTGGCCTAACAATGGCATTGGCGAGCTGAATGGCCTCGCCGGGAACGTGCAACGTGTCCTCGTCGACCGGCTGGGTAATGAGCTCCGCAAGGCGGGGCGAGAGGAAGTTCACGAGGGTCGAAATTGCCGATGGGTTCGGCGACGATGCGATCGACTCAACAAGCTCCTCGGTGATAGCGGTGAAGATTGGATCTTTGGTCAGCAATCACGCGTGGAAGTCTCTGCCTACCAGTCGTGTTCTTCAGCCACTCATTGTAGACGTGCTCGCAAATTGCATTGGTGCTTTCGGCATTGAGGGCTGCCTTGTCAAGCGAAACCACGGAGTGAATAGTCTCCAGAATGAGGTAAAGCGTCTCGTTCGTCATGCCCCAGAGCACTGGAAGGAGCAGCGACAGCACCTTGGGCGCTTGCGCGCTCATGATGCTCGAGTCGACATGTCGGCAGAAGTTGCGGATCGTCTTCACGGCCGAGATCTTGACTGGCACGGAGATGTTCTCCGAGCTCAGTGCCTCTACGGTGGCATTGAGGTAGTGCTGCGCGACGTTGTCAGAAAGCGGGCTTGCGAACTGGGAGGCGAAGACGAAAGCGCGACCCTGCAGGAACGGCGCGTCCGTCTGCACGAGTAGGCTAGGGATGACCTGGTCAAAGAAGTAAGCCAGGTCCAGGGTGGGCTGGCGGCCAGCATCGCTGTCCTGCTCGAGGAGATTAGTGAGGTCGTCGGCAATGCCGCCGAGGAGCCCGAGCATAGTTTCGAGCGGCTTCCACCAGTCTGCGTTGCCGGACGCGTGTGCAGCTGCACTCTCGTGTACGCGCCGTTTCGCGATCTCGTTTACCACTGCGCCGACGGGACGTGGCCACTTGTCGATCATTGAGCCCATCAGGTCATGCCCGATAATGCGCAGAGAGTACTCAAAGTTGTCCTCATCCTCGTCCTCCACAAAGGCGTTTGCGTCCTCGAGCCACTCCTCCTCCTGTTGCCGGGTCACCTGAGTGTAGGTGAGGACAAGCCCAACGATGGTCTCCATGACGGCGGTGCCACGCTCCTCGGAGGCGTTGAGGAGAATTTCCTGAGCGTCCTTAGAGCGCACCGTCGGCTCCAGATACTCAAATATCGCGGATGCGAGGTCGTCGAGATCCATCTTGACCTGGTAAGAGTCCTCGGGGATGGGTGGGTCTGGGGAGTCGGGGTCCGAGCTGACATAGTAGCGGTTGAAGGCAGGGAGGAGGGAAGTGAGGTTGAGAATGGAAAGTCTGAGAAAGGTGGGAATGTGAGGGGCAATGTAACGGGGAAACTTTGTCTGGAACTGGAGGAGCACGCGGAAGATGCGAATACGCAGCGCGAGGCTCTCCCAACTAGTCTGAAGGTCGACGGCGGCATCGACGCTGAGCAACTGGGTGAACGCGTCAAACCATACAGGCGCCATGCTGTTGAGCGCCTGACGCACAGCCTGGGGGTGTTCTTCCTTGAGCATCTCGAGCAATGTCACAACTTGACGGTAGACGGCGACCGTCTCTGCGCGGGTGAGGAAGGAGTGTACGCCAGGGCTGCCGAGAATGGAAAGGAGTGCGGGAACAAGGTCGCGCACGACGGGAACAAGCTGGTCCTCGCTCAGCTCGTTCTTGACGAACTCGGTGACAACGCGCATTGCGCCGTGGACAGCATCTGGTGAGCCCGTCTGTAGCAAGGTGATGAGCTCAGACAGAAGAGTAGGCCAGTCGTCAGGCCAGTCGGAGCGGGCTACGGTGGAGCAAGCGAAAGCAGCGGCGGTACGGACCTTGCGCTCGCGGTCGGAGAGGGCGCGCAGTAGCATCGGTCGGATGGCGGCCTTTGCCTCACTTGGGGTGGCGGGGGGCTCATACGCATCAGAGCAAGCACTCCAGTGCTTGTCAATATACTTTTGTAGAAGGATACCAGCGGACTGGCGCTGGGGCAGTGAGACGTTGTAGTCGGCCAGAATTCGAGTAAGACTCAGACCGCCCTCTGCACGTTAGCACTGAGGCGCAAGGGGGGAAGGAAGTAATGTGATGAGGTGGTCTAGGCATACCTGGGTGCTGGTAGAGAGATTTGAGCTGCTCCTCGGCGGCACGGCGAGTGGCCTCGTGGGGGTCGAGGGTAGCCTGCAAGCAGGAGATAACCTGGGCATCGAGGTCCGAGCCGGAGGACATGGCGACCTGTCAAGTGTTGGTGATGTGGGGATGTAAAGGCAACCGCAAGTGGTGCATGGTGCAGCGCGTCAAAGAAGTTGGGAGGAGCGGCCGGAGATCAGAAACTGTCCGTTGTTGACAATGTCGGAAAGTCGCGCGTTCGATCCACGACGGAGAACTCGAGTTGATTATAATTGGCGCGTAATCTGGCAACTCTGTGCGGGCGGAAAGGTTATTACTACTTGTTGTGCCTTGCCAATCATCCACCGTCAGGTTTCCCCCATCATTGTAGCGCCGTCACAACCTCACCAAGGCGGCGCACACAGTGGCCAGTAAACATCTTGCATGTCGAACGGTGGGCATGCTCGGCTGATATAATAAACAAGGCTCTGCGCGAGCCGAGGATCCAGCTGCCACCGGGTCCAGGTCAGTGGTGCGGATTGAGGCGTTTCTGGAAGATCCTAATTGCTAGCGCTAATACTGTAATAGCGACGAAATACCCTGCAGTTGCGCGATTTCTCTGAGCAATCGTCCTTGCATAGACCATTGGACGTCATTCTATCCGCTAATACTGCGTTCCTTCCGGCATTCTCCACGACGCCGCTTCCACCGAGCTCGGGTAGTCCGTCTACCACCTTGCCGTGGCAGCCTGACCGCCTGAGAGCTGGAGTGCAAGGCGCCTACGTGGGTTGCGGATGATGGATGATGGATGAGGGATGATGGAAGATGGGTGACGATCGCCAGAATGCCCAGTGTGAATAGCACAGGCCAGGCACGGCCACACCACCCAAGTTGCCACCGATACGCCTTGGATCTTTATCCGTCTTCCTCTTGCCATCACTCCTCTCTTCATCACCCGCTCCCCCCTCGGTCCTCCTACCACCTCTCTCACACCCCCTCCGATGCAGTCCTCGCGGGGACTCGGCTCGCCGCCCCCAACACCCTCAAGGTTTCCATGGTTTGGCGCCGGTCTTGCCCTCCTCGCCACCGTCGTGCTTGTCTCGGGCGCACCCCTCGTCCCCGAGCCCCGCGAGTTCGCCAGCACTGCGTTCTACAAGACTCCCCCTCATGAGGCTGCGGCACGTGCCGCCGACATCCGCGCACTGTTCGCCGACCCCACGGCACCGTGGATCCCCGACGCCCGCGAGCGTTCTGGCGGCTGGATCGCACATTGGCTCGGCGGAGGAGAGGGCGCCGTCACCGTCTCTGTACGAGAGCTTGCTTGACATAGCTAACCCCAGGTTGATGGCAGCAACCTCACGCTTCCCCACCGCCCCGCCGCATTCCCAGACTGGCTCGGGCCCACCGCTCAGCTGCCCATCTCCGGCGTCTTGCGCCCCTTTGTCGTTTTGCCCCCACCGAAGCCGCAAAAGGATGACAAGGGGAAAGAGGCGCCGGAGCGCGCCTGTGTCGCGCCCACATGGCCGCCCATTCGCCCCGCATACCCACTTCCACCCTACACTATCGCCCTTGTTGAGCGCGGCGGGTGCGATTTCGCGACCAAGGTCGTCGCCGCGCAGGAGCGAGGCGCCGCTGCTGTGATTGTTGGTGACTCGGTTGCGCACCCCGGAGAGACCGACGAGGAAGGGCGCGCGAGAGAGAACCTGATTACTATGTTTTCACCCGGTGAGTTGCTCTTCTGCCAGATCTGGGTCCAGCCGTGCGCAAAGCCACCTCGCTTTCGCGGCCCGAGAACAGATTCAGTGTGGCTGAAGTAATGGCGCATGTGTCGTTTGGGGAGCATGACTGCTTCAAGGAGCACACCCGGATTGGACAGAGACCTTTTCTGGCGTCGCGTGCCCCCTCCTGCATCTCCTCTGGGGATGTGCCATGTTGCAACCACAGCGATGGTTGACGAGCAACAGGCGAGACATAGCGCTTCGCCGAACGCGACCGGCACGTCGCCATCTCCCCATCTCACCATCCTAGCAGTCTGTTTTACTGGCGTCCCCTGCGACCTTGCCTCTTCCGCCTGTCGCTTCTGTTCTCAGCCTCTTGCCGCCTTTGAACGCTCATAACCACCCTTCCTTGGCGCATCGCTGATAATCCACAGAAGATACCTCTGGCATTATTATCCCTAGCGTATTTGTGTCACGCGCAAGTTACCTCATCCTCCGTGATCTGTTATCGAACCACACCGTCAAGGGGAAGCCTGGAATCTGCGTCGAAGTCGGCGAAGCATCCGACGATGGAAGGTAAGCCGCCGCCGTGTTTCAGCAGGTTGCGACCATTCCGCCACACTTGCAACTCCTTCTGTACCACTTGCCTCTCTGCTCCATGTCTATCACAAGTTGCCCCCACCCAACTTGCCCATCGTCCTCCTCCACTTTCTCGTCCTACCCACCCCATTTTCCGTGGTGCCGGAGAATAAGCCCAGAATGATCGACTGACACTAGCGCCCTTGGCAGTCTGCTGACTTTCGCCCTCCTCATGCCATCCCTGTTCCTCATCGCCACGGTTGCGGCGCATCGTGTCCGTGTGGCCCGGTGAGTCATCTCCTCTTACATTGGCTGATTCAACTAGTCAGCGTGAAGCGAATCGAGCCCCACCTACCGTTGTCCTTTCTTTGCCGGAGCGTGTGTGGGCACCAGACATTGTGTGGGAGAAGGACGACTCCGAGTCGGACAAGGACGAGGGGTCGCAACAAGGGGACGGCGGCATTGCAAAACCACAGTTGACAGCGACAAATGACTCGGCCGAGACGACAACCGATGGTGCTCCCGAGACAACCGATCCTTCGGAAACTCTCGCTGCACAGGGTGACTCGGATGTTACGACGCGTTCCGCGGAGGCCGACGACGAGGCGGATGCGGACGCGACTGCGCCTTCACATACACAACCACCTCGTCGCCGGGGCAAGGAGCGTCGCAAGAGCAAGCGTTACTACTCCAAGGACGAATGTGCCATCTGCATGGACAACTTCCACAAGGGAGAGATCGTGCGCATCCTTCCTTGCGGACATGTTTTCCACAAGGACGAGTGTGACGAGTGGCTCCTCAAGTGGAGAAAGCTGGTACGTGAATCTGTCGTGTCTCTGTGCTGCCTGGCGGGCCTGAGAGCTGTATTAAATTCCTCGCTTTCAATTCTCCCCAGAGGCCAGAGGACGGTTTCGATTACGACGTGGGCGGAATGTTTCATGCTGACGACCAGTGTCCTACCTGCCGTGCGGACGTCACGATTCCAACGACGGATCTATCGGGTTCGACTACAATCACTCCGGTCGTCGACCGGAACGCGACGCCCGAGGACGGGGCAGGGGCAGGGTATGGTGCGGTGGAAGACGATGGCGAGGCAGGTCCAAGGGCGCGAGGCTCGTGGGCTGCGCGCGCGGGGGCCCGTGTCAGTTCTATCTGGGGCTCGCTACGTGCCGCGGTCGCACGCCCTGCCCTCGAGACTGAAGGAGAGCGCACGCCGCTCATGCCGACCAATATTGTGTGAGGAGGAGACTTGTGTTGAGAGATGGACAGAGCAGAGCCGCACGGCCGATTGAATCTTGAGCTGTGTGGGAATTTCTTCCCTTAATCCACCATCATGCGGTGTGGTCGGCTCCGCTCTACGTGTTGTATGCCTGATGCCACGCCCCGATCACGAAATGATACGATGCCACGCGTGCGTGTGAGCTTGTGCGTGTGAGCTTGTGCGTGTATTTCAGCGATTTTACAAGGATTTTGCGATTACCTTAAGCGACCATTTGTTACACACATTCGTTACACACATTTTACACAAATTTTCCCCTGTCGGCTATGTCGGTACGGTACAAAGATGTCTGTCGGTGGTCAGTGGTCGTTGGTTGGGGGTCGGCAGTTGCTTAGTTGGGTGTCGGTTGTCGGGATGGAGGAGGTGTCCGCTGGCCTGTTGGAATTGATGGAATCTGATTGCTGCCCCTTAATTTACTGTAGAAGCGGCGGCCGAAGAGGATGGAATATTGGGAAGCGTGGCACGAGTTCGGGATGCATCTGTGTGGCATGTGCGGAGGAGTAGATGAGAGAGAGAGAGAGAGAGAGAGTGGAGATGGCAGTGGCGAATGACGTGCGACTTCATGCCTCGGAAATTGATGACGCGGTGGGAGGCTTCGTGCTGCTCGCTGCGCATCGAATCGTTCCAGACTTGAAGACGAGTTGCGGGAATTACGGGATGGAACTATGCACCGTGAGCTGTGTGACACTACGGAACTGGATACTGAGTGGCGGGGTCCGTCATAGTGTTGCGATAGCAGAGCAGCTCGTCAGCTCGTCAGACTAGCTCCCTATCTCGCTTAATGCTTCGGTTTAGGCCAGTCAGTGACGACGCACTCTTGTCTATCCTTCACGATCCACCACTCATCCTCTCAATTACAATCTCATTTTGACTGCGTCTGTGTCTGCCTCTGCCTTTGCATCTGTCTGTTTCGGCGAGTGCGAATGGCAAGGGGATGTGGGAGCGCGAGGAGGACTCTGTCGTTTGTGTCACTGTTCCCTCCTCCCTCTCCCCACTCGTCCCCACCCCCTCGATCTCCTCTCTACTCACTCTCCCAGCTCCCAGCCATCGAGCTCACCCACGCACACCGTGCGACACACTGATCGGCCTCAACGCAGCATACAGCGTCTGCACAGGACTCTCAGACTCGCATTCAACGCGTGCCGATCTCCGTCCATCCCCACCCATCCTCGCCGCTCTCCCCGCCATTTGTGCGAATCTCCCCCCGCTTGTCCTGCGCCCCTCTGCCCGCCCGCCACACCCCGCTAGATCGCCTCGCGCATCCGCCGTCCCGGACATCAAGCGGCGATCCGATGGCCAGGGGGCGTGGGTGTGGGCGCAGTCCGCAGGCCGCGGGCAGCGGAGGGCGGAGGACGGAGGGCGCAGAAGGTGCGGGGCGCGGGGCGCGTGGAGGACGACTAGGCGGTCGGCTGACCCGAGGGCAGCGAGCAACGAGGAAGGGGCAGCAGTGGGGCGTCGAGAGACGCAACAGTCTCAAACCTCCCCACCTCATCTTCGTCCTCATTCTTGTCCTCCTCCCCCCTCGTCCTCGTTGCTCGTCGCCATCCCTCTCCGTCGCTCCGTCGGCCACCTACACTTCTTCAGCCACCCCCGCCCCGACACGCCAAGTGCTGATAAAGCCCCAGCTCTGCCCTCTGTCTCTCACCATCCCTTCGCCCCACGCCCGGCGATCCGCTTTCTTGTAGCCCCCACAAAGCCCTCCTCAATCCTCAAGCCGCCTCTCCTCACGCTGTCTCTCATCAACCCAAGCCCTCAACACTGGCGTACATCATCTTTCTCTTGGCCCCATCCCCTCTCCTTCATCCCTCCCCCTCTCCCTCTCTCCCAAGTTCCCAGGCCCCCAAGTCCCCGGCCCCAGATCCAAGCCACACTTACCTCACCACATCGGACCGCCACAGTCACCGCCTCCTGTCCTCTGGCCTAGATATCTTGACATCTTGACATCTCGCCCACGCTCATCCTTCTACACAATGTATTCTTCCATCTACGCTGGGGGCTCACCCCCGCGCAGCACGCCCGAGGCCGCATCGGCGCCGGCGCCCGCCGCCAGCGCCCCCTCGTCCTCGCCCGGCTCGGGGGCGACGCCCATGGACCGCGACCCGAGCAACACAGGCACCCCACAGATGGGGAAGCGCACGCCCGACGGCATCGACGGGCACGTCGACGGTGTGGCCAACGGCGTGGCGGCGCCCAACCGCGCGCCCGCCCAGCCGCCCACCCAAGCCCAAGCTCAAGCTCCCGCGTCCAACTCTCACTCGCCCCTGCCGGCGCTCAACAAGGGCATGTATTTTCCGCCAATTTGGACTCAAAACGAAATGTGGGACCGCCAGAATGTCCCATGGCTAGGCCGCACCGAGCAGCCCTCGGGGCCCAGCGTGCTCGAGCGCTGGCGCGCGAGTTACGATCGGTATGACCGGCGTGACGAGAATAAGTTTGCGCCGGTTGGAGGCAGCACAGGTGCTACGAGCACAGGCGGTGGTGTTGGCAGTGGTAGCGGCAGTGGCGGTGGCAGAGCCACGCGCGATCGCGATGGCCCAGATGGGTTTGACCACTACGAGCGCGACGGGTACTATGACAAGGGCGATCCGTTCAATAATAAGCCCAGACCCGCTTCCGCTTCCGCCCCGCCTCCCTCCGGCCTCAACGTACTAGGATATGTACACCCACACGACCGTCCGCTCCCTCCTCGTCTATCGCTTTTCAACCCGCCCTACTACCCGCAGCATCAAGTATATGGCCACGCTGGGCCTCCTCCGACGCAGCAGCAGCAGCAGCAGCAGCAACAGCAACAGCAGCAGCACGCCGAGTCGGAGCGCCCCACTCCCAACCAGAACCAAAACCCCACGCAGGCTCAGCCAGCCTTCGGCCTTTCGAACATACACGACACGTACATGAACCACACGCTGCCTGCGCCGAACCATCTCTCGCCCCCGAACCATCTCAACCACATGCCCATGAACCACATGAACCACCTCGACAACCTTGGCATGTCCAACCACCTGCCTCCGCTGCAGAACATGCTGCCTCTCCCGAACAACATGAACCACATGGGCATACACGTCCAGCCGCCCGTGTTCCCGTTCCCCTCGGCGCCCGACTGGCCCGGCGCCGGGCCCATGGAGAACTCGATCAACCACAACTCGTCGCACGACATACGCCCGCGCGAATATCTCGGGACGCCTTGGAAGGGCGCCGACGCCGACGGCCCGAGCGCAGGGCCCAGCACGTCGCGCCGCGGCGGCCGCTCCGGCTCCGCGCCGCCTGCCGTACGTCTGCCCCGTGACCCGCACTCGTTAACTCCAGCGCCGCTTCCCCTGCCCCGACTGCTCCGAGGCCTTCACCCGCCGCAACGACCTGAACCGGCACAGACGCAAGCACAGTGCGTCTCCCCCTCCCCTCCGCTAACGGCAGCCGGCGAGAAGCCGTTCCAGTGCCCCGTGTGCGGGACCGCCTACGTAAGCCCCGCGGAGGAAGCACTGACGCCAGGCCCGCAAGGACAAGCTGCTCATGCATATCCAGCGCGCGGAGCTGTGCCGCTCGCGCCTGCCCCCCCGCCCGCCTGGGCGCGGCCGCGGCCGGGGCGCCAGAGCCAACTAGCTGTCATAGCTGTATCTACATCTCATACTCCGTCCGACTGAGCATGCATAACCATATCCTGTGTCAGGAGTAGAGGAGGGTGCAGTTCAGTAGGAGGGAGGATCAGTGGGTGAGCGGCGAGTGGGTGAGTGGCGAGGCAACGTTTTCTAGGAATGTTCCGCAGAATTACCGAGAACGTTCCTGCTGGAAGAGAAGCAAGCCGGGCCGAAGTAAGCGGATCTGGAACGGGAGTGAGGCAGAAACGGCAGAAGCGGGCTGCCCGGGGGCGGTAAGACACGTTGCGACGGTGCGAGAAGAAGACATGCGGCGGCATAGAAGCTTGCAAGCATTCCCGGATGCGATGTAGGGTATAATAGCTCGATCGATTAAGGCCGCCATGGGAGGCAGGGCGTTGAGAACTGGCTGGTGTGAGGAGTGGACATATGCGAGGATGGGTATAGGGCGAGATGCGTGGCGTCGAGGAGTGATGCTGGAGCTGGCGCCGGGGCATGGTACCGCTTGAGATGCTGTCCTCCCTCCGCGTGGTGAGTTCAGGTCGGAGGATGCGGTGGTGGGCAGTATGATGATGGCGGTACTTCGTTGGCGCGGTGGTTCCGAGGCGTGAGCGTGCCAGCTCGTGCGGGCCCACTGAACTAAGCGCAGCTAACGTCATGCTCGCGCTTCTGCTTATCCATGTCGAATGATTCCCAGTGATGCGAGGGTTCGCTCGTGGTCAGGTGCGCCGTGCAATGCCACAGTTGGCTGAGCGCTGGTGTCGGGCGGATGCCAACTGCCCATTTGGCATGGCTTGCCCATCGCGCCATGGCGTCCTTGAGCCCACTCGCCATCCCCGTTCTTTCTAGCGCGAAAGGACTTTGTCAAGGGTTCGAATCGGGTGTACACTTGCAGAGTGCTGCGACTGAGTCTACGCCAGCACTGATGGATGTGAGCTCCGACGCCCAGGCCAGCACCTCAGACTGCTTAAACCTGCATCTTCATGTTACTGTCGCGTGTACTGATCCCACTTAGGCACCAGCCTGGCCCGGGTTCTTCGAGCTGGCCGTCAGCCTTCTCCGTTGATAACGATGGACACTTACAGAATCTCGATCCAGTACCCATCGGGGTCGTAAATAAAGGCAATGTGCTGATGTCAGCCGAGCTCAACACATGCTGATGGCCATCATCAACGTCTCCACGAGAAAGACCTTGGAGGCCACCAGCCATCTCCTCTCACGCGCATACGGCCCTCCTCAGGACGCTTCTTGAACTTGACGCCGAGCTCGTCGAAGCGGTTGCATGCGGCCTGCAGGTCGTCGACGGCGATGCAGATGTGACCGAAACCGCGGCCAGGCTCGTCGTTGCCCGAAGCGTAGCCCTTGAAGGTGGGGTCGGATTCTGGTGTCAGCCTGGTGGAGCTATTTCAGGCGGCTGGCCATGGACGGTCCATGACGCACCAGTGCCGTGGTTGTGGCAGAGCTCGAGCACGCCCTCACGAGCGGTGAAGGCGTCGCCCTTCTCCTCCTTGGACGCGCCGGCCTTGGAGCCAAAGCCGGAGGGGTAGCCGAGGCTGGTGTCAGCTCTGTAAGGAGTGCGCAGAGTCGACTGCTCACAAGTAGTTGGTGAAGTCGGGGCCGTCGGACTGGCGGAAGCACTGGGGTTAGTGGGGAGCAAAGAGAGCAGGGAGGTTCCACCTGGTCAGAGAAATGCAAGGATTGATGATATCTCAAGGATGAAGTCGCACTGAGGCCTGTCACCACTCACCTCCATGCCAAGAACCTTCTCGTAGAACTCGATGGACTTCTTGGGGTCCCGAATACGGAACATGGTGTGGTTGAAGATGTAGGTGGCGGGGTCGGACTTGGTAGCCATGGTGCGTGCGTTCTTTGCAATGTGAGAGGAGAGAGACGCGATGCGAGTGATGGGGGACATGCGATGAGCAAGAGACGAAGAGCACAGAGTTGAGATGCGAGTGCGAGAGAGGGACGGTGTAATCGAGACGTCTATCTTGAGCCTCGCACCCAAATCGCGCGCGTCATAGCGGGATCAAATTCGAATCAGAGTGGGCAGCCGGCATCTCGCGGGCACTGTCCACGTGGTGTGGGGCTCCCAGGCACACTTGATCCGGTTCTGGTCAGTCTGGTTGCCGGACCTCGCTTCGGCGTGAACCGATCAGCGGCAGAGACATTTATGTAGCGCCTACTCTGTTCTCGTCTTTCGTCTTTGCCCATCTGGACACAGAAACAGACAGTGAGTACCTGTGGGAGGTAGTAGAACGAGATCAAGTGTTGGCTGTGGCTCTCAGGCGTATCTCCTTCCAAGGGGTGTCACGAGAGTCGCTGCTGGGCAAGAAACTGGGCGATCTGCCTGCCCTGCTCGACCAGCCGCAACCACACTTCCTCCCCCTCCTTAGCTCACACCAGTGCTTGACAAGAACGAGGCCATCGGCGTCCGCACCGCAGTGCTCGACCGCATCCGCCAGTCGGCGCGCGAGGACATTGGCTCTGGCCGCGTCGCCCACAAGGTCGGAATCGTGACCGGCGTCGGCCCCGCCTCCGGCATCGGGACGTACGCGTCGCGCCTCTTTGCGCGTGAGGGTGCGCGTGCTCTCTACCTCCTGGATCTGTCTGACGCGCTGCCGGACTTTGCGTCGGACCTCCAGAAGACGTTCCCGTCGACCAAGGTGACGTGTGTGCGCGGCGACGCGGCCGACGAGGCGACCGTCAAGGGCATCGTCGAGCGCGCCGTCAAGGAGCAGGGCAAGCTCGACTTCTACTTTGCCAACGCGGGAATTTCGAACGTCCGCCCGAAGGAGTGGGGCAAGTTCGACCCCACCTCGCGCGAGAGCCAGGCGCAGGCGCTCGCCCACGGCGGGCGGCGCGTTGACGAGATCGCCGTCAGCGAGTTCATGGAGATTCAGCGCGTCAACGTCCTCAGCGGCTTCCTTGCGCTCAAGTACGCTGCGCCGGCCATGCAGGCTGCCGCGCCCAGTGTCGGCAAGCGCATCCCTGGCGGCTCGATCGTGTTGACCGCCTCGGTCGCGGGCCGCCTCGCGAACGCCGGCTCGCTCCCGTACTCGGCCTCCAAGGCCGCCGTCGTCAGCATGGCCCAGACGGGCGCGTACGAGTACGCCGGGTACAACATCCGCGTCAACGCCATCTGCCCCGGTCTGATCCAGACGGACATGACTGCGGCCGTGTTCGCGGTCGCGCGCTCAAACAACAACGAGGGCGCCACGGGCCAGATCAACCCCCTCCTCCGCCACGGCTTGCCCGTCGAGATCGCGCATCCCGCGCTCTGGCTTGTCTCGGACGACGCAAGCTACGTCAACGGCCAGCCGATTCCCGTCGACGGCGGCCTTACCGCCTCCATGCCGTACCAGCGCAAGCTGACCAAGCGGCCTGCCAAGCTCTAAGTGTAGTATAAGGGAGGAGGGATCTTGGGCATGCAGTCATGACAGAAGAATGTACGTATCGCATCGATCTATTTCTATGGCTTGCGGCATTAAAGGTAATTATGAAGTTGTAAATAGGGTTCGTCTTCGCCGAGACCGCCTTTGGTGCTGCGTCTCTTTCCCGAATACCCGTCCTCACAGCGCGGCTACTGCTTCTTGCGATGCTCCGGTGCATGCGTCACTTCGTGGTCGACGTGGACGAAGCACCGGTCGACGTCGGGAAGAGCCTCAATCTGGTCCTGCAGATCCTGCGAGATGTCGTGCGCGCGCCACAGTGGCATGTGCGGGTCGAGGACGATGTCAACCTCGACAACAAAGTTGGGACCAGAGTGATAAACGCGCACAGTGTCGACCATCTTGATGTCATCCGAGAAGGTCATGGCCTGGTGTCAGCTCGTTCTCTTTGTCATGCGTCTACCTTGTAGGTGACGAGAGAGACGTAGTCAGGCTGCGCCGTGATGCCGGCGAGGAACGTGAACTGCTCATACGCTGTGCGGCACCACACGCCGATGATCGCCAGCGCGATGACGGAGCCGCCCATGGGGTCAATCCACCATGCGAGCTTGGCACCACCGGCATTCGCGAGAATAGCGAAGCCGTTGGCGAAGAGATCGTTCCGGTGGTCCTCCCACAGCACCTGGACTTGGGAGCTGGCGCTGCGAATCGCGAAGCAGTAGAGGAAGAGAAGGAACTTGACGCCCCACGCAATGCACACACAGATGAGCGGGACGAGGTGGAACTCTTTGGTCTCGTCGCCACTGTGCGTGGCGAACTGCTTGATGGCCTCGACGATAAGGATAAGGTTGACCGCCATCATGATGAACGAGTACACGATGTTGCCGATGGTCTCGAAGCGGGACCCGCCCATAGGCCACTTCTCGTGGTTGGCGCGTGTGGAGGCGCGATGCGCAACCCAGAGAAGGAGATTTGCGAACGGGTCGACTTCTATTAGCCCATTGTGCGAGGATGCGACGTACACACGGCGTCGACACATGACGCGAACAGGGCGATGGACATGGAGCTGATGGCCGCATACAGCTGCACGCCTGCCAAGATGATGTTGGCGGCGAATGAAACGTTGACGGCAATCTTGACTTTGAGAGCCATGCTGTCGGCCGCCTCGGCGCCCTCGGCAGAGTGGACGTGGATGGGCTTGAGGAGGCGGTCGATGTGGCCGTTCTGTGCCTCGTAGAACTTTGCGATCTTGGAGTCGGCGCGCGTGCGGGAACGCAACAGAGCCAGCTGGTCATCGGGTACGATGCGCTCGCGCAGCAGGAGCGGGTCGCGCTCACCGGCCTCACGGCCCACGACGCCCGACATGTTGTTCAGCTCAATGTCGGCATCGTGTCCGTCAAAGGTGGGTGAGCGTGGTGGCGAGCCTCGAGGCTCTATTGCTGTCGCGATGACGCTTGTGGTCGTCGCCGACATTTTGGAGGCAGAGAGAGGGAGAGGAATGGGAAATGCAGAGAGCGAGATGAGAGCCGTAAGAAATGTATCAGGGCTTCCGCACCATGACCGTGAGCTTCGGCCGGAGAAGCCTCGACATCTCCTCTGATTGGCTCGGCGACGCCCCTCTCCCGATCTCCGCCTCCTCCACCCCCGCACGCAGGCACGTGGGCGGCTCCGGGGTGCAGTATGTCACCCAGGCCCTTGCAATAAAAGCCACGTAATTGACGTCGAAAAGAGGTTATCAGCGTGCCTGGGACGCGTCAAGGTCGGTGGAGGCAGCTCATTTACTTTGCTCTGCAACAACATCTCTTACTGCCATGCCCTCCCAGCGCCAACCCACCAACAGCCGCTCGGCTTCGCGCTCCCGCGCCAACTCGAGTTTTTTTGACGAACCAGAAGATGACAGACCCGACCTTCCCGAACCTCAGGACTCGAGACACGAGTGGGGCCGAAGTGAGTCGCTCGTTGGTTGTCCTGACCCACAGTTCTCATTTGCGGTGGGATGGACTGGGAGCGCAACGCAACTCTCCCCTCGACCAAGGAGGGAGGGAAGGGAATCCAGCTGCAGATGTGAGTCAATGTGTGAGGTAGCGGAGCTGACAGCCAGAGAAGATCACGTCGTGCCAGTCAAACCACGGTACATGTCCCATTTGAAGATCACCAAGGTCATTAGCGGGCCCCGGGCCAACTACACGATTGTCATCGATCTGGCGGGAACGGCGCATGTGTTTGGGCGGGTACCATACTTCGGCATGGTGAATCCCACCCCGCGCAACAAGTGGCACGTCGTGTCCTGCGACGAGCCCCTGCACGTTCCCGGGCCAGACGGTGGGAAGTGGGAAGGAGGTGCGGTAGGCGAGGCGCACTTCCTTCTTTTCTCAGGCAACAAGGTGTATGGCGCGGGTGATAATCGAGGGAGTCCCTTGGGTCTTGTGCGTCTTCCCCCGGGCGAGGCAGTGCGAGCTAACGCCAGACAGGCGAGTATTATGCCGACCTGGAGCGGATTCGAGGACCTTGGGAACGCGGACGGACAATCCGCCAAGTTGCAACAGGGCAGACGTTCAGCCTTTTTCTTGACTCGGCGGGCTACGTCTATGCCGCGGGCAAGAGCGAGTTTGGTGTCCTCGGGAACGGCTCTACTGGCGAGGTGCTGTTAAAAGGCGGCAAAATCGGCTTCACCTACCAGGCCCCTCCGAGTGAGTTGGACAACGAGTCAATTGCTAACGATAGAGCGCATTAAAGAATTTGGCAACAAGCGTATCGTATCCATTGCGTGTGGGAACTACCACGCCATCGCGCTCGACACGGAGGGGATCTTCTACTCTTGGGGCAGCAACCAGTATGGACAACTCGCGCAGGAACATGTCACCGAGTCGCTTGTCCCGGTGCCCTTTGACAGCTGCAGGCATCCTGTTACGGCTATTTACGCGGGGCCGGCGAGCAGCTACATCAGGACCGAAGGCAACGATACCCAGATGTGGGGCACGGGCAAGTTCAAGCTCGTTGGACGAGGTTGGTTTCTCTGGAGGTTGATAACTGACTCAAGGCTCATCGTCTGCTCCATACCGGGACTTTGAGGATCTCGAGGTGCCCAGAAATGCGCAAGACTTCGGCGTGGGGTTCATCAGCCACTTTGTGACGGTCATCGGTGACGATGATGTACAGCGGACCTACGCATGGGGACAGGGCGCTACGCATGGCGAGCTGGGCCTCGGCGCCGATTTCCTGAGTGCAAGCGAGCCAACGCCTATCGAACAGCTGGAAAATATCGAGGTACTCTCCATTGCACCCGGCTTGGTGCACACTGTTTTCTTAGTCAAGCCGGACGAGACGCTCGAGGAACGCATCGGCAACGCGGCAGCCAGCTCCAGCGAAGAGGAAGAGGAGCCCGTCAAGACGGGCCCTGGTCGCCAGCCGGGCCGCGGGAAGGGCAGGGGTAATAGAGGCCGTATCGGCGGGCGCTCACGGGCATCCTACGTTGGCGCGTTCCGCGAGAAGGACAAGGAGAAGCAGGCAAAGGCGAAGGACCGAGAACGGAAGAAGAACAAGGAGAAGAAACTAGCGATCGAGCGGTGGCCGCCCATCGAATCGGGCGACCTCTGCTTGAACTGCGACGAAGGCGAGAGAGACGATCTGACATTTCTCGAATGCGAGCGTTGCGAGGAGGGATACCACATGGACTGCCTTCGTCCGCCCCTGTGGGAGTTACCTGATGGGGAGTGGTTCTGCCCCCGTTGCGAGCAGAGCGCTTATGAGTGGAGTCACCCGCAGCCCGAGGAGCCCGACGAGCTGGACAGTGATAGCACGGGGCCTGACGAGGCCGCGTAAGTTGTATCTATTAGACACATGTACTGCTGCATGCATGCTTTCTTCAGATCCCTATGCTACCTAGTCCACGCCTCGCCGCCCACTCCCGCTGAGCTGGTTACAGCCGCGGCGCGCTAGTCTCAACATCTAAAACGCACAATGGCTTACGCGACGAGCTGGGTGACGAGCTTGCCGCGGTTCTCGCCACGGAAGAGGCGCTGCCACGTCTTGGGAATGTCGTCGATCTTGGTGGGCACGACAGTCTCGGCGTCGTCGAGCTTGATCTTGCCCTCCTTGGCCCACCCGGCGATCTTCTTGACAATGTCGCCGTAGCGGTCGACGACGTCGAGGACGAGGAAGCCCTCGATGGTAATGCGGTTCGAGATGACCTCGAAGAAGTTGGGGAGGGGGATGACCTTGCCGTTGTAGCCTGACGTCAGCGGCGCTCTCGCTCTCTCGGCGAATGTCTCTAAACTCACCCGAAATCATGCCGCAGATACCGATCTTGCCGTAGCGCTTGATGAGGCGGAAAGCGGCGTTGAGGACGTCACCGCCAACGTTCTCAAAGTAGCGGTCGGCGTAGCCCTGGAGCGCCTCCTTGAGGTTGGCGGCAAAGTTGGGGTCCTTGTAGTCGACGCAGGCGTCGGCACCGAGGCTCTCGACCCACTTGCACTTCTCGGCACCGCCGGCAATACCGACAACGCGCTTAGCACCGACAATGTGCTTGGCGTACTGGATGGCCGCGGAGCCGACGGCACCCGCAGCACCCGAGACGAGGACGGTGTGCTCAGGCTTGCAGTCGAGGACCTCGAAGATGCCCTGGTACGCCGTGACGGCGACCATGCCGAGGATGGAGAGCGAAGCGGCAGTCACGCCGGGGAGGTCGCTGATGTCAGCTCACCGATTCGATGTAAGAAAAAAGGACAGGAGACCGGAGCGCCGAAAAATAATACTCACATGGCCTCCATGACGACGCCGGCCTCGGGGACGACAACGTAGTCGGCCCAGCCAAAGTAGCCGTAGACGCGCTGGCCCTCCTTCCACTTGGAGCTCTTGGAGGCGAGGATCTTGCCAATGCCGGAGGCGCGCATGGGCTCGCCGGCGCGCACAGGCTTGACGTAGGCGCGGTCGGGGTCGGAGCCCTTCTGGATCCAGCCGCGCTGGGCGGGGTCGTTGGAGATGAACTCGACTTGGACGAGGACCTCGCCGTCCTTGAGCTCGGGGATGGGGCGGGTCTCGAGGCGGAACGTGTCCGGCTGCACCTCGTGCGTCGGGTTCTCGTTGACGATCCAGATCTTCTGCTCGGTGGGTGCCATGGTGTCTGGGTCTGTGTTCGGTGCGGGAAAGGCGGGAAGAATCGAACAGACTCGTGCTGCACCTCTCATGCTTTATGGCCGTGGGTGGGCGATGACGCACCGGCAATGGGCCAAAACCCTTGCCGGCGGCGTCCTAACCGGACCTCGCCGTGCCGCTCAGCGACCTCCTGAGATGAATCAGCGAGGCTTGGCTCGCGCCAGCGTAGCGAGCGTGGAACCTCGACGAAGGTTGGAGGCGTGCATCTGCGTAGCTGCTTACCGTGCGAGAAGAGGGCGAGGACGTAGATTGCTGACGGCTGAGGGCCGACGGCCATCGAGCGGACTATGGTCTCGTTTCGGACGTCATACGTGGGTCTTGCGCTCCTCGGCCCCCTATGACACGCGTGAGAGCCTGGTGTCGGTTCCGTGCAGTCCACGTATCGGCTCCGCCAGTCCTGTTCCAGACTCCAGTTAAGCATAACCATTGCCTTGCTGTCATATTCGGAGCATGCTCCGTTGAGATTCTGGCACCCTCCGGTGCCTTGTCTGCAGCGTCTTGAGCGCTCTGCACGGTCTCCAAGCACCACCCCAGTTTGGACGGCGACCTTCCACGCAGCTAGGCAGGAAACTTTTGTGCTGATGTCAGCGCCACGATCAGCGCTGCCACATGCGGATCCACTCATGGCAGGTGTACATGCAAGTGAGCCCACAGGCCACAGGCCCGTTTAATACTCCGCTTGATATGGTGTCATCATGTCCGTAGCTGTGCTGGTTCGATGCGGGGATAGAGTGTTGGGCACGTCCGCGTGCAGGCGATTGGGCTGTGGACATTCGAGCGAAACGAGCCCGTTCTCAAAACCGGATTAGCCTCCACGTACTCCATTTATCAGATTCAACCGCTTCCTCACGTGATCTGTTGCCTCGCGTGGCTTAACCCTGTGCGGGATGTGGCGGCTCATGTGGAAAATCACGCCATATGTCGCTTGCTGTCTCACTCAAGAGCATACTCCGACCATCCCGCTCGTCCAACCTCCTCCGGCGTATTCCCACTCCCAGGCCGTCAGGCCCCCAACTCATCTCCGCACCATGCACTCTGCCTCTGGGCGCGCTGGGGCGCCCGGGGGGTGGAGCTGCCGTCATCGTCGCGTGGCCTCGCCCTGGCTCCCTTGTATGCTGATGAACATCTGGAATATGCCTGGTAAAGTCACGCAACTCGAGCACGCCACTGTGCGCTTTCACTCAACCTCTTCGTGGTTCTCTAGTTCTGACGCGATCTGCCTCCCTCTTGCTGATCTCGCCGCCTGCTCCCGGCACGAGTATTAAAACTGATGCTTGCTGTTCTGTTCCTCGTCTCCCCCGATCAGTTCTTATCAAAATGGCCAACACTCCCCACGGCGGCGTCCTCAAGGACCTTCTTACTCGCGACGCGCCCAAGCACGACACGCTCGTCGAGGAGGCCCGCGCCCTCCCGGACCTCTACCTCACTGAGGTGAGTGGCGCGGACTGTGGTTTTGGTGCAGAGAGGTGTTTTCACAGCTCCCTGCCACCACGCCGCCAGGCTCGACTGTCGTGACGATTAATGTGCTAACATCCAGCGCCAGCTCTGTGACCTCGAGCTCATCCTCAATGGCGGCTTCTCGCCGCTCGAGGGCTTCATGAACGAGGCCGACTACACTTCCGTCCGCGACACCCTCCGCCTTGCCAAGGTCAATGGCCAGCGCCGCGGCACCCTCTTCTCCATGCCCATCACCCTCGACGTTTCGCAGGAGGACATTGAGCGCCTTGGCCTCCAGGCCGGTGCGCGTATCGCCCTCCGCGACTTCCGTGACGAGGCCGCCCTGGCCATCCTTACCGTCGACGACGTCTACCGCCCCGACAAGAAGGCCGAGGCCGAGCAGGTCATGGGCGCCGACGACCTCGCCCACCCCGCCGTCAAGTACCTCCACAACTCGACCAAGGAGTTCTACGTCGGTGGCAAGGTTGAGGCCATCCAGGCCCCCACCCACTACGACTACGTCGCTCTCCGCTACTCGCCAGCTGAACTACGCGCTCACTTCCACAAGCTGGCCTGGAGAAAGGTTACCGCATTCCAGACCCGTAACCCCATGCACCGCGCCCACCGCGAGCTCACCGTCCGCGCCGCTCGCCAGCACCGCTCCAACGTCCTCATCCACCCCGTCGTCGGCCTCACCAAGCCTGGAGACGTTGACCACTTCACCCGTGTCCGCGCCTACCAGGCCCTCATGCCCTCGTACCCTGAGGGTCTCGCCCACCTCGCCCTCCTGCCCCTTGCCATGCGCATGGCAGGTCCCCGTGAGGCGGTCTGGCACGCCATCATCCGCAAGAATTTCGGTGCGACCCACTTCATTGTTGGCCGTGACCACGCCGGCCCTGGCAAGAACTCGCAGGGTGTCGACTTCTACGGACCGTACGACGCCCAGGAGCTTGTCGCGCAGTTCAAGGACGAGCTCGACATCGAGATGGTCCCCTTCCAGGCCATGACCTACCTCCCCGGCTCTGACGAGTATCAGCCGGTCGACGAGGTGCCCAAGGGCACTCCTACCGCCGACATCTCCGGCACCGAGCTCCGCAAGCGCCTCCGCACGGGCGCCGCCATCCCCGACTGGTTCTCGTACACCGGTGTCGTCAAGGTCCTCCGTGACTCGTACCCCCCTCGCCCGAAGCAGGGCTTCACCGTCCTCCTCACTGGTCTCCACAACTCGGGCAAGGACACGATCGCCCGTGCTCTCCAGGTCACTCTCCAGCAGCACGGTGGACGCTCCGTCTCGCTTCTTCTCGGCGACGAGCTCCGCGGCGACCTGTCGCCCGACCAGGCGCACGCCCCTGAAGAGAAGCACCGCAACATCCAGCGCATTGGCTTTGTCGCGTCCGAGCTCACCAAGGCCGGTGCGGCCGTAATCGCCGCCCCAACGGCGCCTTACGAGCGTTCGCGCAAGGCCTTCCGTGACGCCGTCGCAGGGCCCGGCGGCAACTTCTTCCTCGTCCACGTCGCCACCCCGCTCGCGCAGTGCGAGGCGGCCGACCGCCGCGGCGTGTACAAGAGAGCGCGCAACGGCGAGCTCAAGCACTTCTCGGGCATCTCGGACCCCTACGAGGAGCCTACGGATGCCGACCTCGTCGTCGACCTCCGCAAGGACTCGGTCCCCGAGATCGTCCACTCCATCATAATGACCCTTGAGCAGCAGAACCTCGTCTAAGCGGGAAGATTGGTTGAGTAGCATACAGCAAGCATTCCCCTTTAGTGGGTGGAGCATTAGGTCTTTGTCCTTTCATTAGATGTCACTTGTATTATCAGGACGCGCAGTGCCAAGTGGGAATGGGGTCCCTTTGCGACTGAGATACCAGAGAGTTGACGCGCGTGGGCCGGCAATGAGACGGTACCTCAGGCCTGATCTCAATGTTGATTGTTCGCTCCCGCCATCCACCGAAGTGGACGCGTGTCAATTGTCCCCTACAACATTATCAGGTCGAGGACTTGCCCTCTCGGGCGGCCAACACAGTGCTCACTAGACGGGTTGCCAGGGCAGTCAATCAAGAACGACGTAGTTGCTTGCAGAGGCAAGCCCAAACACAACTTGTGCCACCAGATCTCAGACGCGAGCAAATAGGCCTGAATGGAGTCTCAATTCAAACAATTCATGTACACCCTTTAAATGATCCACCTGTTTTGAGAAGTTGACTGAAACACTCCATTCAACCCACTTGTACTTATATCCACACGCTCTCTTTGCTCCATCTCTCATCCCCATCCCTTCGTTCTCTCTCCCATCAACCATCCCTCCCAGCAGCCAGCAGTCTCATCACTTCTACGCGATGAACCGCGGATCCTCTCGCAAAGACCTCCGCTCCGAGCGTATAAGCAATACGCCCTACCGTCGCAACGAGAGACCAGTTGCGAAGCAGGTACGTGCACTTGCTCGCGCCGTGCTGACCCGCAGACCTCATGGTTCTCCAATCTCACAGCGTCCATCACGTCCACCCTGTCGCGCTTCCGGTCACGCGATGGCTCTGTCTCAGGCTCAGAGGACGAGTGGGGCGGTGAGGGGCCAGCCCACATGGCCGGTCAAGACATGTTCAGCCTCGCCGAGGCTGCAGGGCGGGGTGGCGAAGAGTTTGCAGAGCGCGCAGCGGCATGGCGCCAAAGCAAACACATGTTGGCCAAGCATCCGTCGCCACCCACCACCTCGTGGAATCAGCTCGACTTGGAGCCCAAGCGCGTTCGCCCCTCGGCCTCAATGCCTTCCTTCCAGCCTTACTCTGCATCATCAAACCGCAACACACTATTCCAGACCCCCTCCGCCCAGGTCGACCGTCCCAATGGCATCCCCGGATCAGCGTCGAGCGCTGCTCTCCAGGCCTTGATTGCGTCCAAGGCAGGAGGGCAGTACACGGCGCAAGACATTGCAAGCATGGAGGCATTGCTGCGTAGCGTCAAGGCCGAGACCATGGCATCGCAGCCGACTGGCGGTTGGAGCGGTGCGCTCACTACCATTCGTGCGGCAGAAGCGTCGACCCCCGGCTCGGGCTTCTCAGTTGGCTCCCCCCCACCCGCCAATCGCTCCGTTTCCACCCCCCGGGCCAGGTATCTAGGGCCGGGGATGAGCCCACGCCGCTTCAATATGACTACAGGCGTGCGCTCTCTCTCCAACCTCTTCGACGATGACACATCGGGCAAGAGGCGCAAGACTCTCCCCGAGGTCGAGGTTGAAATGCTCGATGACGAGACTTCCAATGGCACTTCACGGTCTACCCGCGAAGCTTCTGCCGCCAGTAAGGCCGCCGAGTACAACCAGGACTCTCGCGCGCCCTTGCGCGCTGCCCTTCGCCCCTCGCCTTTGGCGCAGAGTAGCGCCGCCTCCCCTGAACACGCCCCGACCCCCCGCGACATCGGTCGCAAGCGCGTCAACGACCTCATCCAGGACGTGCTCGAAAACGAGATTCTGCCTCATGAGGAGCGACCCGCGCCTGTGTTTAACCCATATGAAGCCTCCATCCTTCCAGCAGGCAAGCATTACAGCCCATACGCGTCTCTGCGCCACTCGTCGAGCGAAAGTGTGAACATGCGCCGCTCGCTGAGCGCCAGCCGCGGGGCGGCTGCCAAACTGGATTCGGAGCGCATGAAGGCCTCGACATCCGGCCGCCCACTCTCAACCCTGGATCTAATCAACCGCGGTCGTCCCTCCCCTGCCCAGACACAGAGAACACCCGCCCAGTCGCAGGCGGCGGAGCGTCCCCCGAAGAAGCAGAAAAAGGTTGTCGACGAGCCGATAGTAACCGACGATGATGATGAGCTTTCCCCACCCAAGCATGCTGCGTCAACCACGCCCAGCTCTACATCCGCATTTGTGCTCACCCCGTCACGCCGAACCCCTGCCGCTGTCACCATTGAGGAGCCGGAGCCGGTCTCTGCCTTCCCCACTCCCTCCCTATCCCAGTCAACGCGGGCCAAGCCGCCTCCCGCGCCAAAGCCCGTCGCCGCTGCACCGGTGCCCTCTACATCCGACTCAATCATTGCTGCATCCAAGCCAGCTTCAGCACCCGCATTCTCGACCCAGCATCTGGGTCTTGGCCCGCCCCCAATTGCCCCTGCGGCGACCCCTTCCAAGTCTCGTACGCCCAAGCTACCAGAGCAGGGCACCCTTTACATGTCGGCTAAGGACACGGCTCTGAATGTGGACAAGAACACCCTGCCGTTCTACACCTTCACCCTTCCGCCCGGCTCGGACCAGCCGCAGCCCAGCGTGACTGTCAAGGGGATCGTCTCTGCGGGCCCACCAAAGACCGACGGATTCGCATTCGAGATCTCCAACACCGCGCAACCTACATCCTATTACTCTCCGCCCGCAGCTTCAACTTCCTCCAACCCTCTGGCATTCTTCAGCCAAGCAAACCAGGGCGACACATGGAAATGTGACGTGTGCATGCTGAAGAATACTGCCGCCAACACCGAGAAGTGCGGCGTTTGCGAGGCCCCTAAGCCTGGTGCCAAGGCAGCCACAGCATCGGCTACACCGACTGCCATGCCTTCGGCCCCCAGCGGCGGGTTCGGTGGGTTCACGTTTAAGCCCCCCGCAAAGCCTGAGGGTGTGTGGACTTGCGATGTTTGCATGCTCCAGAATACTGCCGCCGACACTGTGAAGTGTAGCGTGTGCGAGGCACCCAAACCCGGCTCCAAGCCTGCGGCTTCCACTCCCGCTGCCTCCGCACCCCCTGCTGCCCCGTTCGTGGGATTTGATTTTGGAGGTGCTGGCCTCAAGCCGCCAGCGAAGAGTGCTGGCGAGTGGGACTGCGACGTTTGCAGTCTAAAGAACCCTGCGACTGCGACCGAGAAGTGCACCATCTGCGAGGCGCCCAAGCCTGGAGCAAACGCCGCTGGCGCTTGTGCCCCCGCCCCTGCCTCCGCCTCCACCCCCCCGACCTCGGCGGCAAAATCTGGCTTCAAGTTCGTATTCGGCTCCAAGCCCGACGCGCCCGGCGATTGGACGTGCGACACCTGTATGCTCAAGAATCCTGCCTCTGCGACGGAGAAGTGCTCCGTCTGCGAGACCCCGAAGCCTGGTGTTACCGTCAAGGCGGCGGCTAAGCCAGCTCTGTCAGTTGTCGCCCCTGCCGGCGGCTTCTCTTTTGGGGGCCAGACGTTCGCGGCGCCCACGAGCGGCTCCTCTCTCGGCGGCCAGTCGTCCTCGACCGGACCCGCTTCCGCGCCCGCGGCACCATCCAGCGGCTTCTCTTTCGGCGGCCAACCGTTCTCAGCCGCCGCCCCTACTTCCACGCCGTCTGCAGTGCCAGCGGGCGGCTTCTCTTTCGGGGGCCAGCCATTCTGGACTGGCCCTGCGCCCCCCGCCCCAACGGGGGCCTTCTCGCTCGGCGTTGAGTCCACACCAACTCGCGAGTCCAGTGGCTTCAAGCCGCCCCCTATCGCTCCCGGCGGATTCAGCTTTGCCCCGAAGCCGGCTGGCGGCAGCTCGTCGACCGCGCCAGCCGCGTCGCCGTTCAGCGGCTTCGGTGGGTTTGAGGCATTTGCGCCGAAGGAGGAGGACCCGCTGGGCAAGCCGATCCCTGTGTCTCGGGAGTGGACGTGCTACCTCTGCGGGCTGTTGAATCCCGGCAGTGCAAAGTTGAAGTGCGAGATATGCGAAGCACCCAAGGCTGTATAGTGTTGTTTTGCATGTATTTGTAAGCATTTGACGTTGGCGTTGCGTTGTCATTCACTTGTGATTCTGTGAGCACGGCAACATGCGAGCGTGCGCTCTGGGCTGACGGTAAATGAGGTCGGCTTGTTTGGTTCCACAGGCACAGGGTGGAAGGGGTCGGCCCGTGAACACCCGATTCACTGGCCACGTCATTTCTCGAACCACGTGTTGAGTTGATTAGAGGAAAACCTCCACCGTTGAGTCGGGAGTTGTTCCTGGCCCTGGGTGAAGTCACCTTCCTCCGACTCGTACTGACTGCGGTGGCGGCTTCTGACTTTTTCCATCAACTCGTCACCATCTCTCATCTCATCCACACCATGCCAGCGGCAGTCTTTCTTCCGCTAGTCGACCCCACAGCGGCCGCGCTTATCCCGGCCCTCGCTCTCATCGGTCCCCTCCTCGTTCCCGCCGGCCTCCTCTCCGCAGTCCGCCCCTCCATCCCCCCGACAGGCAGCTACATTGTCGACGCGACGGGCTCGTCCAATGACCTCGTCGCCATTCTTAACGACGGCGCCCAAGCTGTTGTAGTCTCAGCCGCCCAACTCGAGACTCTTGATGTCCCGCGTGAGCGCATCATCGTGTCCATCGCCGAAAATGAGGTTGCCGCCGCCGCCTCACTCTCCCACAAGGCGGCCGGTGTTCTCATCACCAGCGCCGAAGGCACCCACACTGCCAAGTCTTTGGGTCTCCAGAACACGGACGTGTATCTCCAGCTCAAGACGCTGCCCGCCGCCGACGCGCTTGTCGAGTCGGTTCGCACCTCTCTCCCCTCCACACTTGTCATCCCCACCGCGTCCCTCACCACCGGCGTGACAACCAGCACCCACCTTTCCATTGCAGACGCCTTCCTTGCTCCTGTGGTGTCGGATCGCCCAGATGGGCTGTTCCCAACCATTGTGAGCAGCTCGACCCACTCTTCGCGCCCCCTCGGAATGGTTTACTCGTCGCGCGAGAGCGTCGCCGAAGCGATCAAGTCCCAGAAGGGCGTCTACCAGTCGCGCAAGCACGGGCTATGGCGCAAGGGCGAGACGTCGGGCTCGGTTCAGGATCTCGTTGCGATTCAGCTCGACTGCGACACGGACAGCCTCGTCTTCGAGGTTGTGCAGCACGGCACGGGATTCTGCCACCTCGGCACCCCGACATGTTTTGGCTCGTTCACCGGCCTCGCGCGCCTTGAGGACACGCTCAAGAGCCGTCTCCAGAGCGCTCCCGAGGGCTCATACACCCAGCGCCTGTTCACCGACGAGAAGCTTCTTCGTGCCAAGATTATGGAAGAGGCCGAAGAGCTCTGCGACGCCCAAACCAAGGAGGAGGTGGCGTTCGAGGCTGCCGACCTCTTCTACTTCGCGCTCACGCGTGCGGTGAGCAAGGGTGTGTCTCTTAAGGACATTGAGCTCGCGCTCGATGCAAAGGGAAAAAAGGTCACCAGGAGGAAAGGTGATGCTAAGCCCAAGTGGGAGGAGAAGGTTGCGTCGCCTGCCGCGCCAGCACCAGCGGCTCCCGCTCCCTCGGCCACAGCATCAGGCTCCATCCGCATGCGCACCACCAAGCTTTCGGAGGTGCCTCAGAATGAGCGCCCCGCGTTGCTCAAGCGCCCTGTACTCAACTCGCTTGCCATGATCGACAAGGTCAAGCCTATCGTTGAGCGCGTGCGCAATGAGGGCGACGCTGGCCTCAAGGCTATGACCAAGCAGTTTGACAAGGCTGAGCTTTCGTCAAACGTGCAGCGAGCGCCGTTCCCGACACCTGGTGAGGATGTTCTCCCCAAGGTCGTCCGTGATGCCATCGATCAGGCGTACGCGAACGTCAAGGCGTTCCACGCCGCACAGGTCGACCCTGCGCCGCTGCGCGTAGAGACAATGCCGGGCGTCGTGTGCTCGCGTTTCGCCCGCCCCATTCAGCGTGTCGGCATCTACGTTCCAGGCGGTACTGCAATCCTCCCCTCCACCGCCATCATGCTCGGCGTGCCCGCCCAGGTGGCAGGGTGCAAGGAGATTGTCCTCGCAACCCCTCCCCGCCCCGACGGCTCCATTTCCCCCGAGGTGCTGTACGTCGCTCAGCTCACCGGCGTCACCACCATTCTGAAGGCGGGTGGCGCGCAGGCTGTCGCCGCTCTCGCGTACGGCACGGCCGAGGTGCCCAAGGTTGACAAGATCTTCGGCCCCGGCAACCAGTGGGTGACTGCGGCCAAGATGCTCGTGCAGAACGACACAGATGCGCTCGTGTCGATCGACATGCCCGCCGGCCCGTCCGAGGTGCTCGTGATTGCCGACGCCACCGCCAACCCGGTCTTCGTGGCCTCTGACCTTCTCTCGCAGGCGGAGCACGGCGTCGACTCCCAGGTCGTCCTCGTCGGCATCAGCCTGACGCCTGACCACCTGTCGGCCATCGAGGCCGAGGTCGAGCGGCAGGCGCTTGCGCTGCCGCGCGTCGAGATTGCGCGCGTCGCCATCTCCAAGTCGCTCATCGTCCTCGCCGACTCGCTCGCCGAGGGCATGGCTTTCTCGAACGAGTACGCGCCGGAGCACTTGATTCTGCACCTTGCGGACGCGCCGGGCGCTGTCGCAACTGTCGAGAACGCTGGCTCCGTATTCGTGGGGGCCTTCTCGCCAGAGTCTTGCGGCGACTACGCCAGCGGCACCAACCACACCCTCCCGACCAACGGTTACGCTCGCCAGTTCTCGGGCGTCAACACCCTCGCGTTCCAGAAGCACATCACGTCGCAGGAGATTACAAAGGAGGGCCTCAGCGTCCTCGGGCCCGTGGTCGTCACCCTCGCAGAGCGCGAGGGTCTCGAGGCCCACGCTAACGCAGTTCGCGTGCGTCTCCACGAGCTGAACAAGTAGTATACTAGACATGGCATGGATCCGGATCGCATCGACGCGTCTCATTATGCAGTGTGTTGTGGCGCACGTCTCATCTCATGGCCTCTACATGTGGCTCTGTTCTACAATGCAATGCGGAAGGTATCACCCTTCAAGCGGGTATACTGACATATTGACAACATCAGAGGAAGTACTCGAGCATGGCGGGTCGCTTTTGCGGCACCGACTTGACGTCAGGCTGCGCGGCCTCGAACACCTTGTACTCTGGCCGTCAGCACCTTCGCCCCACAGCCTGCGACCCTTGATCCTCACCTTGCCTCAAGTCCTCGTTCAGCTCGAGGATGGACGCGACGTTCCCGCAGCGATAACAGTAATTTGGCGCACTCCACACCGTGACGATCTTCTGGTTGAACATGAGCTTGTACCCCTCCATGACAAGCTGGTGTGCACGCGCGATCAGCTCAATGTCGTTGGTATGGCAGAAGGTGTCGACGACATCGCTGCCGAACAGGAAGCCGGCGCCGCGCGGCGACATGCCCCAGCCCTGGATCTCGTCGGGGTCGGACCACAGCAGGTCGCAGAACACGCCTTCGTGCGGCACCTCCTGTTTCCTGTCGATGCCGCGGATCTGCGTAAGCGCGGACGCGGGGAGACTCACCTGGTCCAGCCGCAGGAGTTGGGGGCTCAAGCCGCCGTGCACACACAATATCCGCCCGTCCACGACCGCCGCGAGCGAGAGGAAGTCGAACACATCCGTGCAGTACCGCCAAACGTTGCTGCTCCCATATCTGGCGTCAGTGATGTCGGGGGGGGGCTGGCAGGCGCTCCCGGGGCGGACGCACTTTCTCTGGCACTCATCGTAGAAGCCATAGACCTGTGTGATTTGACGCGACTCGTGGTTGCCGCGGATGAGTGTGATGCGGTCCGGATACCGAACTTTTAGGAGCAGCAAAAGCAGGAACGTCTCGACAGAGTAGAATCCGCGGTCGACAAAGTCACCTGAGGTCAGCCGACTCCGGCGTATCCTCACCCATGAAGATGTAGTTCGTCTCCGGGCACTGCCCGCCAATCTTGAACAGCTCCATCAGGTCGAAGAACTGGCCGTGGATGTCGCCGCAGATCTGGCATCAGTCGCGACCTTGAGGAGGAGGCTCCCAGCCAGTAAGTTCTCAGTCATGGGCTCCACTGCTCGGTGGCAACTCGACCCTCCGCCGGGCACAACTCACTGTCACAGGCGAGTCGACATATTGTATGTTCCCCTCGTCCATGAGGATCTCCTTGGCCTTGATACACAGGTCCTTGACGGCCGCCTCGGGGATGATCTCACAGCGTCGCAGCTGCTCGATCTGCCTGGCTGTCAGCTGAGCGCGCAGTGCACGCACTTGTCGAGGTCCGAAGCCATGTTGGACACGCTCCCGTGGAGCTTGGGCGCGGAGGGGGCGCTGACGGGAGCGGCGATGAGGGAGAGGCGGGCCGCGGTGGAGCCGGAACAGTCAGCAGTGGCAGGTGGATGATGAAATGGCCAAACATGAAAACAACTTGGTGGCAAATGCGCCTAATCACTCATTTGGGACGCCTTTTCCTTAACAATCTATTGTTTTTATTAATAAATCTATCATTTCAAACACGTAAGAAAGTCGACCTGTTTTATTCGGTCTCCCTTTTGCGTGCCTAATTTCGTTTCAGAGGCCTAATCCTCACATACCACGTGCCTGTCGTCACCCGTTTTCTGAAGCAGCGATCATCATGCACCATCATCATCATCTTGTTGTCAACACACTTTTACCATGTCCTTCGGCTCGTTCGGTAAGCCCGCAACACCTTTGGGTGGGACGACGGCACCCGCTTCCTCGCCCTTCGGACAGGCCGCGCAGCCCACCGGTGGCCTCTTCGGTTCGGCGTCGACGGCACCTGCAACTTCACTGTTTGGGGGCCAGCAGCAACAGAACACGAGCACACCCTCGCTTTTCGGGCAGCAGCAGCAGCAGCAGCAGCAGCAACAGCCGCAGCAGACGTCGAGCTTGTTTGGAGGACAGCAGGGGGCGAGCGCAGGCGGCGGGCTTTTCGGGTCGCAGCAGGCGTCGACGAGCACGGGCGGGTTGTTTGGGCAGCAGCAGAACCAGCAGCAGAATCAGCAACAGGGTACGGGCTTGTTTGGCCAGCAGCCACAGCAGGGAAGTTCGCTGTTTGGACAGCAGCAGCAGCAGCCGCAGCAGCAGAGTTCGTTTGGCGCCGGCACCACGCCAGCGGGAGGCCTGTTCGGTAGCACGACCCAGCCTTCAGGAGGGGGTCTTTTCGGCGCGGCCAGCACCAACTCGGCTACCCAGCCCCGCAGTTTGTTTGGCCAGCAGCAGCAGGGACAGCAGGGGCAGCAGGGGGGCTTGTTTGGGTCGCAGTCGACGACGCAGCCGTCTGGAGGGCTTTTCGGGCAACAGAGTACGACAGCGCCTTCGGGAGGACTTTTCGGACAGCAGAACACCGCGCAACAGGGAGGGCTCCTGGGACAGCAGAGCACCACGCAGCAGGGAGGACTCTTTGGACAGCAGCAGCAGAACAAGACCATGTTCGGGCAGCAGCAGCACAATTCGTCCTTGTTCAACAAGCCTGCACAGACGCACTCGCCGACCTCCGGGATCGGCAAGACGCGCCTTGCCGACCTCCCGGAGAATGTGCAGAAGGCGATCGAGCAGCTGGAGTGAGTACAGGCTTGATATAAGCTGATATTAGTGCTGGGATCAAGGATCAGAAGCAAATTGGCGCCAGTATCGACACGACCAACATTGGGCGCGCCATCTGGCAGACGAGTGCCGATGTCAAGGCTGCGAGCGACGTGAGTATTTGAACCAAAGATGTGCCATGGCTGATAGTAGGAACAAGCCGCGCTGGCGCAGGGCCTCTACTCCCTTCGCGCCTCGCTTGAGCAGCTCGCCACGCGCGTCAATGAGCAAGCGACGGACCTCCAGAAGCTCCTGGAGACATGGGAGGCCGCCAAGCCGCTGGAGCGGAGAAGCCCCAACATACGGCCGATCGCGCACCGCGACTTTCCACAGGAGTTCTTCTTCCGCGTCGCCAAGAAGCTCGAGGAGCGCGTCGCGCGCTATCGGCGCAACATCATGCTGCTTCACCGCGCTATTGTGGGACTCGCGAACGACGCCGAGGCGCTGTCACCGCCCGTCGTCGTGCAGACGATCCAGAACAACCAGGCCGCCATCATATCGCTCGCGGCACAGCTCGACCAGCTGCAGCTGCGGATGAATACGCTGCGGAGCGATTTCACGAACGATTACCGCGAGAAGACACACAGCATGCGCGATCCGTTCGAGGTGGCGCGCGAGGAGAAGGGCGTGAGCCTGCTGCGGGCGTAGAGGTGGGAGGGACATGGGGCGGAGTAGAGTATACATTGTTATATGTGCACAACAACTGTGCTTGTTGGATGGACGCCGTGTGCACTGGAGCTGTGGATCGGGAGGCAGATTGGGTTCGGCCGACGTTCTACATCGTTCAGGCTGTTATCATGTTACCTCCACTGATGATGCGTCCTCGATCGTCAGCAAACACGACGCTCAGCTCGACCATCTTGAGTACGGCGTCGGAATCGTACTGATGGGCGTCCGTGGTGCACGCCGACGCTCACATCGTCCCGCTCCAGGTCTAATCCCAAGAGCGCTCACTGGAAGGGCTGAAAATTCGCGGGTGGCTCCATTCTTTGCGGCCTGAAGCGGAGTCCGCTACTTCCCGCGATCAACCTGTGACATGTTGACGCTATTGTTGTTTACAACTGGAGAGGAATATGCTATACATACTTGTAATACGAAAGATCCTAGTTGTCTGCCGCATATTTGTCCTCCTCATCACTGGGACTTACATAGTGGCCAGTGCAAGGCACTTCACCACTGTGGAGCCTGGGCCCACTTAGGAAGAGGGGCATGTCGTAACGCTCTGCCCATTTAACAAGCTCATTGCCCATGAACCAGGTGATGGCGAGGCGGTTCTGGCCATTGTCACATGGAAAATTCATGTGGCGGTAGCGTGATGCAGGGAAGACCAGGAGGTCCCCTGCCGTTAGCCATTAGCTGAAGGTAAAGGGCAGCCAACTCACTCTCCTCCATGGCAACTGCCACGTTGAGCTGGGGGATGAACATCTCAGCACCAGAGAAGCCGTGCTGGAGGGGGAGTGCTACCACAGCTGTGTAGCTGAAGGGACAATTGCCCCGGTCAACGTGGCAACCAGAGGCAGAGCCCACCTTGATGGCAATGGAGGGGTAGAAGCCTGTCTGGAGGTGCATAGGCATGGGCTTGCCTGTGGTGCGGAGCCAATGTAGGCGAAGCATCTTATTGACTCTGAAGTAAGCGCGTCCAAGCGCGATGACACTCACCGGTCAAGTCGCCAGCAGGCCTTTGGGTCAACTTGCTGAAGGGCGTTGAAGATCTTCTTTCCCAGAGGCTGGATTGCCTCCATGAGCTTGACCAGGGCCTGGTAGCGCTCAAATGGGATACGCTCTGGATGGCTGTCCTTGGGGATAGTGGGCACGGCAGTGTACTTTTTCCACACAGCCAGGTAGGCCATCTGGGAGCCACGCGTGTGTTCTTGAAGACTAGGCATAAAGCCTTGCTAAGTGTCAGCCCGTGAGTACAAAAGCCACTGGAGTACCTTGACAGCCTCCTGAAAAGCATCAATGACAAAAGTCTTGACGTCTTCAGAGACAAACTTGGGATAAGCCAGGAGGCTGTACTTGAAGTGATTATCCTCGTGAGGAAAGGAAGACCTAGCCCGGCTGTCAACCTCCTTCTGTGTGGGGACATGGCGATATGGAATACGCAGGGAGGCTCCAGGAGGAACCATTTGAGCGCTGGCAGAGTCATCCTTGGCTGTATCAGCCCGCACAGTTGCTGGTGTTGGGATGGAGGGGTAGCCGGCAGCCTGCATGCTGGGCTGCACCTCAACTCTAGTGGAGGAGCTCTTGCGCTCTGCATACTTGATGCCCCGGTCACGGTGACCCGGCCTCTTGCCTTTGTTCTTGGGCATGACGGCGGTGGTGAATGGAGAGAGGGTGGTGAACGGAGAGAGGGTGGTGAACGGAGAGACGGTGCTGCACCAATGAGAAAAGGTTGATCTTGCGCTTCAGCTCTGGGCGTGCTCCGGTGCGCTCTGCTCGATGCTGATGCATGCATGGGGAGGTCGTGGCTACGAAAGAGTCTGCTACGGCAGTTGCAATGACACAACTGTGACGGGACACGACGCGTCGTGCAGCTCCTCACTTGCCCGCCAGGAAGGCGGACCACCGCGCCCCGTCCAGCATCTCGCCCTCGACGAGGCGGCCCGTCTCCGCGCCCTCCTCGAATCGGATGATGGTGGGCAGACCGCGCAGGTTCCACTGTACGCGCTCTGCGCCGTCGGGCTTCTTCCATTCGTCGCGCTCGACCCAGACGATCGCACATTCTGACGTTAGCTGGGGGTTAGCTATGGAGAGGGCGGACTCACTCGGCTTGTCGTCGCCCTCAAACGCGTCCTCTACGATGCCCTCAACTGCGCGGCAGTCCTGCTGTTAGCTCGACGGCAACGACACCCACAGGACACCACATCTGCCCGTTCACGATGGACGAGTAGAAGAGGAGGAATGTGCGGCCCGCAGTGGGGCCGCGCAGGCTGTTGAGCACCTGGGGATATCTAGTGTAAGCTGACTGTTCATGTCCACGCTTGTGGCCATGCGGATGGCATCAATCCGAGGACTGCCGGGTCACCCGATTTGAATGGGACTGTGCCGCAATCGCTGCGCCGGATACTCACGAGGTCTTGATGAGTGGCATCGTGAAAGATAATGTGGAGACAAGACATCGACAAGCAGAGATGACGCAAGACTCGCTGAGCAGCGGCCATATCCGCCGGCCATGCGGCTCCGCAACAACTGGGAGACATAACAACACTACCTCACTCGAATCAAACAGTTTGTATGCAGCACACAAATAATGCAAGCGAATACTAGAACCCCCAACCGTCGTCGGCGTCGGCCTCAGCCTCGCCACCAAAGCCCCATCCATCATTTCCGCCGCCATACCCCCACTCGTCACCTTGTTGCTTGCGCACCACCAGCGCCTCAACACAGATGAGCTCCTTGCCGGGCGGGGCGAGCGCCGGGTCCAGTTGCCCCTCCTCCAATAAGCAGGGCTTGGTGGGAGACGTCGCGGCGCTAGGTGCGGCGGAATGCACGTCGGCGAAGCTCAGACTCAAGTTGTCGAGCGGATGCACTAAGCCGTCGAGGAACGCGTCGTCCACGTTCCCCTCAACCCGGGGCCGACCGAGGCGCAAACTGCTGGGCCCCGGCACGTGCGGGAGTGCGGGAATGCCCTTGGCTGGCGCATTGCCGATGAACTCGGCGACGGGAGATCTGCTGCGCTCGGCGTACGGCAGGCCAGTGCCGTCACCACGCAAAAGGTCGAGCCGGCGCGCCTCTCTACGAGCAGCCGATTTGCGACGCTTGGCCTCGGCACGCGCGGCGGCCTCATAGTCTAGCGGCCCCATGGGCTTCTTGCGCTCCATCTCAAGAGGGAAAACGTCATCCTCCATGCCCGTGTCTATGTCCGTGTCCGTGCCAGTCTCCTCCTCAGCCGAGTTGGCCGAGTTGCTGTCGCTGAAGATGATGGCGCGCGCACCTAGACGCGGTGGCTCGGGCGTCTTGCGCTTCTTCTCCTCCAGCACGCGCGTGCCTTTTCGGGGGCGACCGTGCTCGTCGAGGTCGGGACGGCGCTCAGGCTGCGCAGCGAGCACAATCTCCTTGAGGACAAGCACCGTTGCACCCACTTCGGCGGCCATGCGCTCCAGCGTGGCGAGGCTGGCGTCCATCTCCGCGCGCGTTAAGCCTATCACTGTGCCGTCATCGGCAAGGCCCAGCTCGTAGATCGCCTCATTGCCGCCCTGCTTGAGGCGCCAGAGCATCTGGGTGACCAGTCTTGCGAGGCGCTCGGGACTCGGCTCTATAAGCTTGAGCTTGTACTCGATGTGGCCCTCGCGGTCGCGCTCCGCTGCCAGTTTAGGTAAGCCGCGAGCACTGGGAACCAGAGCGTGTCGCGTAAAGTCGTTGTTTGGCGTAGCCACAAGCCGGTCCCACTCACGCATTGCCTGCGACGTGACGCTCCCGGCCATACTGTCATCGCTGTCGTACCGCGGCGAGGGAGTGAACGGCGGCGTGAATGAGTGAACGCTTCCGCGCCGGCTGAGTGGCGAGTCAGCTATCGGCGCTATCTCAGACCACGGCGACGGGCGACGAGGTGCTTCCTTCTCCTTGATGCCTGTCACGGAGGGCGCAATGCCGCTGGGAGTGTAGCCGGGTGAAGGGTGGTGTGGAGCCGGAGCGGCGACTTTAGCCATGGCGGGACTGTCGGAGGCATCAGCCGGTGTCGGAGTCACAGCTGGAGGCGTGGGCGAGCTGCCGTTGCTGAGGTTGTTGGCGTGACCTTCGCTTCGACCGGTCGCCTTGACATTAGGGACGCCGTTACTGCCCACTGTGGGCGGGGCGCGAGGCAAAGTGCTCTTGGCGTCACCAGGGGCGCTCTTCTGTTTCATGGGCGTGGGCTTGATAAGCGCCGGCGCGGGGCCGGCGCTAGGGGAGGGTATTCGCGGAATCGTGATGGCGGTGTTGTCTCGTTTAGTGATGTCGAGTTGTGATGGCGCAGCACTGAGGAGGTATTCGAGGGTGAGCGTGGGGTGGGGCGCGATGGACCACTAGATGTCAGCTCGATAGGTGGTGGCGACGTACTTCTCGTGGGTGCAGAGCACCGGTCAAAGGTTACAAGTGACAATGACAATGTGAGGAGAGTGAGGAGAGAGGTGATGGAGGAAAGGAGAGAGGCGAGATGGAGAGATGGAGAGATGGGATGGAGGAGTGATGGCTATTTGAGGAGTGACTTCGGTAAGAAGGGAGATTGGGATCGGCGTCATTCCTGGCTTGCCAGCTTCTTGTCGTCCGACTCGATCCACTCCATCTTGCAATGTTCGAGTCGTATGCTCATCTCATCTCCTCGATCATCTCCTCACTGCCGTCGATGTAGCACACCTACGCGGCGCATTTGCCACCCATCCCATCTACAAATACATGACAGTGTTACTCTACATCACACAGCCGCCATCACTTGGCGTATCGGTCACTGCCAATTAGTATACAATCGCCACCCAGGGCACGGGGCACGAGACTGGAACGCCCCTCTCCCCGCCACCCCTTGAAGGTTACGCACCTCTTCATGGCCGCGCGGCGGTCGAGCATCGCCTCAGCGATGCGGCCCTCACGTTTTGCGCGTTTCAAGTCGTTCCGGTCGCCTGAGCTCACATGGTGTCGGCCGGCACCCCAGGCCTGATACTGCGTGCTGGTGTGAGATTAGCTCGACGCCGACGCCACCCACTTTCGCTTGAGCTCGTCCTCCACGGACCCGAGGGATGGGCCGCCGCGCTCGAGCAGACGCGTCTTGCCCTCTCCGCCCGCACGTCCGGCAATGGCCGCGACGCGGGCCTTGAGAATATGCTCGCGCTGGCACTTGACACGCAGCCCCTCGAAGCTCCCCACTTCGTCTGCGTCGGCACGCAGCTCGGCCTTCTTGGCCAGGATCGTTTCCTTGTCCGAGCGCGGGACGGAGAGGTACTTGCCCGAGGAGGTTTTGAGGGAGAAGGAGGGGAACAGCTCGCCTGTAGAGAGGAGGGGGGTGAAGCCCTCGAGCGGGCCGCGGGAGGGTGTGGACGCCGAAAGCTGGCCTCCCGGCGTAGCTGTGAGGAAGGTACCACTGGCATCAGTTGAGCATAAACACGCTACGGTCGCTTCATACGCACTTGCTGGTCCGCAAGGAGATGATGTCCTCGCTCCCGGCCAGGCGAGACACAACCCAGACGTGGTTAATGTCACTGGGCTCAATAAGGCTGAGCACTTCGCTGCTCGACAGATCGTTCGCGCCCTCCGGCGCCTGAGGCACGTCCAGGGGTGCGGCATACACCTTCTGGCGCGCAGAGTCCCACTGATGTCAGCGTCTCCGTGGCTCATGAGGTGCGGACGGCTCTATTGTCTGTCGGTCGCTATAAAACTCTCTCCCTCCCGAAACAACAACTCACAGCCAAACATGTCAACGGCTCAGTCGGAAGCAGGATAAACGTCGGCCCAGCCACCTCGTCCACTGTCGTGGGGAACATCCATCCTATCGTCAGCGGCTCCCGCCCAAGAGCTCACCGGACGGATCTTCCGCCGCAAGCGCATCAAGCTCGTCGGCCGGGCGTGCATGCGAGCGCTTCTTCTTCTTCGGCTTGTCGCCCTTGAACTTGAGCTTTTTGGAGACGACCTCGGGCATGGTGTGTTGCGAGTCGAGTTCTACGTTCTGTGCTTCAGTGGCGTCAGAGAGTGGAGGCATCGACTGAATAGCGGAACCATTCCCACGTGGGGACAAATACAAGGCGCACTAATCTGAACCGTGCTGGCCATCAGGAACACCTCAATCTCGATCCTCGACTTGCAAAAGGTCGCTCACTCACATCCCATCATCATCAACCATGCCGCAGGAGCTCGTCACACCGGACGAGGTGAGACCGGACTTTAAGAGGCATGCGCGCGCTATGCCTTGTCCGTCGCCGGACGCAGCGCGCTCTGAGACTAACCCCAGTTCCTCACGCGCCTCACGGCGACGTTTGCCGGGCCGTCCAAGAGCTCGGTCTGGCTCACGCACAAGCGATGTGAGAACGCCCATGGCGCCGAAGGCGGCTGGAAGGGGACGCCGATGCTGATGCCAGACACGCACGATGGCGAGGACGCGGCGATGGCGGACGCCGAGGCAGAGTACGATGTGTTGGTGCGGTGCACGCAGGGCGAGACCAAGTTCTCGGCGAGGGTGAGTGCTGTTGGTAGGACAGTGGGGTGTGAGATTGGCGTGTGCCGAGGGGCGCGCGGCGGTTCGGCGGGCGATGATATGGCAAACGGCCCGCGTCGTTCGTCTGCTCGGCTTAGTCCTCGTCGGTGCTTGCCGATGCCTTGTCCGCTCAGCTTTGCGTTGCGCGGCGCTCTATGTACTCGGCGCTGTCTACTGTGCGGATGACCATCCTCGCCCTCGACGGCTCGGACTACATGCTAACTCTAGATCCCTGCCATCACCCTCCCCACCTTCCACGCAGCGTACGGCGCACTTCTCAAGCAGTCGATGGCTCCACACATGCGCAAGCGCGACAAGAAGAGGGAGCGCGCGCGTGCCGAAGCCGCCGAGAAGCGCCGCAAGGAGCTCTACGTCGACGTCGCCATCGGTTCCGAGGGCAAGCGCGGGGCGGGGCGGCGCAAGCGGCAGCGCAAGCTGGCGGCGCAGAAGAAGAAGGAGGCCGAGCGCGAGCGCATCGAGCTGCGCGATGCGGCACGGGCGGCCGCGGCCAAGGACGAGTAGCACGAGTGGGGCGAGTGTTAGTCGCGCGAGTCGCGTCAGATTGTAACCATGGCATCGTATTGATATTGCAGTGGCATCAAACAGGTCTTGTCGAGTTTACAGTACGGAATAACAACAACGGACAGATGCTTCTGAAAGCTGCTAGATGAGTGGGCAGGCAAGTGAGGTGGAATAATGACACATGTCGAGTGACATGTCGTGAGAGTGGCGTGATGTGGTTGATTGCTGCTGAGGAGCTGAAAGTCGATTTGAGTGGAACATGGAGAGAGAGAGAGAGAGAGAGAGAGAGAGAGAGAAGAAACAAGCCGAGACGCTCTATTTCACTGTCAAGGGGAATGATATTGGAGTGGTGTGATGCGCAGCATGCGGGCGCGGCCCTGCCTGGCAATGTTCAGTTTCGTGTATTCAAGAAGGACGCGCTGAAGCTTCGATCTTGCGCCGTACGCCCTCAAGGCGTTCGCGGACCGAGGCGATCACTGGTGTTAGTGTGTGTTGCGTCAATGAAGTGGCAGACTTACAACGCTCGTAATTGGTTCGGTCATCGTCGCGCAGCTTGCTGCCGTCGTGCATGATATCGTCTAGCAGGGTGCTCAACAGCCACAGAGCTGTCTCGTATCCCTCTTCAGCGTTCGACAGGTCTCCGAGAAGCTCTGACTGTGCCGACTGGCGCGCCTATCGTCAGAATGATTTGCAGCATGAACACTCACGATATCACGGGCACGGTCGTGCACGAGTCTGTCCACGTAAGGGAGCTGCTCCGCAGAGCGAACCTTAGCCCACTCGGCCTTATCGTAGACTTCATTGAAACGAGCACGGAACCACTGCACGACTGAGAGTCAGTTTTGTTGCCGAATGCTGGGCTGGCTCACGTTCGTTTAGCTCATCACTTGTCTGGTATTCCATGTTGCGATGCTTGCGCCCATCCCAAAAGCGCTTGAACCGCTCATGGCCCGCACAGACAAAGGCAAGAGACTTGAAGTAGAGCGCGCACGCATCACCCGCAGCCTCCTGCGCCTGCCGTAACACAAGAATATCGCTGCTGGTGGATGATGCAGACGACTTGCGTCGGCCCATCCCCACGGGCGGAACTGCAAAGGGTGGCACGTTAGGTGAGGGTGGCGTGTGAGGAGTGATGGTTGCGGTGCTGGTTGATGCCTGCGGTGGTGGTGGACGAGATGTCTGAGACCACTGGATGAGACGAAGGTCACCCAGCTCGTAGAGCACAAACGCCTTGTGGGCAGCGTCCTCGAGGAAGTCAAGCAGCTCATTCTCGTCTGGGTCGATCTCCCCCGACCGCTCAACCTGAGGCCACCGCCTGGCAGACGAGCCAGTGGCACGTGCGACAACATTTGCCGCCGTGTTGGAGGTCGAATTGAGCAACCTCACTGCAGTGTTGGTTAACACACGTGCGAGCGCGTTGCTGCTCGGAAGCGAGCCGGGCGATGACCGCTCCGCCGACATGGCATACGACCCAGGAGGTGGGAAGATTGTTGGAGTGGAAGGCAGCGATGGCTGCCGTGGGCGAAGGCTTGTCGGCCTAACAGTGGATGACACGGCAAAAGGTGGTGTTGACCCCATCGCGAAAGGCGGCGAGTACGACGCAGGTTCGATGGCAGCAGCAGCAACTTGTGGAGGTGGGCTTGAGTTGATGGGCCGTAGCTGATGAATTGGTCGTGCACCAGGCATGCGAACCAGTGTCCCGTTGGAGGGTCGACGTGTCCGCTGCTCCAACTCATCCGCCAACTCATTGATCTCCACCGTACGTTTCTCCACCACGACATACTCGCGACCAACAGAGTCACTCGCCCCTAGCGCGCTCTCGTCTTTACCCGTCATGGTGATTGGCGGCGTGGCAGCCAGTGGTGAACCTCCGATACCGGGGCGAGGTCCAAATGGCCCTGTTGGTGGTGTTACAACAGACGGGTCGTCCGCGCTTACACTGCTCGGCACTTTTGTTGAAAACGCACGACTTTGCTGCGGTGTCGAGCTGCTGATTGCCCGTGGTGTCGTTCGTGATGTCATACCTGGAGACACTGGGCTCACTGGAGATGATGGGAGTGCCTCTCCTCCAGCAGCAGGTTCTGCCGGCTCGTCGCCAACGTAATACTTGGGCTCGGAGCGCCGATGAGGAAGAGTGGGGGTGGGAGTAGGCGCTGCCGTGCTGGGGCGCGATGAGGGGCGGGACGATAGGTCGCCCGACGTGTTCCGCTTAACGGCTGCGGGATTCGGGCTTGCCGGCGCCGGAGATGCAAGTGGAGCTGTCCCGAACGATCCGGCGCTGCTCTTCTGGTCGTGTGTGTCACTCATCCCAAAGTCGACCGCCGAGCTGTCGGTGGAGACATCGATGGACGTTGACACATCCCCGATTGACTCGGTCATGAAACCATCCCAAACACCGCTGCTGAAGAACTCTTCAAAGCCCATGCGCTGTGCTGGCCGCTGCTTGAGGAGGCCGCGAATGAGCGCCTTGATGTCTGGTGACACGGGAATGATGGGAAGGGGCTCACGGCCGTCTGCGGAAGGCTGGTTGGACCGAGAAGACTCGTCTGGGAACTTGATCTTGTCATTGCCCCTCTCAATCCGCCGCAGAAGCTCAACGTGGTTTGGCGCGCGGAAAGGTGAGCGCCCAGTAGCCATCTCATAAAGGACAGCGCCGACAGACCAAAGATCTGCCTTGGCGTCATACTTTTCGTAGCGTAGAATCTCTGGTGCCATGTAAAGGGGTGATCCACACAGCGTCTCGGCCATGGCCGCTGTGGGCAGCACACGGGCGAAGCCAAAGTCGGCAACCTTTAGAATTGGAATCCCAAGAGGATGCCCCTCTGCTACTTCGCTGGGTGTGGCGGGCTGCAAGAGTAGATTCTGAGGGGATCAGTGCTGCACTAGACAATGTCAGATTTCATTGCACTCACCTGCGGCTTGATGTCACGGTGGATTAGATCCTGAGAGCGGAGGAAGCGTACGGCATCGGCTGATGAGGTCAGCTTCCGCTTGAATGCGATAAGGGGCGTGTCCGCCGTCCGCTTGGGGACTCACCTAGCTGCCCAAGGAAGCAACGCGTGACGCGTTCGTCAAGACCTCCAGCGGGAGGATGTGGCCAGAAGACCTTGCCACCACGGGACGCGACCATGTTGGATTCGTAGATTCGTGGGACAAAGTCTAGTGTCTTGATATGCCCTCGCTGGCGGAGGTAGATTGAGAGGTCGCTTCCGGTGCAGAACTCCATAACGAGGTAGATGTGGGTGTCATTTTTCTGCGATTGAGAAGGATAGGAGAGTGAATGGCACAGTAGGAAGCAGGGTTAAGAAGGACAGATTGGCCAGATGTCCGGACGAGCGCGGTGATCAGCACCTAAATCTAGCGAGCGATAGGCGGAGGGCAAAGGGCGCGAAGGTGGTGGGTGGGGAAATGGGAAGGTAAACGGATGGGGACTCACGAAGCAATCTCTGAGGGCGACAACGTTGCGATGGCTTATGGCCTTGAGAATGTTGATCTCACTTTCCAAGTTGTCAAGGAGCTTGCTGGTGAGCTTCTGGCGTGATACAGCCTTGATTGCGACTGGTGTCTTGGACTTCTGTATCGGTGGTCAGCACGGCCCTCTCGATCCACTGCGCCGGAGTCTGCCGACGAGGTGATGATGACTCACCGAGCGGTGGCCCTGGTAGACGGTCGCAAAGCTGCCGCGACCTATCTCCTGACCGATGACATAGTTGCCTATGCGCTCGCGGTGACGGTGGGCATCGCCTTCCTTCTTGCGGGCAGCATCGCCCTCGGACATGGCTGGGACCGGGGGCGGGCGTGGTGGGGAAGGGGGTTAAGGTACGGGATGATGGGCTACTATGGTTGTGGGGGTTATGGTGGGACGCGCCGATGATGATGGAGGAGGAGTTGATATAGTGGACAAGAGTGAGAGGGGGGAGGGGGGATGTTGATGAAGTCGAGTAAGAGGCGGGAAGGTGTGAATCGTGTCGAGATGGGTGATTGTGCAAGCAAGAG